CCATTCCACGGCCACACCTACCTTAAAGGCACGCAGGGGGCTGTATGGAGCATCTACACGCAAGATCACACTGCCCGGGCACTAGTTAACGGCTGTGCGAGGCCCCGTGAGGGGCTGATCACGCTGATCACGCTGGCAACCGGTTAACCGGTACAGGCCGTGATCAGGCCCACTCCATGGCCACACCTACCTCAAAGGCACGCAGGGGGCTGTATGGAGCATCTACACGCAAGATCACACTGCCCGGGCACTAGTTAACGGCTGTGCGAGGCCCCGTGAGGGGCTGATCACGCTGATCACGCTGATCACGCTGGCAACCGGTTAACCGGTACAGGCCGTGATCAGGCCCATTCCATGGCCACACCTACCTTAAAGGCACGTAGGGGTCTGTATGGAGCATCTACACGCAAGATCACACTGCCCGGGCACTAGTTAACGGCTGTGCGAGGCCCCGTGAGGGGCTGATCACGCTGATCACGCTGGCAACCGGTTAACCGGTACAGGCCGTGATCGGGCCCATTCCATGGCCACACCTACCTTAAAGGCACGTAGGGGTCTGTATGGAGCATCTACACGCAAGATCACACTGCCCGGGCACTAGTTAACGGCTGTGCGAGGCCCCGTGAGGGGCTGATCACGCTGATCACGCTGATCACGCTGGCAACCGGTTAACCGGTACAGGCCGTGATCAGGCCCATTCCATGGCCACACCTACCTCAAAGGCACGCAGGGGTCTGTATGGAGCATCTACACGCAAGATCACACTGCCCGGGCACTATTTAACGGCTGTGCGAGGCCCCGTGAGGGGCTGATCACGCTGATCACGCTGATCACGCTGGCAACCGGTTAACCAGTACAGGCCGTGATCAGGCCCATTCCACGGCCACACCTACCTCAAAGGCACGCAGGGGGCTGTATGGAGCATCTACACGCAAGATCACACTGCCCGGGCACTAGTTAACGGCTGTGCGAGGCCCCGTGAGGGGCTGATCACGCTGATCACGCTCATCACGCTGGCAACCGGTTAACCGGTACAGGCCGTGATCAGGCCCATTCCATGGCCACACCTACCTTAAAGGCACGTAGGGGTCTGTATGGAACATCTACACGCAAGATCACACTGCCCGGGCACTAGTTAACGGCTGTGCGAGGCCCCGTGAGGGGCTGATCACACTGATCACGCTGGCAACCGGTTAACCGGTACAGGCCGTGATCAGGCCCACTCCATGGCCACACCTACCTCAAAGGCATGCAGGGGGCTGTATGGAGCATCTACACGCAAGATCACACTGCCCGGGCACTAGTTAACGGCTGTGCGAGGCCCCGTGAGGGGCTGATCACGCTGATCACGCTGGCAACCGGTTAACCGGTTAACCGGTACAGGCCGTGATCGGGCCCATTCCATGGCCACACCTACCTCAAAGGCACGCAGGGGGCTGTATGGAGCATCTACACGCAAGATCACACTGCCCGGGCACTAGTTAACGGCTGTGCGAGGCCCCGTGAGGGGCTGATCACGCTGATCACGCTGATCACGCTGGCAACCGGTTAACCGGTACAGGCCGTGATCAGGCCCATTCCATGGCCACACCTACCTCAAAGGCACGCAGGGGTCTGTATGGAGCATCTACACGCAAGATCACACTGCCCGGGCACTAGTTAACGGCTGTGCGAGGCCCCGTGAGGGGCTGATCACGCTGATCACGCTGGCAACCGGTTAACCGGTACAGGCCGTGATCAGGCCCATTCCATGGCCACACCTACCTCAAAGGCACGCAGGGGGCTGTATGGAGCATCTACACGCAAGATCACACTGCCCGGGCACTAGTTAACGGCTGTGCGAGGCCCCGTGAGGGGCTGATCACGCTGATCACGCTCATCACGCTGGCAACCGGTTAACCAGTACAGGCCGTGATCAGGCCCATTCCATGGCCACACCTACCTTAAAGGCACGCAGGGGGCTGTATGGAGCATCTACACGCAAGATCACACTGCCCGGGCACTAGTTAACGGCTGTGCGAGGCCCCGTGAGGGGCTGATCACGCTGATCACGCTGGCAACCGGTTAACCGGTACAGGCCGTGATCAGGCCCATTCCATGGCCACACCTACCTTAAAGGCACGTAGGGGTCTGTATGGAGCATCTACACGCAAGATCACACTGCCCGGGCACTAGTTAACGGCTGTGCGAGGCCCCGTGAGGGGCTGATCACGCTGATCACGCTGGCAACATGCATGTAACTAACTTCCCTTGCTTCGCATTACCGGTACATCGCATTCACTCCCACTTCCTGAGGCGCAACCTCTGCTGTTATCTATGGGCACCTTGGCGCTTGTTCTCGTTACTGTCCTTACTGATCGTCTGCTGATCTACCGTACTGGGCCTTTTGAGTCTCTCCAGCTTCCAACGCAGCCTTGACAACACCAATTTGTTCCCGTACGCTATAGCTTATTTCTCTGAGTGATTACGCGAATAAAAATCTCCCGCTCTTGCAAGGGCTTTACCAAACACAGCTCTGAATCTACGTTTGCATGAGTTCTGGCGACTGGATGCTACGAGGCGTTCCTTGCTGGCGTTATATCAGGAGTTAAGACACTGTACAGAAACTGTTGTGGCTGCACACGCTTGGCTAGTTATGGCGCAACATCGTGAGGCACGAGGCTACCAGGAAAGCCAGGCGCGCATTTGGCAACAGCTGCAGCCAGAGCTTGCGGAGCGCATCATCAGCTTCCTGCCGCCCAACGAGATCGCTTGCACCGTGCGGCTGGTCAACAAGGCCGCAGCCGCGCAATTCAGCGGTGCTCACCTTGCTACTGTGCACCTTTCATCACCTGTGCCCTCACATGCCTTCAGGCAGCACTGGTGCCGCCCCGGAGCGATGCGGGGACTTACGCTCAAGCAACGGCAGCAGCTGCTGTGTCTGACAGCACGCAGCGGCAGCATCCCCAACCTTGAGCTGGCAGTAGCAGCCACAGGGTTCCTCCCTGTAGCCTCTTGGACGGAGCCTGGTCCCGTGGCCGCCGCGGCTGCAGCTGGGCAGCTACAGGCATGCCAGTGGCTGCTTCGGCAGGGCTACTACCGTGAATGGGCCTTGTCGGCTGCAGCGGAAGCAGGCCACCGGGACATTTGCGAGTGGCTGCTGGCCAACGGCTGCCGCTGGGATCTCAGTGCGGTGTGTGCAGCTGCTCGGGGGGGCCACGTGGGGCTTATGGAGTGGCTGTGGCTGCAGCAGGAGGGGTATAACCCTGTTGCAGAGTTAATGGAGGCTGTCGCCCTGGGCTGTATCCTGGAAGCTCTGCATAACCTGATGGACCTGCTTCACAGGCGGCTGCGTTGGCAGGTGGATTTCCTGCTGGAGCAACTCCAGGAGTGGCACAAAGCCGAAATCCTTGGTGCCGCCGCGCGCAGCCGTGCACCTGACTGGCAGGCCAAGGTGATGTGGCTGGAGGAGGCGCTAGGCTTCCAAAGGTTCCCTCATGCCCCTGTGGGTGCTGCCCAGTGCCCAGACGCACTGGAGCGGCTGAGGTGGCTGCGCGGCAGGGACTACCCGTTCCCACCCTTGGTGGCCCGGACAGCGGTGGAGCATGGAAACCTGGAGGCGCTGGAATGGCTGCTGGGAGAGGGAGTTGAGCTGGATCTGGAATTCCACTATCATGGTGTTTGTGAACGTGGCCTCCTGCCGGCTCTGACGTTCCTTCAAGCACATGGGTATGCCTTTGCTTCGCAACATGTGCGGTGTGCAGCCGGGGCCGGGCAGCTGGCGGTGGTGGCTTGGCTGGTGGAGGTGCTGGGAGCTGCTGATCCAGCAGTGCAGCCTCTGGACACCACAGTCTTTGCGGCAGCAGCCCAGTCGGGCAACTTGGAGCTGCTGCGGTGGCTGCGGGAGCGGGGCTGTCCCTGGGATGGGGAGACCTTCAACGGGGCTGTCCAGGCGGGCTGCGAGGAGGCGCTGGAATGGCTGGTGAAGCAGGGCTGCCCCGTGGGGGTGAGTGGCCCACATAGTGTTTTAAAATAACTGGCCGCGAGGCGAAACGTACTGTGATTGCCGAAAGATGAAGTCCACATTGTGTGTGCAAGGGGGTGTAGCTGAGGTTGTGCACACGATCAGGGTGCGTGGTTGCAGACGTGACAGTAAGGAATAGGACATGGCAGCAGGCCTGAACTCTGCTTGGTGACTGCCACGACCCCACATACGGTATCATCAGTCCAATGTGCTTGCAGCAGGAGTGCTCCCTACACTACACTCCTGAGGTTTCTTTTAGGGCTATGTCTCCCATCTTGTTGGCCCGTTGTGGTGCTGTCTCTACGGTTTGTTCCGTTTCTTTTGCAATGTAGGGTTGGGTTCATCACCCGTGTTCCCTTTTAGGGCACCATTGTAACGGTCATTCATTCACTACACAGTGCGCCCCAGCTTAACTTCCACACCATACTACCCATTTTACTCATTCCACTCACCGTTTCATTCCATGCGACGTCCGCTGCCTCCAGGAGACGGGTTGGCCCTACCTGCAGGCAGCTCGCAACGGCGACCTGGCCACCCTGCGCTGCCTGCGGCGGCTGGGCTGCCCCTGGGGAGCCCCAGGGTTGGTCCTTTCAGAGTTCTTCCGGTCAGCAGGCTCCCACCCTCCAATGCTGGACTGGCTGCTGGAGGAGGGCTACCCTGTGAACTGGGGTGAGGCAGTGAGGGTGGTGGCAAGAATGGTCGGTACTTGCTCGCATGGGGCTCAGGAGGCGTGGGAGTGGCTGCGAGTCAACAGCGGCAGGGATGGTGAGTGGTGGCAGGACGAGGGGTATGCGTCTGCGGATGCAGCCCTGCAGGCCGTGCTGGAGGAGCTGGGGGGAGAGATGGAGGCGCAGGCGGATCCAGGGGATGAGGAGGATGAGTACGAGGAGCAGGGGGGGGAAGAGGAGGAGGCCCAGGAGGAGGCAACCTAGATTGAAGGGCTGAAGGGTTGCGTGCAAGCATGGTAGTGCTTCTTCGAGATAAGGGAGGGATGTTGTGACAGAGTGAATGACTAAAAAGAGTAGGTGCAGGGTGCCTTTTTTGCTTCGTCTGCTTCGTCTGTCTTGCCGTACATGCACCTTTGAAGTACAAAGGCAGTCTTGCTTACGACGCACTGCGGACAAACTGCTAAACAAAACCACAAAGGGACAACTGAAGACAAAGACCAAAGGAGCCTAGGAAAGGTGGACCCGAAAGCCCGAAAGCAACCAGAAAAGAGGCAGAAGAAAGGGTAGCAGCCATGAGCTAACGGCCGCACCATACATAACTATTCTCCTCGCCCAAACAGAGACATCCTTGCGCAAAAAACGCTAGAGGTGCCCAGAACATCCTACCTCGCCAACTCTGCAGAGAAGGAAAACCAAGACCCCAGGCGAACCCAGGCGTTAAAACCCGCAACACCTGACTCACGCACGCGAGCCTGCAAGTAAAACTCACGCGGTGTTTGCGGAGGTGTACTATTCTATTGCCATCATCATGCCTTGAGAGGTAAACGCAGTATATCGAACAACGACATAGCTAGTCAATAGCACATACAGCCTACCGCTGTACTCCACTATCTTCGACATCTAGTCAACGATGTCCCAGCCAGCGATATCACACAGATGGCTTTCGTACACCATGCGATTTTTCTTCTGTCCTGCGGCTCCACAGTCGCGCTCTTAGCTTTGCTTGTCACGCAACAGCCGCGCAACTTAACACAGCTGGCTTCAGCAGTTTGTTATTCGTCGTACCCAGCAGTTCATGCATGTGTCATCACTGTGCACAGCAGCCATGACAATCTTCATGCACTCACAGCCACACAGCATGCTGGTGCGTGTTTGTTGCTACCTGCCCTGTCGGCTACTCAGCAGTTGCAAAACCATCAGCCCAGACCACCTACGGCTGCTGCTGCTGTTCTCGCTGCCCGCCCGCCTCCTGCACCTCCCTCCTCCACCTTCCCCTGCAGCAGTTCCGAACGGCACCCCCACCCGACCCGCCTCCCTGCTGCTTCCTTGCTCCCTCACGGCCAGTAGTGCGCCCGAATACCCAGCTGCCGCAACTGCTGGAAGAGCCGCATGCTGTCCGCCAGCTGCCTGGTGGAGTCCACCTTGTCACCCCAACAGCAGTCCTGCACAGCCGTCCGCAAGGGAAAGGGAGCCGGGGAGGAAGCTAAGTGGTCCGCAAGGCCCCCGCAGCAGGGGTTGCAGGGAAGAAGCAGGATGGGTGTGCTGCGGACCAAGCAAGCAGTCGTCAAGAAGATGGAAGGTAGGGATGGAACCCTGCAGTCCGGAACGCTACAACAGCCTTGTTACCATAACCATAACCATAGAGCTAACGTACCCGCAGTGGCTTGAGGTCAAAGTGATGCTCCCAGAACAGCTCGTCAATGAGTTCGGCGTACTTGGAGCGCTGCTGACCCGTGGGTCCGTCGCCCAGGATCGCCTGCGCCCATTCATCCTCCACCTCTGGCGCGTCAATGTCCAGCTGCGGCCAAGGCCGTAACGCAAAGGAGGAGGCAAGTTTATGTACCAGTAAAGGAAGCCATTGGCGTGGCGCAGCCCTTCAACGTTTGCATTGTATCAACTGGGCACTCATCAATCTACTGTAACAATATAGTTGCCTCCTTACATCTACAACTTGAAGAAGGTTCGCGGGAGGGCTGCAAAAGGTGACGCCAATCCCGGCCTTGCTCCCCGCATCACCGCCTTACCTTGACTGACACGAAGTCCCAGGGTTTGGCCAGCCGCGTGACTACGTTGAGTATGTTTCGCTGGTCTGACAGATCTCGAGGAACGGGTATGTTGTAGAATGTAAAGGCGGGGAAGAGGTGCGGGGGCACGTCAGCCAACACGACGTCGCCTGGGGGCGAGGGGGCGGTGGTGTACGAAGTAGGGAGGAGAAGGGGTTAGGGGCTACTGAAAGGGTGGAGAAAGGGCCAGGAATAAAAAGGAAGTGGTGGACTAAGGGGGCAAGTGGCAACCACGGGAGTGGCGGGCGTTACGATGCCGGACATGGAAGCTGCATTGCTGCTGGGGGCTTCCCAGCCCACTTGTAGCACGATACGGTACCCTGGGTTGCCGCGAGGTTATACCAACGTAGGCGACACCCCTGCCTGTCTCATCCACCCGCACCCACCCGTCGCCGGCGATGCCTCCCAGAAAACCGCCCGGTCGAGCTGATTGCCGCGCGCCGCGTACGATTCTATTGTCCAGTGCTGGTCGGGGTTCTTTTTGTAGCCGATACCCGCTCCGGCATCTAGGTAGTACCTACGCGGTGGGGAGGGGGGGAGGGAGCAGCCGGGAGAGGGTGGGCGGAGGCCAGAGAGGGACCAAGCCAATTGAAACCACAAAAGCCCAGGTCACTGACGGCTCCCTGAAACCCAATATATACAGCCCACAGCCAACAAACGACGAACAACGGCGTTGCACACTCCTTAAAAATTGTTTCCTGCAGCTTCACAGCTCCCCAGACAGCTCAGGTAAGATCTCCTTACCTGCTGCGACCCATGGGTCCTTTGTGGTCCGACCCGCCCGCCAGCAGTACATACGAGAGATCCATGATGTCCGATGCGGGGGGAAGCCGGGAGGTGAACTCGTCGGGGCACTTTATGGAGAAGGGGTGGCGCAGGGCGCCGACCAGGGACCTGAGGACAGGCAGGGTAGGCAGGCGGGCGTAAGGTAAATGACGGGAACAGGACCCAAGGCTGTGAGGATGGAACGCTGACCAGGATCAGGATTGTAGTGGGTATTGTTGGTAAGCAGTTACGACGCAGCCACGCAGGCGCGACGGTAGGGTGTACTTAGGTTACCCCGAGCAGCCGGTAGCGGCAGAAGTAGGAGAGAACTTGGTACAATTACATGGCCGTACAAACGCTGTAACTGAGGATCAGCCTCATCTGGCCCGGAGCGATTCCAAACTCCACATGGCTGAGCACTTGTTAAGCAGTGACGCGACTCACTCGATGTGCTCCTTACGGACGATCTCATGTGTTCCGCACTTGACCTTGGTGGTAATGTAAGACAGTACGGCGTCCGCATCCGGTTCTCTGGATAATGACGTATTTGTCTTCATAAGGGAAGCGATAAGACCCAGCATCTTCTGTATTTCCGGCGCTGTCTCGATCATCAATTGACAGTACTGGGTTGTGTTGTGCACGTCGCCGTTACCATCACTTTTCCATTTCGCTGCCGAATCAACCCAATTTTTCTCCAGTGGCGACGGTACGTACTGGCGTTCTAAAACGCTGCAACGTGTTCTCATCAACTCCTGATGCTGTGAGTGGCCACGCCCTTGGCGCAGACTGCCGTGATGTTGCTCCACCATGGTAGCACTGCCGTTAGTCAACCCAATGACGCCCTCCATGGCCGCTGATTGCGTAATAAACAGCAGAGCAGCGACGAGCAGTCGCGTGGGACATAGTAACTGTATTAAATGCTCTTGTCTGTTCTCGGCGAACATCGGCGAATGCATTGACACGTGCCCTTGAAAGCTGCCTACAACGTTTGCCGGGAAAGGTCTATCACTCTGATACGCAAAAGATGAATATAAGAGCGCCCTAAGTGCCGGCTTGAAGCAAGGACGACTTTACACGGGCCAGTTGTTTGGCAGTAACATTTGTTGGGGTTGTTGGGTTTCTACTACCTGATCGCTAAATCCTTTTGCAGTGTCGATGGTCTGCGGATTGCTGTTTATCAGTACCGGTAGGTGAGGGTTGGTCACTGTAGGACAAACTCATTAACAACGACTATCAGGAGTCAGTATAGGAAGCCTATCAACGGGTATAGCAGTCAGTCTCCAAGTCCCCGGATTGGAGTGCCGTGCACAAGGGTACGTCTTTCGTACAATACATGCAGTTATGGCTATCGCAATCGGTATAACTATTAGGTTATGAGTACTCCTAATCAAAGATTGCTTGCTAAAGTGGTAGACAGGATCAGGCATGTCAGGGCAACTAGTCTTGACACTTAGGCTGGTTACTGCTTGCTACTTTCTGCTTTTTGTTTCGGTTACATGTGAAATTTTCTTTCTTTTATTTTTTTTTCCTACTCTGTTTGTCTTGTTTGTGTGTGCGGTCCATGAGCCTCCTCCCTCCTGGCTCGTCTGGGCCTTACGAGCCTTACAGCTTGTAACAACTCACTCACTCACTGTATAACTATGTACTCCATGTTAGTACCAACCTACAGTAGTTTTGAACAAAAAATGCCCAGCACCAAGAGGCTTCAGAGGTCTTAGGTCAGAACTAGCGTTGCCCTGTCTATCGACTGATAATGAGTTACGAGCCCTTACGTCAAGGACATTGGAACACTGTGTTTAATTTCTCGCTTGCGGAAATGCCGCGCCCTCGATATTTCGGCGAAGCTCTCGCCGCGACGCGGCTGCGAGGGGATGATCCGACCAACAGATGGACGCCATCTTACACAAATTGTTATTGTTTCCATCCCCCGCACGTTCAGGATAAAAACTTTGCAGCCAAAAAACTTCTTAACCAGTCAACGAGAAGGACCACTGCGGCCATACCGGTTACCGCCCCTGTATGGCGTTGAACCAGTACCACCAGTCCTCCGCAACCGGATAACTCCATCGGCTCCCAATCTTCCCTCTCCTGGCATCCTCCTACCCTTCTTCCCCACCTCTCCCATCCTCACTCACCGCTCCTTCCCCGCACCTCTCCTCCATGTTCACCACAGTTACAGCGCGTGGCATTAGCGTCGCAGGTACCGAAACATGTTCAGCTCATCGCTTAACACGGGTGGGCTGTATACCGGTATAGCCTTACCACGTGTTGCCTGCTACGGTACACCGGTGTTCTCAGCAGTTGCATAACCATCAGCCCAGACCACCTACGGCTGCTGCTGCTGTTCTCGCTGCCCGCCCGCCTCCTGCACCTCCCTCCTCCACCTTCCCCTGCAGCAGTTCCGAACGGCACCCCCACCCGACCCGCCTCCCTGCTGCTTCCTTGCTCCCTCACGGCCAGTAGTGCGCCCGAATACCCAGCTGCCGCAACTGCTGGAAGAGCCGCATGCTGTCCGCTAGCTGTGACTTGCGGTCAATCGTGTTTTTCCAACAGCAATCCTGCACCGCCATCCGCAGTGAAAGGCAGGGGAAAGATAGACAGCAGGGGTTAGCGTTGAAGCAAAACGGTTGAGAAGGCCAGGCAGTTATGTGGCAGCAGGCGACCGAGCTTCGAAGCTTCCGCTACTGAAGCCTTGTAAAAGCAAAACGAGAAGGTTGAGCAGACGGCATACCGTACACGCATCGCGCAGCCCTAATCACATATACCGGCAGGCTTCCATGAGGAGTGGGTGTTGCTTGCAAGGGTGCATGGATGCTGGTTTGAACGCTAGTTGGAATGATGGCACTCTTCCCGTTGGGGCAGGGAAATCAACGAAGATGTAGGCGCTGTACGGCATGAGGCAGCTGTATGATGTACGGCACCCTATACGGCACAACATGCAAAGATCGCGGCGCATGCTGCTGTTTGTACGACAAACGGCAGTATGCACCGAGGCCTGTAAGAATCCCGCCTGTTGCCCTCATCATCAAGCTAGCGCACCCGCAGTGGCTTGAAGTCAAAGTGATGCTCCCAGAACAGCTCGTCAATGAGTTCGGCATACTTGGAGCGCTGCCGACCCGTGGGTCCGTCGCCGAGGATGGCACGCAGCCACTCATCCTCCACCTCTGGCGCGTCAATGTCAAGCTGCGGTCGGGACAGTGGTGCCATAGCAATGGTGCCAAATTAAGTAATGCAATTATTACAACGTGAAGGATAAATCCTTGGACGTTGCAGAGCTTACGGTGAAACAAACAATGGCCCGTCACCACTATTGCCACAACAGACCCCGTCCCACGACCCATCATCCGTGCATGACACCATTGCCCACGCCAGCGCCTCAAGGGTGAAGTGTTAAGAGGAGGAGTCGCTAAATCCTTCCCCTGGCAGACCGCTGCGAAGTGGAACAGTACCCCCGGCCTTGCTCCCCGCATCACCGCCTTACCTTGACTGACACGAAGTCCCAGGGTTTGGCCAGCCGAGTGACTACGTTGAGTATGTTGCGGTGGTCTGACATGTCCCGAGGAACGCGCATGTTGTAGTACGCAAAGGCGGGGAAGAGGTGCGGGGGCACGTCAGCCAACGCGATGTCGCCTGGGGGGAGGGGGCGGTGGGAGGGAGGCTGGCAGGCTGGATAACGAGGGATGAACCACGGAGGAAGACCAGAGCCAGCGAGCCAGCTCTAGGAGGCATCACGCCACAGCCTTGTCCTAGGTTTCCTTCTGTTGGGTTCCTGGGTTACCCAAAACCTGTTTCACGCTTGGTAATGTTGGTACTCTCTAGCCTCCAAACCCGAACCCAGGCCGCCGACCGCTGCGCCTTCCAGGATAGCACTCGTGAACCCAGGTAGCTGGACATCGCTCTCATTAGTTGTTAGTACCGGTACGGCAACACCCCTCCCCGCCAGGTACTGTACGGAACCCGCACCCACCCGTTGCCGGCGCTGCCTCCCAATATAATGCACGGTCCAGCTGAATGCCGCGCGCCGCGTAATTCTCAATTGTCCAGTGCTGGTTGGCGTTCGCTTTGTAGCCGATACCCGCACCGGCGTCTAGGTAGTACCTACGGAGGGAGAGGGGGGGAGGGTTGTCAAGCTCCAAGGGTGAAACGTGCCAAACCGTGACATGGGGTCGAACCGCATCGGTGCTTGTGGGTTTGGAGCCATGTGTACGGAAACGCACGCCGTACAGAAGCAATTGCAGCCCGCACGACAGGTCACCCACAACTACAATCCGCACCCACGCAACAGTCAACAAACTAACAAGCGCATATACATATACTAAACCGTGTCCTTCGTACTTGTTGTGACCCATGGGTCGTCTCTGGTCCGCCCCGCCCGCCAGTAGTGCATACGAGAGGTCAAAGATGCTGGATGCGGGGGGAAGCCGTGAGGTGAACTTATCGGGGCACTTTATGGAGAAGGGGTGGCGCAGGGCACCGACCAGGGACCTGAGGGCAGGCAGGGTAGGCAGGCAGGCAGACATTGGTAAATGTTAATGGAGCGCGTCTCCTTTGAATGAAGCAACTTCAAAACCACCATTTTCATAGGCATGACTCACTCGATGTGCTCCTTACGGACGACCTCATGTGTTCCGCACTTGACCTTGGTGGTAAAGTAAGACAGTACGGCGTCCGCATCCGGTTCTCTGGATAGTGACGTATTTGTCTTCATAAGGGAAGCGATGAGAGCCAACATCCTCTGAATTGCAGGCGCTGTTTCGCCTAGCAATCTGCAGTATGGGGTTATGTTGTGCACGTCGCCGTTGCCTTCAGTTTTCCATTTCGCTGCCGAATCAACCCAAATTTTCTCCAGCGGCGACGGTACGTACTGGCGTTCTAAAACGCTGCAACGTGTTCTCATAGAGACATGTTTATGTATATCGCCACGCCCTCGACGTAGACTGCCGCTGCTTCGAGTCAACGCCCAGTGACTGTCCATAGCCCCCGCTCGAGCAACAACTAAAAGTGCAATGATGAGTAGTCGCCTGGGCCATAGTAACTGTGCCAAATGCATTCTCCAATTTTCGGCGAGCCTCAATGATGACTGCAAGTACTCTGCGAATGCTTCAACAAGATGCAAAATAGAGGAGCATGCATATCATACGGTAATGCTGTTGACAGGATCTGCATGCTGCGAGACACTGGTAAAGCTGGGAGCATGACGGTTGCAGCAGTTGGTAGCTTCGTATATAGAAGCACCGGATTTTGCTAACTGCCAAGTTCTTTAAGCAAATTTTCTCGCGCTTGGCCCTGAATATCCTCATATTTATGTCACACTTGGCTTGCTGGCGCGAGTTTGGTTCCGTGGTCTTAGATCAGAACTAGCATTACCGTCCCGCTTAGTAGGGAATAACAATTCTTATTCTGTAGCATAGGTTTTTAGTAAGGGGAGCAAAGCGATTGACTTGCGGAAATGCCGCGCCCTCGGTCCCAGCGCACACCGGCGGCAAATGAAGTCCTGGAGCAGCCCAGCGAGACAGCCCCAACAGTGCCTTCAGAGCAGCCACAACCACCAGCCAGACGTGTCCTTGATAATTCCCAAGATCAAATTCTCCGCAGCCTGCCCAGCTCCCTTTCCCGCGAACAAAAGCTCGCGGCGCTCGGCTGGAGAGGAGGATGCTTTTGCTGCCCCGCAAACATAAGCTTTGGACAGTGTATAGCGGGCTTCTGGCAGGCCGCTCGCAGCCCAGCCAAATCAACAGACTCGCTTGTCCATTGGGGATTGAACGCTTCCAAGTTCCTGTTTGAGGCTGGGCCCAACGCCGCACCAGGATTCGAGTTGCTGCTTCGCGCGGGCTTCCTAAGCCTCGCGCCTCAGCTGCTGACGCTGACGGGTGAAGTGCCTCAGACCATCATGCTCACACCCCAGGTAAGAAATCCACGTACGAACGCCCTCCAATTACGTGTTCTCCACGCATCCTCCCCGGCCTTTAGTGTTGCCTGATTTCTAAGATCTGATAGCGCCATGGGGAAGGGGCCCTTCATGCTTAAGGCCTGCTTTTGGATGTCTGATACAACTGTGTCTGTGTTAGGCCTACGGTCTAAGCTTCAACATGACCACCACCACCCTTCCAACAAGATGTTTACCGTGCCTCCCCATCCCACCACCTCACCCCACACTCGCCCCATCTCCTCCCGCTCCTCTCAACTGCCCCTTTTCTCCTCGGCCCTCCTTCCCCCCATCCTCACCCCTCCCTCCCCACAGCTCTCCTTCACGCAAGTCTTCGCCACAGGCGGCAAGCAAATCCCCCTCGCCACCTCCCCTCAGCTCGTCACCCTCAGCCTCCTCGCCCAGCTCTCAGCCGCACCCGCCGCCCTGGCCGCCCTCGCAGCCTCACCCGACATCATCCCCAGCCTGCTCCGCGCCCTTTCAGCTTCCTCCGACGACCGCTTCCGCTCCCTCGCCTTCCAAACCCTAGCGGAATGCCTGAACTTTTACCCAGAGGAGGAAGCGCAGGAGGAAGGGGCAGCTGCTGCGGTGTCCACTGCCGCCGCCTTGGCTGCACGCCTGCGTAGCTCCCTCATTCAGCGGCTGTTAGACTCCGGCGTGGCGGGTGTCACAGCAGCTGCCCTCGAACGCAGCACCAGTGCAACCGTGGCGCGGGACGCATGCGCCTTTCTGCTGGGGATGCTGCTAGGCAGTAGCGGCAGCAGCGGTAACAGTAGCAGTAGCAGCACAGCCGCGCGGACCGCAGGCAGCAATGCCGCCCGGCAGCAGCAGCAGCAGCACGGTGGGAGAGCCGGCGGTGACCCACGGGTCAGCGGAGGCGGCGGCGGTATGCCGGCGCGGGGCCACCACCGTCAGTCGCCCGACTGGGAGGGGCTGACGGCGGCTGAGCTGGCGGGGGGGGCGGGGCTGCCGGGCGGGGCGCTGAGCGGGCGGGTGCAGCGGGAGTTGCTGGAGGTGGGGGAGATGCGGGGGAAGGGGCGGGGGGGAGCGTGTGTGTATGTGTGTGCTTGGGGGTTAGTTGGGGGCGGTGCCGTGTGGCAGGAACCCCAACTTGCCGCCAAAGCGACACTGACCTGGGAGGGCTGTGTGTGGGGGAGGGTGCGGAAGGCTGGGGGGAGGGGGCGGGATGTGGGGCACAGCAGGAACGGCCCCATGGCCCAAGCCCCATGCAGCACTCCCTTCCCCCTGTGCGCCCCCTCCTCGCCTCTCCTTTCCCTCTTCTGGCACCCGCTTCCCCTCCCTACCTCCCGCCCGCCCCCTACCTCCCCCCATGCAGGCCGGGCTGCTCCCCGCGCTGCTGTCCTGCCTGTCCCGCCCGCCCTCGCAGCTGCGCTACTGGCAGGCCATCAACCTGGGGGTGGTGGGCGCCCGGCTGCTGGAGATGCAGTGGTGGCTGCTGGGTAGGTGGCGGAAGGGGGGAGAAGTAAATAAGTGAAACAATGAGTCCCGATCCCATATCCCAACTCATGCAGCGAGCGCATTCGGAGACACTGGGCGGGGGAGGGGGGGACGGGGAGGGGGAAGAAGGCTATCCAATGTGTGGTGGCGGGGAGGGGGGAAATGCGGGAGGCAAAGACCACACCAATCTGCCCTGTAGGTGTCAGGGGGAGGGGACGGGACCAAACCCGACACCCCACCGACGCTTCCCCTCCCTCTCAGTTTCCGTTGTCATGCCTCCCCTGCCATCCCCCCCTCTGCTACCCTCCTCCCTTTCTTTCTTGTTTCCTGATCCTTTGCTCCGCAGTGGTGGCACGCACCTGTCTGCTGCCGCAAAAGGCATCGGAGGAGGCGCAACAACAACAACAACAGCAGCAGCAGCCTGCAGCAGCAACACCAGCGGCACCCGCGGAGTCGCAGTCGCAGGCGAAGGAGGGGCGGCTGCTTGAGGCTGCAGCGCAGGCGGTGCTGCAGAGCCCGGCACTGAGGACGTGGGTGGCGCAGGTGACGGCGGCGGCGGCGGAGGTAGCAGGTGCCCCGTCAGCGACAGGAGCAGCAGCAGCCGGCGGAGCAGTGGAGGGAAGAAGCGAGGCGGCGGAAGGGGCGACGACGGTGGCGGGAGGGGCAACTGCTGCTGCTACGGAGGGCGGGTGCTCCCTCCCCAAGGAGGAGGGGAAGGCGGAGGAGGAAGGGAAGGAGGAGGAGGAGGAGGGGAAGGGGGAGGAGGAGGGGAAGGAGGTGGCGGCTGCTGCCCCGGCCCCGTCAGCAGCGGCGCCGGGCACATCCCAGCCAGAGCTGGCCGTGCGAGTGGTGAGTGCAGGGGAGGGGAGGAGAGGAGGTGGGGAGGGGGGGGGTATTCAGGTTCAGGAAGCATGGGGGATGACATGCACGCATAACAACGGTGGGCCGGATTCCTTCTTGCCAGGCCTCCTGCTGTCATCAATGCGCTTGACTTCGTAACACACCCACACCTCCCTCCCTCCCCCTCATCCTTTCCCTCCACACCTCCCTCCTTTCTTTCCCCTCTTCCTCCCCTCCCCTCCCCCTTCTCCCCCTGCATGAGCCGGGATTTCTTCACTTTCCTTGTACCTGTCTCTCCCCCTTCCCCTTCCCCTTCGGCTCGACTCACGGGTTGTTCCATCAGGGCCTGTCAGCTAATTTACCACTATCACACCACACACTGGAATTTCTTCTTCCCACCCCCAACCCCCCCCCTCCCGCAGCTCTCCGCCGCCCTTTCCGCCTCCTCCGAGCGCTGCATCTGCCTGCCCGCCGGCCTGCCCCTTGACTCGCTGCCGGCGACTGAGCGCGGCGCCACACCCGACTGGCGCATGCTGCAGCGCGACCGCATTCGCCGGGCGGCGGAGGAGGCGCGGGCGGCGGCGGCGCAGGCGAGTGCGGCGGCGGCGGTGGATGTGCTGAGTGCCGCGGTGGCGCAGATGAAGTAGTGAGGGAGGGGGGTTAAAGACCATACCAAACCATAGGAGACCACAGGGGGGGGAGGAGGGAGGAGGTGGGGTGTTGCGTGTGGTGAGGAGGGAGGAGGAGGAGGAGGATTGGAAGGAGAGGGAGGGAGGCATGAGGGGGAATGGGAAGGAGGGGGTTTAGGTAAACTGAGCCGGGGAAGGAGAGGGGGGGAGGAGGTGGTGTCGATGGGATTACGAAGGGTGGTGGGGGGAGAGAGGATGGAGGGTTTGCAGGGAGGGTTTGTGTAGTGGAGGGATGGAAAAGGGGTCTGATGGTAATGGCGTAAAAGAGGGGCTCGGTGGGGGGGATGAAAGGGAGGGCTCAGGTGGGGTGCCGCTGCTGGTGTGGGTTGTGTGCGATTGCAGGGTTGGTTTTTGGCTTAGGGGGAGCTTCTGGGCGGGGTTCGGCTGCCAGAAGATGTGCTTGAAGCAGGGAAAACGGGGAGAAGAGAGAATAAAACCGAAGCTGTGAACGGTGGTGGCCCGTGGTAAAGACCTCTGCTTGAGGCTTGACTGCTGTGTTGTATTTGTGGCACATGTCGACACATGGTGGACGTTAACTCAAATGTTGCGAAGATAACAACAGCTGTTGAAGATCTAACAACTTGTTTTTCACCTTGCATTATAATACATCTAATGTTGAGTATTGACACAGCGCTAATCCCCAAACAGTCTTTCATACATAGCCTGGATGCCGTGTAAGGTATATATACCGGTATCCTGTAACGACGTTTTGCTGCCGAGGACTTAGGTAGAGGCCGGGGACCACGAACGACCCGCGACTGTTGCTGGAGTGTGCTTGCGGGGGGGTGGACCCTGCGACGGTGCGAGGAGTACCATGTGTCATGTCGTTGCGTGATGAAGGAAGCAGCAGCATCGACAGCAACGGATTCCTGATGTGCCGTGAAGCCGTGCTGTAAAGGAGGGGCACGCAAGCACAGGGTGGTGCGTTCCGACTCGCGGCCAGGTTTCTTGACACACCGGGTGATGTCACGCGTACGGCGAGCTGCTGCTGCCCCCCCAACCTGCTGTCCTTCAGCACATAATACCGTACACTCCATAGTAAATTTCAAACAGAACCCGTAACCTCCCAGGACCCCAGGGAACTTCTCATCCCAGGCAACATCCTTGCTGCAAAACAACGCCGCAAGCGAACCAGGGTACCAAGCAACAACTACCCCCTGCTCCCTTCTCCGTACTCCCAATCCCTTACGCCCCCCGAAGTAAGTTCCGAAACGGTGGCGGAGTCCCTCCCGTCACGCCCGTTACTCCCGTCCCTCTCGTCGCCACTGCGCCAGGCGCCGTGTACGACTCCCAGGCAGCCGTTGGCTCTGCTAACGATGACCAGGAAGCAGCCTCTTGCCGTAGCTCCGCTTCCACCGCGACCCGTGGGTCAGTTTGGGATTCCCCGCCGAAGCCCGGGCGCAGGAGAGACCTAGTGGCAGACCAGGAGCGACGGAGGAAGGCGCCAACGCTGGTGTCTTCATCGTCGTCGTCGCTATCATCTACGTCTTCCTCCTCCTCGTTGCCTCCATTCGGCACACCGAATTTGCGGCTGCCATTGCGATTGCCGACGCGGCCGCGGCCGTTGAGCCTGCTGCCAAGTCGCTTCGTCCAACGCTGCCACGCGGCCACAGTGACCCGTGGGTCAAGAGATACCCCAATGAAGCCACCGACGATTAACAAGCTGCCTAGTATGAACTGCGCCAAACTCATCTGCGCAGGTGCATGATGAAAATGTTCGGAGCCAATGGGAGGCCGAGCGCCGAGGGGAACAAGGGCGTGCTTAGGTACAATAAGCAAGTGGTGAGACGACCCAGACGAGGTACAATAAGCAAGTGGTGACACGACCCAGACGAGGTACAACAAGCAAGTGGTGACACGACCCAGACGAGGTACAACAAGCAAGTGGTGACACGACCCAGACGAGGTACAACAAGCAAGTGGTGACACGACCCAGACGAGGTACAACAAGCAAGTGGTGACACGACCCAGACGAGGCGCCGGACACATACGCATCGCACCATTCGACTCAACTCGCGGCCTGTTTCTCCAAACGCATCGGGCATGGTTGAACCTCCCGGCAGCCTATCCCAACTCCCTCACCGCTCACCCGCGAATCGCTCCACGCCAGGTGTCCACCGTTCACCATGGCGTCCACGATGCCGGCTGCGGGGATCTGCATGGCCAGGCCGCAACTGGTGGCGGTGGGGCCCTGCAGGTGGGGGGGAGGGGGGGGGCAAAGAGGGGGGATTAGGTAAACTGAGCCGCGGAAACACTGACCCTGACCGTGGGGGGAGGGAGGGGGCAGGCCGGCCAGGTTGAGCAGTCAGGCCCACAACTGAAGAAAGCCAAGCACCCGTTATGCCGATAACGCGCTTTACGGGAGGAGGGGACCAACAGCTGCCCCCCTCCCGTGTGTCCAGCTGACCTCATGTGGTGAGCCCCACCCCCACCCCCATGTGACACCCATCACCGCAGCCCCCGCCCCGTGTCGCCCCCACCCCCAGCCCCATCTTGGCGCCGTATCCCTCAGCCAGTTAGTTGTTTCCTCTTTACCCCGCATGCCCGCCCCCACCAGCAGCATCACGGCTCGAGCCCATGCGTAGTCCGCCGCCACGTAATCCACCAGGCCTGGAAGGGGAGGAAGGCAGGGAGGGAGGGAAGGGTGGAAGGAAGGAATCAGCAAGGGAGGAAGGCGGCAGCGCAGGAAAGGAAGGCAGGGAGGAAGGCAGGCAGGAATCAGGGCCACCAGAGGGCCCACACAGCAGGCAGCGTGGTGCTGCACAGCGGCAGCGGCAGCAGCAGCAGGACGGGTCACACAGTGAATGGGAAAGAAGAAGAACGTGCCGACTGCGCGGGGGGAGCAGGGACCCACCGGTACCTCTTTTACCGGTATCCGCCCCTGTGCTCGCCCCCTGCCGTTGTTCCTCGCACTGTAACAGCACCAACCGCAAACCCGCCGCCCCGTCCCGTCCCATCCCGCACCCTCCGTCCCCCCCTCCTCTCCCCCCCCCTCACCCTGCACCAGCGGGATGATGGGATTGGGACTTAGTTGTTTGCATTTCTTATATAATTTTTCCCCTCACCCTGCACCAGCGCCAGTCCCAGCACCCGGCCGCTGAGCCGCCTCATCGCCCCCGCCCCCGCCGCCGCCAGCAGGCCCGCCAGCGGCAGCAGCACTGCCGTACACAGCGCACCGATGAAACCCAGGAACAGAGCGGTGGCGGAGCCGTCGTCCTGGGGGGGGAGCGGGGGTTGGGGTTGGAGTTGGGGAGTTGGCCGAAGGGGAGCCGTTGCGGGAGGCCAGGAAGGGAGGGGGGGGCCGCGGTAGGATAGCCAAGGCGCGAGGATGGGTAACGAGCCACCGTAGCACAGAGGCCCCTTCCCTCCCGGGGTTTCCCTCCGAGTTCCCCTCCCTCCCCCCCCCGCTACCCAACCTTGCGCAGCATGCGCTTCATGGCCAGGGTGTAAGCCGCGTACAGCGCCGCCGCCAGCAGCGTGAGCGCGTCCCCCTGCAGCGGCTGCTGGGAGCCACCACCACCACCTCCTCCTCCTGCTCCTCCTTCCCCTGCTCCTCCACTGTTCCTGGAGCGGCTGTCCCCCAGCGCCACCAGCGCCGTGCCTTGGGGGTGAGGGAAACAGCAGCAGCAGCAGCAGGCTGGGGTGCTGCGGACCGGACAACGCAGCATACATACACAGCACATACCGGGGGCATTGGAAGCAGCAGCAGGGGCGCGCCCACGGCGGATCCATGGGTCCGTACATGCCTTGTGTGCTGTTGTCAGGAGCCGCGAACAACCCCCCTGACAGGCGCGCATGATGCGCACTCGCACACACCCGCGCACACCGATACACCCCCCCCACACACACACACCTACCTGCCATGGCCGCCACCACCCCGGCGAGCCGCAGACTGCTGCCCGCCTCCTGACCTACACGGGCGGGTGGGGGTTATGGCGAGGGTGGCGAGTTTGCAGTGGTGGCAGTGGAGATGCTGCAGTGACATGGACCAAACCCCAACCGCCCAGCCCCAGCTAGCCTGTCCTTAAGCCGCCAACCCCGCACACACATCCATCCAGTGCTCTGCAATACTCACTGGTCCCATTCCCCACCACGCACCCAGTGGTCCTATAGAGGAGGCACAATTCCCTACACCTGCTTCCCACCACCCACCCACCCAGTGCCAGACTGCCCAGGTACACGAAGAGCGAGGAGCATGAGGACAGCACGGTGTTGGAGGTGACGGAGGTGAGCTGCAGCGAGGCAGTGAAGGCGAGCTGCGCGGAGAACCACACGGGGGCCACCTGAAGGGGGGAGAGGGGCAGGAGGCAAAAATTATACAAGTGAAACAACGAGTCCCAATCCCGGGGGAGGGGGCAGGGGGCAGAGGAGGAGAGGGCAGGGGGCAGGGAGGAGAGGGGGGGAGGAAGGTTGCTGCGATACGTTCATCCCACGCATCGGCCAAGCCACGTAAAGGCGCGGGGCTCGGCGTTTTGCGTTATGGCTTCCTCGCACCGCCACTAGAGCACTTCCCAGGGCCTCCCAAGAGGCTGCCTAGCCGCCAACCGCTAACCCCCGCTACACCCGCTCACCACCAGAGCTGCCTTCAGGATCTGCGATGTGGCCACCTCGCCGCCTCCTTCCTCGCCTCCTCCTCCTCCTCCTTCCTCGCCGCCCTCGCCCTCAGCGGCAGTAGCACCTAGAAGCCCCGCTGCTGTCGTACCTTGGTAGCCCCCTTGCCCCGGCTCCTGGTGCTTCCCTTGTTGGTTCTGCAACCGCTGCTGGTGGTGTTGATGGTGGTGGTATTGGGGATGCTGTTGCAGCAGCAGGGGTTGCCGTTCCAGAGGCTGCTGCTGCAACCGCGCTGGCAACCCAACTGCGGCTGTTGCGGCTGTCTCTTCTTCGCCATCTTCGCCCGCTAGCCCCTCGACTGCCTCCTCGTCTCGCAGGTTGTTTGAGCCAGCGGCGGGGGCTTTGGAGGCAGCGGTTGCGCTCCTGTAGGCGACGATTCGGGGTCAGCAGGAGTCGACAGGGGTGCCTGTTTTAGCCCAATCTCTATCAGCTTTCCGAGCAAGACTGTCAAGGCGTTTAGCGTTTTGCTTACTCTACCCATGAATATTCCCATGGATATAAAACTTCAGAAAGGATGTTCTTGGCCTCGGGGCCTCGTCAAGGCGCGAGCAATGAGCATGACCTGTGCAAGCACAATAGCACACCTTTTGCGCTTGCGGCTTAGGTAACCAAATGGTAGGTACAAGGTAAATGTCGACGAGCAGATAAGTGTCAGTAGCCATGGCTCCAGCTCGGGCCCATCGCCACTGCTAGACGGAGACACCAAGGCCTGCGTAATAAACGATGCGCCGATCCAGGCTGCAGCAGTAATAAAGAGGAAGATAAAGCCTAAGGTTCCATTCCTAGACATCGTCGTTTATAAGCCTAGGGCTTTACCCCTTTGTAAGGAAGCCTAGCTAAGGCGCAAAGCCCGCAAAAGGCTCCAAGGCAGGCATTTCCGTTGCACAAGTGTATAACCATTAACCAGATAATTCAGGAATGCTCACTCGCGAGCGCCAGGCAGTATTTAGATGGAAGTCGTACATCTGTGAGTAAAACGTCCTGGTCACGTGGGAAATGTAGAAATAACGCTTCCATCAAGCAGTCTTCTCGTTCCAATCTGAGCATATGTGGTTTATGGCAGCGCCCTTACCGGAATAGCCACGGCAACCCACATCAATCAACAGTTAGCCGTTCCACATGGCAGGTGCTAGCTACCTGCGTCGCGCAGGTCGTTTTAGCTCATCTTCAGCACGATATTTTTAAACTAGGAATTGCTACAGCTTATAAAATGGCTTCGGCCCCGCAATGCAGCTTCGTGGCCTCACGACGAGGCGTCAACACGATTATGCACGATGTTATACGGGACGTGCTAGAGCGGCAGGCCGTCAGGATCCTTAACATTCCCCCTGTTGTTGCTACGGTTGTTGTGGTTGTTACTGTTGTGATCGTCGACGATGAATGCTGCTCGCCGAGCCTTAGCTTCCTCATCCGACTCCTGCTCGCCCCGAATCGTGCCCTCACAGGTTACTTGGGAAGCCGCTTGCGAGGCCCTTGTTGCGTTGTTGCCACTGCCGTCCATGTCCGTAGTACTGCCGCTGCTGGTGTACTTGATGCTGCTGCTGCTGCATCAATGGCTGTAGCTCCACACCCTCAACTGCATGTACGGTAACGCAAACCTGCTGCTGTTGTGTTATTGACATTCCCTCATGTCCTCACGTGCATCCAGGAGCCTCAAGAGCCCCAGGGTCTCAAGGTGGAGGCTGCTGGCGGGCGTCAACAGTGCTGGTACTCGGTACGTGCTTGCCTTGCGCGCCTGTGGGCTCCATGTCGCCTGCTGCTTCCGCGCCTACCTCGCTGTGCACATGGTTATGACTTGCAGCGCAAGGTACAGCAGCAGCTCTGCAAGGAGGATTTATTCAGCGTTGTTTGTGCGCGCTCTTTTCCCAAAGCGATTCAACAAATTGCTGGAAGCAAAGATTCTCGACCTAACTGTTTGCCTTGTCAGCGGAGTATTATGTTATACTGGTACCTACCTCGCTCGCTTGCGGGTCAAGTAGCCTATCGGCAGGTATAATAGAAAGGTAGGAGCTCCGATTAATGTCAGCAAGCCCGGCTCAAGTTGCTCTTTGCCATCAGACCTGTCGGCTGTTGCTGCGGGGCTGAGCAACTCCTGTGTGAGGAAGGACGCCCAAATCCAGGCAGCCGCTGCGGCTGTGAGGAAGAACAAGCCCAAGGCCTTGCAACGAAATAAAACGTCCATTGGATTTTGGATAGCGTCTTATTCACTGAGCTGTTTCGCTAACCCGGTAATGCTATTACAGCTCGCATCCCCGGACTCAAAGGATGGGTACTTCAGCGCAGTAAGGTTCCGGGCACACGTGCCTTCTTCACATTTTGCTCCTCGGCCGGGTGGAATCATGTCGTCGTATCTAGATGACAGTAGGCTGTTGTAGACCAGATGCAAAACAGAACTGAGCCAAAGGCCAAGTGCACACTCTTACTACTTGCAGAGCTCGGAAGTAGGAGTGTTAACCTTCCGCGTCCGATCGTATTCTGCTACCAGTAGGCCAGCTCTTGCACCGCGTTAAGATAAACGAGCTGAACAGCTTGTATGGGTGCAGTCCTAACTTGGTAGTCTTCAGCGCGTCGGTCGCTATGTTACAACGTTTGGAGGCAATTATAGGCAAGGGTATAGGCTTTCACCGGTAATAAAACCTAATCTAGTAATATTACCCTATGCGCAAGGTACAGCCAACTACATCGCCACAAGCCCCTGATGGCAAAATTCACGTACGAACTATACACAATGTTAGTTGCGATCCAACCTTCGGATCCCGTTTCGCTGGGTAGTCCAATATGCAACAAAACTTGAGGCGCTACCTTTGTCCATAGTAAGCGCTTTATTCGCAAGTCGCCATGGCGGCAACAGCTGTTGCGAGGCTTGAAGCTTTGGAAATGTCTAACCAACACGCCGCGTAATGCACCATTTAACAATGGAAACCATAAGAAGGATAGTACTGGCTTGGCCTCTTATAGTTGGGCTAGCCTTGCTCGCCTACGATGTCCTGATGTACGCCGAAAGCCTTCGGGCCGGTACTCACATCACGCAAACAACAGAGCAAACCGTGGACGTATTACCACAAACCTTGCAGCGGCCGCTGGAGGACGCCCTGCTTACCGCCTTGTCGCCATCCCACCTCCATTTCACCGCCATCGGACCCACGCTCCTACCCAACGCCGCACACCTCCTCGACACCCTGCTCGACGACGCATTCCTAAACGCCTCTGCCACACACTGGCAGGTCAACGCCTCCGTCCTGCACTCCTCCCTTCAACTCCTACGCAGCGGCAGGGATGCCATCCTCCAACACCGACATGAACTTCAACAACAACACCACCGCCGTCGCCGGCTCCACCTCTGGAACCATCGCCAGCAACAGCAGCAGCAGTCCCTGTCCCAGCCTTCTTCTTCTTCCTCTCCCGCTGCTGCCTCCCTCTCAGACTGGTTGGCAGCTGTGCAGCAGACGCTAGCGGGCCTGCCGGCGGGGTCCAGTTCCCACCCGCAGCTGCGGAGGGGCCTTGTGGCGCTGCTGCTGCAGGCGCGGGTGGCGGCAGGGGGCAGCTGGAGCCAGGTGGGGCGTGGGGGGGGGCAAATACCCATGGGGTAAATACCATGCCAACCCATTGGAAGCCACAGGTTAGGGCAACGCAGAGGGGATAGGAGGCGGCAGGGTGCCACAGCGCAGAGTGGTGGTTAGTGGGAGGGGGGGCGTGTGAGGGCGTGTGGGTAGAGGGGGATTAGGTGGAGGAGAAGGAGGAGGGAGGCGGCTTGCGGGGGTGAGCTCCGGCGGTTGGTTGCGGTTGCAGGAAGGTAGGGGTGGCTAGGGCGGGCCCGGGGGGTCAGCGGCGGGAAGGTAGGGGTGGCTAGGGCGGGCCCGGGGGGTCAGCGGCGGGAAGGTAGGGGTGGCTAGGGCGGGCCCGGGGGGTCAGCGGCGGGAAGGGGCGGGAGAGACACCTGCGGTAGGCGCTGCAGTGCCGGTGAAGGGAGTGAGGGGAGTACCGCTACCCTGGCGTTCGGACGGGGCTGGGTCCTGGCCTTGCTGCTGCGGGTACTTACACCCACTGCCGCCACCGCCGGGTCCCGCTGGGGTTTGCCTTCCCGTCCCGTCTCTGTAACACTCCACGTCGGGGGAACACCCACCATCTCCCACTCGCTCCCACTCCCGCCCCTCCACACAGTCGGACGAGGATGCAGCAGCGCACATCCTGCTGCAGGTGGGTAGTGGGGGACATGCGGGGGCGGGGGGAGAGACATGCGGGGGCGGGGTGAGAGACATGCGGGGGCGGGGGGTGGGTAAGACCGGTGCCGGCCTGCCTCCCTAGCCCAGTGCACGCGCTGGGTTGCCGCCAGCCGCCAGCCATGATCCGCCAGCCGCATGCCGGGGTCGCACGCCCCGGGACCCCGGGAGGTACTGCTACCGGGTGTCAAGGGACACCGGCACGGCTCCAAAGGCTGCTCCCTCCCCCCAAGTTGTACGAGCTGCACCCCTGCCGTACACCCCCCACTGCCGTACACCCCCCACTGCCGTACACACCCCCTCCCCCCCCAGTTGTACGAGCTGCACCGGCGGGGCGCCACCAGCAAGAGCGCGGTGGAGTACTACCACTTCTCCAAGGCGGCGGGAACCAGCGTGTGCCTCACGTCAGGTGGGGGCAAGAGGGGGGGAGGGAGTGAAGGGGGGAGGGGGGGGCTCACGTCAGGTGGGGGCAAGAGGGGGGGAGGGAGTGAAGGGGGGAGGGGGGGGCTCACGTCAGGTGGGTAAAGCAGAGGAAACTGACGAGGCAGCTGACGGGCTTGGGAGGGCGGGGTCACGGCCAATTCACCACCGGCTAGCTACGTAGCTAGTCAAGAAGAAGCGGGGGGCTGTGGGGGAGGATTCGTACACACGGGCGGGTCGGGGTGCATGCTGCAAACCATGATGACGCCTCCTCAGTGTCATCACGCAGTTCGTTAGTTGTTTCCTCTTTTCCCCCACCCTTGCTGTCCCCGCCTCACGCCCCCACGCACCCGGTCTTATGGCACCCTGCCGCCTCCTTCCCCTCCTTCTCCCCATTGCTTTGCCCCACCCTGTGGCTTCCTATGGTTCGGTATGATCTTTGTCCCCCCTCCTACCCCCCCCCAGCCGAATCCGGGTGCACCACCTTCTCCACCAGCGAGCAGTTCACCTGCCTGCTGCCGCCGTTCGGGGACGGACCCCGGTGGATCAGCAGGCGGGCGCATGAGGAGCGGTGCAGGTGGGGGGGGAGCAGATGAGCGGTGCAGGTGGGGGGAGGGGAAGGGGGGGAGTAGAGGAGCGGTGCAGGTGGGGGGGGGGAGCAGATGAGCGGTGCAGGTGGGGGAGGGGAAGGGGGGGAGTAGAGGAGCGGTGCAGGTGGGGAGGGGGGGGAAGGGGAAGGGGGGGGGGTAATGGGACCGAAACCAAACAGGCGGAGGTGAAGGGAGGTGAGGGAAGCCTGCTTGGTGGGGCCGGGGGAAGCCAACTGAGGGCCCCACCAGCTGTCATCATGATGCCTGCACTGATTCTCCTTTCCCCTCTTTGGGCCGCGGCTTCTTCTGTCTCTCCCAACCTCTGTCCTGTCCCCTTTCCTAACCTCCTCCACTCTGCCTGCCAACCTCTTCGATGGGGTGCCGGTATTGGCTACCTGCTACCCCACACGCACCCACGCATGCCCCCAGGAGAGCGCTGCCCGACTCTCCGGACTGCCCCAACCAGATCTACTCGTGAGTGGGGTGGGGGTTGGGGTTAGGGGTGGATGTGGATGTTGGGGTTAGGGGTTGGGGTTAGGGGTGGATGTGATAAACTGAGCCGCGGAAGCACTGACCCTGACCATAGTTTACCGGGCTGGGGGTGCGGGTGGGACAGGGGTGGTGGTAGGGCTGGGGGCCGGTTAGGGCTGGGGGTGGGTACAGGGTGGGAACAGGAGTTGCCTTGGGACAGGGGCCGGGTGGTGGTGTGCGCTGGGGTTCACAGAGGGGCGGTGGATTGCTGCCCACTTGGCTGGGTGGTGGGTGCTGGGCTGCCGGGCTCTACGTTAAGCTCCTCCGGCATCTCCCACCTCGCCTGCCTCCCCACCCACCAGTCCCGTGCGCAAATCCGGCCCCAGCCTTCCTTCCTTCCCTCCTGTGGTCACGGCCAGTAATCCATTGCGGCTCTTAGGCTACCATTTCCACTCGTCAGCCCCCCCTTTCACATCCCGCCCCCCTTTCACCTCCGTCCCCCCCTCTCCCCCCCCCTCTCCCCCCCGCAGCAAACTAGCCAAGTGGGGCAGCCGCTACCCCGCCAAGGGAGCCCTGGTGGGCTGCGGGGCGCGGGCGACAGCGCTGGCGAAGAGCGGCTTCAACTTCTATGCCAGGTGGTGGTGGGGTGGGGGGTGGGGGGTAAAATTATATAAGAAATGCAAACAACTAAGTCCCAATCCCATATCCCGGGAGGGGCCTGCACCGCCCTGCTTGTTGTTGCGCCAATACACGGCAGCCTCCCCCTCTTCCTCTCCTCCTCCTGCAGCTCCTCGTCCTCGTCCTCCTCCTCAACCTGCGGTTGCTCCCCGCCCTGCATCTTCTCCGCCCCGCCCCTCCCGCCCGCCTTCGTTTTGGTTCCACCTCTCTGACTCCCGCCCCCCCCCCCCCGCCTCCCCGCCCTACCGCCGCCCCCCCCCCCCCCCGCAGTGAGTATACGCTGCGCCCCCGCGGCGGCAAGGCGGGCGCCCCCCCCGGGCTGTGTGCCCAGTTCCTCAACCTGGCGGTGCTCAGGTGAGGTGACGGTTTGAAATACGGCAGGGCTGCGTTTAGGTGGGGACACACGAACCCGGCCGGCCTGTGGATGGCTCCGTCTTACCCTCCAACCCCGCAAACCCCGCACCCCACTCTCCCCTCCCCTCTCCCCGCCCGCCTCCTCCCCCCCTCCCCCCCGCCCGCCAGGTCCCCCATGTCGCGGGTATCCAGCCACCTGCGGTACGTCATCCGGGTGACGTACGACAAACTGGGCAACCGTACGGCGCCGTACTTTGGCGGCATGCGTCTGGCTGACTGGCGGGCGCTGCTGCCGGCTGCGCTGGACAACTATTACGTGCGGGGGCTGCTGGGGGAGGGGGTGTTTTACACGGGTGTGGTGAGTGGGAAGAGGGGAAGGAGGGAAGGGAGGAAGGGAAGGGAGGGATGAAGGAAGGAGGGAAGGGAGGAGGGAAGGAAAGAAGGAAGGAAGAAAGATAGGAAGGAAGGGAGGGTGTGGAGTGGTGGTGGGCGGCGGAAGAAGAGGTGATTGTGTGGTGGCTGGTTGGGTACCGGTAGATGGGTGGGGTGGGTGGGGTGGGTGAATGGGTGGGGTGGGGTGGGTGGGGTGGGATGGATGTGCTGTAGGAAAGGCACGGTAGGCACATGGCAGCATCACGGTAGGCTTAGCGTGCAATGGTTTTGGTTGGCGACTGCTTGGTACGCTGTCCGCCTGCCTGCCCGCTTCCTTCGCTGCTCGCCCGCTGCCTTGCCTGCCTGCCCGCTTCCTTCGCTGCTCGCCCGCTGCCTTGCCTGCCTGCCCGCTTCCTTCGCTGCTCGCCCACCGCTGCCCTGCTACAGTACCGCAGCCAAACTGCTGCCCCACTGCTTCAAACTGCTGCCCCCTGCTGACCCTACTACCACACACTGCCGCCCCACTGCCGCCCCCCCGCTGCTGCCCCCCTGAGCAGGGCGGTCTGACCGAGTGGGAGCACCTGCCGGCGGCCCGGGCAGTGCTGGGGGGCATGGATGTGCTGCTGCTGCTGGAGGTGGGGGGTGGGAGGTGGGGGGTTGGATGGGGAGGGAGGAAGGAAGGGATTGAGCTGTGGCTGGGTAATGGCCACTGCAGCATGGTGCCAGGTTTCTGAACACACCCTTTCTCCCGTGTGTCATGAACACTGGCCGCGAGTCGGAACATACCCTCTGAATGCCGGAAGATGAAGTCCCCAAAGAAACGCCAACTGCGCCCTAGCCCCGTCTGTCTGGCACTGAGGGGGTGCCGTTGTGGCGCTCCCCTTGCCCCGACCCGCCCCGATGAAGTCCCCGCCCCTTGCCCCGCCCCGCCCCCCACCCCTTGCCCCGCCAGGACCCCGTACTGCTATCTCGACTGGGTCACAAGTGGGGTCTGGGTTGGAATGCGACGTTCCTGGAGGTGAGGCGGGGGCTGCGGCCGCATGCATGGAGGTCAGATGGGGGCCGCATGAGCCCTTTCTGCACACAGCACGTGGCTCCCATTTGCCTCCTTCCTGGCTTCCTGCGTCTGTGCACTTCCCGCCACACGCGCAAACCCCCTGACATTTCTCTGGAATCCTGTCGTACAAACCCCCTGAACCGCCGGGAACCCTGCCGTACCATACACGCGCACAGGCTGAGGGCCGGCGCGATACGGCTTCCTTGGAAGAGGTCAACCGGATAGTCAACACGGTAGGTAGTGGGCTCGGCAGCACTGAACGCAAATTGGGTATGGGGGAGTAGCTCCCAAGTACGGTGTGCTGCTCTCCCCCTCTTTCCGCCACCCTCTCCCGCTCACTCCCGCAACCTCGGACTCCACCCCCCACCAGCATCCACCTGCCCCCCTCTTTACCCACCTGTGTACCCCGCCTCCCCCCTCCCCTCCCAGTGTCTCCGAATGCGCTCACTGCATGAGTCCGGATTCGGGATTGGGACTCCGTTGTTGCACTTATTTATAATTTTCTTCCCTCCCAGGTCCTCCCCACCGGCGACGAGGCGGACAGTCTGGCTGCCGGCAACGCACTGGACCTGCAGCTGTACGACTTCGCCGTACTGCTGAGCAGGCTGGATGCAGTGGTGTGGGCGGCGGCGGAGGCGGCGGGGGAGCCCACCAAGGTGATCGTGAGGAGGTTGTGCTTGTGCGTTAAGAAAACTGGCCGTACGGAGAAGGATGTGTGTGTTTGTGTTTGTGTTTGTGTGTGTGTGTGTTTTGAAGGAGGGGGAAGGGTGATGTAGTGTGACCGCGACGTCACACTGCCGTAACCTTGCCCTTGTGAGCTGAAGACGCCATACATGGAAGAAGTGCCCTTGTCAGCTGCGTGCCGGTACGTCGGGGAGGTGCCCTTGTCACCTGCGTACGTCGACCAACCCGCCGTTAACCGTTCACCCCAATCATGTGCAGGGCAAGCGGCGAAGGCGCTGCGGCTACGTGCCAGCCGCACCCCTGCCCGCCGGCACAGCGAGCAGGGAGCAGTCCGGGGGCGGCGGCAGCAAGGGGACAGCAGGCAGGAGACACAAGCGGAGCAGCAGCCGCGGGGGTAGTGGGGCAGTGGCGGCTGCTGCTGCTGCTGCGGGCGGGCGGTAGCAGTAGCGGTGGCGGTGGTAGCGGATTCTGCGATAGTGGACAGGGGTAGCGGTAGCAGCTGAGTAGTAGCTGTGGTGTGTGGAGGGGAAGCAGCAATGCCTGCTGGATACCGGTAGCATGGAAGAGGAGGCGTGAGCCTGTTGTTGTTTACGTAAGGTAGAGGCTGTACAGATGACCCATGGGTCGCTCAGCACTGGTAGACGGGCGCGCATGCGTGAGTCCGTGCGTGTAATGAGGAGAGGCCGTGCGCACTGGTGGGCAGCCAGCCCCGTGTCTTCATGTGCATGTGCTAAGTGATTACGTGAACGATCGCGAGCCCCTCCCACAATCCTAGGCTGCATGCGGCGGCTGAATGCGGCTGATGTTGGTGTCATGTTGGGCAAGCCAGTTCGCATCTGAGCGCGGGGAAGGGGATTCTTGTGTGGTGGTACCAACAGCCCCCAGGATGACACCTGGCACATGGCTTGACAGGATTGTGTGAGACCAAAGACTGGGTGCCGCAGGGCGCCTTGGTTTAGAGACGTACGGGTACCTTGTTGTGTTAGGGTGTTTGGGTTGCCAAGGGGGGTTGATTGGGCTGGGTGGAGCTGCCTGGGTACGGTAGTGGCGTCCGTCATGGTTGTCTCCGGTATTGTACGACAAGAGTGTGTTGAAACTGCCCTCGTGGAGACCCAAATTGGTGAAATCTCAAGGACGCGTGTTTAGGTGAAAAGTGGGTGTACCGTAACAACCAAACAGCGTTTCTTTCGGGTAATAGTGAACCGTGGGTCGGTCGGCATTGCGGATGCCGTGCTTGTATGTCGTCACGTGCTTTGACCGTACGCACTTGTAGCAAAGCTCGAACTACCACTGTGCCTAGACATTATAGATAGACAGACAGCTTACCATACACGCCCAAGCTAGCGGAGCTTCGTGTTTTGCTTCCCCTAAACGTGCACGTTTCAAAAGCCGAGAGCCAGGCATTGGAAAAGGGAGCTCGATGGAGACGCATTCTGGATTCGGGTGAGCCATGTCGGTATGTCTTTTGCGAGCAACAGGCTGCAAACAACTGCGACCAACTGCGCCAACAACTTGCTGCGGCAAAAGCGCTTTCTGGGCTTTCTGTGACTCATCATCAGACAAAGGCGCGGCTACCTCTCATAGCAGCTGCTAAGGCCCAAAACGCTGCCGGCTTTTTTCCTTCTATACCGGTACCCTGCTAAACATTTCTCATACGCCCTGTGCTGCTACGTCTCCTGTCCCGTTGTAGACGTGAGACGGATCGCGAGGTGCCGCAGCAAAGCGAGCAGGGCCAGGTCTTCGCGAGCAAGCTGCAGGCACGCATAGAACTAACGTTAGCCGACCCCCTTTGTGCACCCGTCCTACTGCTGCTGTTGTTGTTCCTGCTAACCTGCCACACACTGTACCGGCTAGCACAGCGGGAAGCCCTGTCCCCGCCCCGCCCCGTCCCGCAGGTGAGCCCGCTGCTGGGAGTGGCGGGGCAGGATGACCTGCGCGGGGGGCCCACCCGGGCTCCGGGCCAGGCGGCGGCGCGACTCAACCCCTCGATAGGCAAGTGGGGAAAAATTTATATAAGTGGAACAACGAATCCCAATCCCATATCCCGACTCATGCAGTGAGCGCATTCGGAGGCACTAATAACACGCATCTCAAATTACTTACCGAATCGTTGCTTACCGTAAACCGAGAGGCCTTGAGGAAGAAGCCGCCGGTCGTGATAACAAGTGAGGCGGTGGTGGGAGGGAGGTGGTGTGGCGGCGAGAGGGCAATGGCAGGGGAAGGAGGTGGGGCGAAAAGATTATATAAGAAATGCAAACAACTAAAGTGGAGCGTTCTTGGATTTTCCTGAATGCCCCCCCTGCAAACTAGGCGCTCCGACCCAACACCGCTCCACAAGCTCCGACCCCCTCCCACACTCCATCCGCCCTTTCCCCCGCCGCCTCCCACCATCCCCTCCTTTCCCTCCTTCCCTTCCTTCCAGCTGCTTCGCTTCTTCATCTGTTTCCCCCTCCTTCCTGATACAGAGTCACGCAGGGAGGGCGACACCGCCCCCAACGCGCTACAGGGCGCCCACGACCCGCGCCACGTGACCGGCTACAGTCTCAGCTACGGCGGCCCCGCTGCCGTGCCCACAGAGTACGGCATTGGCGGGCCCGATGTGACCACCGGACCGGGCCCTATGGTGGCGGAGGATGAGGCGGCGACACGGGCTGTGGAGGCGGAGTGGGCAGGTGGGGGAGGGGGGTGTGCATTCCCGCCCGGGGGAGTGTATCACCATCCGGGTTGCGGTCGTCGGCGTGTGTGTGTGCCTGCGTCCATATCCTCGATGCAACACAGTGCGGATTCCTTCTTTGCTCGCTGCCCGCTCGCTTATATGCTGCTGCTGCAGTCACTGGCGAAGGCGAGCATGTGAGCGGCCAGGACATTGTCGACAAGCTTCGAGCGCTGTACACAACCTCAGAAGCCGACACCGAACACAGCGGCGGCGGCGGCTCCGCAACGCTAACCGCAACCGCCAACGACCGCGCCGCCGCTGCCGCCGCGGCCGACAAGTACAACACCCCAGTGGGCGCCAACGAACTAACGGGCGTCACGGGCGGCGCGCCATTGCGTCCGGAGGACTTTTGTGAACTCGGTACGGAGGCCGGAGGTGCCGTGGAGGCGACGCAGGCGGCCGCGACGGTTGGCCGAACGGCGGCGGAGGCGGCGGCGGGCGACCCGGGCAGCAGCAGCGGCGCAGGCGGGGGGTTGCTACCTGGGGAGGGGGGTGTGAGCGAGGATGTGGTGGTGTTGGGAGGGGGCCGGGGGCGGGAGGCGGTGCGGGCGGGGCTGACCGCTGGGGACTATGAGGGATTGTGAGGAGGCAGGTAGGGGGTGTGTTCCCCATAGAAACGTCACTAGTGAAGTACAGTCGGTGTGTAGTTGAGTAGGACAAGGCTTATGCTGACCTTGGAGGTTTGTGGGGCGGGGTTTGGGAGGAGTTGATGGGGATGGGGGAAGCGAAGGAAGGGGGATAGGGATTTCGATGGGGATGGGAAACACAATGAAGACAGCTGCGGTGCGCTGGTAGATCCTGGTCAAGAATGTCGACTCCTATGTGTTGAACTCTGCATGAGAAATCGACAGTGTAAGCAATTTCAAAGTGCGGTTAACAGCAAGAGTTCTTAATTTGCGGTTCGAGACTACGATTAACCGCTCATACTGTGATGTATGTATGTATGTGTTACAAGCTTCGTACCGAGCTCGTAAGATCCGTCCGAGCCAGAAGGCTCATGGATCGCGAGCACAAAACGCGAAAACAACCAAAAGAAGAAAAGTAAACAAAAGAGACAACAAACAGAACGCTAATCATATGATAAACCCTGTCTGCGCAATCCTGCGACTTCGCATGCTAGTGATTACGCTAGCAAGCAATGCCTGATTCTCCATGCCCATGACGCTCGCGCACACCGTACGGCGGCATTTGGCGGGATACGGCAAAATTACCTGCGACGCTTACGATCATCAGGGACGTTTGAAGGAAAAAGCGGTTATGCAGTGCGAAATTACCGCAAAGAAATGAAAGTGAAAAAGATAACCTCTCTTATTGTCGTCGCATCCTGAATTCCGGATCTGCCACGCGTTACTGCTACATCGCAAGCAAACCGGTATCATCTAAATTCAACATACGTTAATACACTGAAAACAACGCTAGGGCTTTGTACGCTAGCCACTTCGTCCGCTAAGTTTACTCAATTGGCTCAGTATGCATTCCTAATCCACACCAACTAATTATAATGCACAGAGGTCTTATAACCCATGCGGCACGGGCATGGCAGCTGCTTCCAAGCCTCCGCAACTGCTCCTCCGCCTGCTGCCAGCTCACCAACTTCATTGCATCAACGGGCCCCTTCGCAGCAGGCCGCAGCAGTGACCGCCATGTCACCCCCAGCGCCTCCCACCTCCTACTTCCCCTCCGCCGCCTCACGCCTCAACCGTCACCACCACCGCCAGCACCACAGACACCAATCCTTGCAGCTCTTCAGCAGCAACAGACCGCAGTCCCATGGGTCGTTGCTGCTGCTGCCTGCCGCTGCTGCTCCTCCTCCGCTGCCGCCCCTCCTCGCTCCCTTCACACCACACCGCCTCTGCTCCGCCGAGCCCCAACCTCCTCCCCATCACCCTTACCACCGCCCCCATCACACCCTGCCGAGCCCCTTCCTCCTCCTCCCCACCCTGCTGCTGCTGCTGCTGCTGCTGCTGCCGCTCCTCCGCTGCTGCTGGTGCACCCCAGGTGGGCGGTCGGGTGTATCGGCGTGCTTCCGTTGCAGTGTGCAGGCCGGCTCTGTTCATCTAGCCATCCATGTTTGACTGCTCCCGCCTCCTATCGCCGGTGAGGAGCCGTTGAGGAGCCCGTTGTGCACATGAGAGTACAGGTACCGGTGGGACCCACCTCGACAGGCGCTGTGGGGGCGCGCGCGCGCATTATGTGAACATTGCCCCCCACCCAACAGGAATAAACCACGATTTACGTGCTTCAACTTCAGTCCCCTTCACACCTCCCACCCCCACTCCCACTCCTCCCCACTCCCACTCCTTGCTACATATACCATTCATTTCTCCCCACTCCCCCCAGGTACCGCGGTGCGGAGGACCGCCGGGAGGCGGTGCGGCTGGCTGAGGCCCTCACGGGCGGCCGGCAGTGCCCCGTGGTGGAGGCGGGCAAGGCAAAACTGCGATCCCGGCCCACTCGGAGAAGTCCTGGTAGTGGTGCTAGCGGTGCTAGCGGTGGTGGCAACCGAACCACGGGTCGCGTCAGCAGCTTCTTCGGCCGGGGCACGTTGCGGCAGCTGGCAGGGCAGCTGGATGCGATAGAGGCAGCGGCGGAGGCGGAGGCAGCAGCGGAGGCGGGGGGCGGCGGGGGTGCGGGTGGCCGCGGGGGTGCAGGGGGCCGCGGGGCGCCGCCGCAACGTGCAACGGCGTTCGTGAATGCGGTGTTGACGCCGCTGCAGGTAGATAGGGGGGGCGGAAGACAGGGAAGCTGGACACCCCCTCTCAACAATCAGCAATGGCTACAATTCACCACTCGTGTTCCCACTCTCCCCACGTGCCACTCCTCCCTCTCCTTCCCTCCTCTTACCCCTCCCACCCACCCCTTTGGGACTCGTTGTTTCACATTTTTAATTTTTTACCCCCTTACCACCACACCACACATTGAATATCCTTCTTTTCCGCCCCCAAAAGGAGCGGCACCTGGAGGCCTCCCTACAGCGCCCCGTGGTGGACCGAGTGGGCCTCATCATCCGCCTCTTCGCGCAGCGGGCGCACACGCGGGAGGCAAGACTGCAGGTGGGGGGAGGGGGTCAGAAATGTAATGTCATAGGAAACCACAGGTGGGGGAGGGGGGTGAGAAGGGGCGGGGCCGGGGCGGGAAGGCATGGGGCAGGGAGGGTTGGGGGGGAGGGGCGTACACGTGGGAGGCGATACGGCAGGTGGGGGACGGAGGTTACGGTTACGGCCCGTACTTTACCCCTGCTGCTGTGGTGCTGCCTTCTGGCCGCACTCTCCTCCTCCTCCTCCTCCTCCTCCTCCCATAACCCGTTTCGAGTAGCCCTCTATTGCCCTATACACACATTATCCCCCACCACCCAGCTTGTTAGCTTCCTCCTCCCCCACCCCCCCCCACCCCCCCAACCCCCACCCCTTCACCCCCCACCCCAGGTGGAGCTAGCATCCCTCACCTACCAGCTACCCCGCCTGGTGCGAGTGCGTACGCCAGACGGCAGCAGGGGCGGTTTCGGAGCCGGCGCCGCATTCGGAACCCCTGCTGACGGTTGGAATTTCGCCAGTGGCGGCGGCGGCGGCGGCGGCGGTGGTCCCGCGCTGCAGGTGGTGAGTGCGCGGCAGCGCGGCGCGAGTGGCGCCGGCGGACTGGGCGGCGGCGGCGGCGCGGGCGACCCGGAGTTGCGGCGGCAGCGGTACCGCATTCAGTCGCGAGTGGCGGCGCTGCGGCGGCAGTTGCGGGAAGTTGCGGAGGCGCGGAGCGTGCAGCGGCGGGGCAGGAGGGCGGCAGGTGAGCAAAACAAACGAAACCCTGGGAATTCGCAGGTTATCCCCTGTCTGCCTGCGTCGACCGTGTGACCGTCGTAATCCGCTCACATGAACCCCCCACCCGCGGCAGCACCCCCCGGCAACCCCGGCAGCTTTGCTAACCCCCCGGCAACCCCGACGCCCCCATCAGGCCTCCCCACGGTGGGCATCGTGGGGTACACCAACGTGGGTAAGACCAGCCTGGCTCGCGTCCTGTGCTCCAGAGGCAGCTCCTCCCTGCCGCCGCCCGCCGACATGCTGTTCGCCACACTGGACCCCGCGGTGCGGCGGGCCTGGCTGCCGACCCATGGGACGGCGGTGGCGGTGTCGGACACGGTGGGCTTCATCCGGGACCTGCCCATTGGCCTGGTGGCGGCGTTCAGGTGGGGGAAAGGACGATGGGACCCATGCGCAGTGACCCACGGGTCCGTCCCGGTGTTTTCGAGCTCGCCTGGTTGCCTGTACCTGTTGTTTTTGACAAATAACGGTAGCCTGGAGGATGTGATGGCTGCTGATCGTGGGGTTTAACTCGCCGACCCACTTGTCTGCTTCGATGCTGCTGCTCTCTCATGCTTCTGCTACATATCGTTGGTATCGTTGAAGCACGCTTGGCCTCAACAAGCAACCTCCTCAATTCCCCCGCCCGCTCACCCACCTCAGGGCTACTCTAGAGGAGGTCGTTGCAGCTGACCTGCTGCTCCACGTGCTGGACGCCTCCAGCCCCAACGTAGCGGAACAGAGGTCTGCCGTACTCGCAGTACTGCGGCAGCTGGGAGTGGACGAGCATACGCTGGCGTGCCGTACAATTGAGGTTTGGAACAAGGTGGATTTGTTGGGGAAGGGTGACGAGAGGGTGAATGCGGCGGAGGGAGGTGGTGGTGACGGGCAGCGGTGGTGGTTGAAGGGGCATGGAGGCGAGGTGACGTTGCATGGGCTTGGTGGTGAGGAACTGGAGGTGGAAGAGGGGGAGGAGGAGGAGGAGGAGGAGGAAGAGGGGGAGGAGGAGGAGGAAGAGGGGGAGGAGGAGGTTGACGAAGAGGAGGCGAGCACTACCGGTGCCGATACCGGTATAGGCGGTGTGGGGGAGCAGCGCTGGGCAGCGGTGCCTGCCGAGGACCGGGGCGCTGGGGGCCAGCAGCGGCAGGCCTCCCCACATGCGCCCGGCAGGCATGTAGGCAGGGGCCACCCCGGGCCCTGGCAGGAGGGCCCTGCCGCAGCTGCACGACCAGCCAGGCGTCTCTTCCCTGCCCCTGGGGATTCATCACCGTCGCCATCGGCAGCAGCAGCAGCAGCAGAAACCTCAGCGGCAGGAGACGACAGCAGCAGCAGCAGCAATACGCCTGGAGCTTCCTTCAGTGGAACGACGCACCAGCAGCAGCACCCACAGCAGCGCTCGCTTTGGACGCGTGCAGACAACGCTGCACCACCTCTTTATCACCCGCCACCGTACGGCAACCCCGGTACGTCGTCGCAGCCCTGTCACAGCGGGTGCCACAACAGCACCAGCGGTAGCTCCACAGGCACCGGCAGTACCGGTAGCAGTGACAACACCTCTGCTGCTGCTGCTGCTGATGGTGGTGGTGATGGTGGTGGTGATGGTGGTGATGGTGGTGATGGTGGTGGTGATGATGGCGATAATGAAGTCAGGCGCCAGCTGGCGGCGGCGGCCGACCTCGTACGGCATGTGCACACGGCGGGCGGTGCGGTGCCGGCGGCTGTCGTACTGACCTCGGTGGCGGCGGGCGAGGGCGTGGCGGAGGTGAAGGCGGCGATTGAGGCGCTGCTGGGGGCGCCGAGGGGACCTCCTGCTGCTGCTGCAGGTGGTGCTGCTGCGGCTGCAGCTACTGCGGCTGTGGATGGCTCGGCGGGTCGGTGGGTCACTCCCTCCCTGTGGCTGTCCTCATGGCTGCACTGGCCGCCACCCCCGCCGCCGTCACTGGCACGACCGGCAGGGGCGCCCATGGCGGCTTCGTCCCACAGCAGTGGGGACAGCAGAGGGAGGCGGAGGGGACAGCAGAGGGAGGCGGAGGAGGCGGTGGGCGGTAAGAGAAGGAAAGGGGAAGGGAGCGCGCAGGTGCCTGAAGGGGAGGAGTTGGAGGACTTGATACGATCGCTGCGGCGTAAGAAGCGGCGACGGGATGCAGATGAGGAGTAAGGCAGCGGAGGATGGGTAGGGCTGATGGAAGCTGACACGGGGCAGGAACCTTTTGGATGGAGATCTGGAAGGCTTAGAAAGGGCGTAAGTACTGTATGGGGACTTGAAAAAGCAGACAAGTAATGTACGACAGCAGTAGTACGACTTAGTCATGAGGTACGCTGACCGTTGATTAATGTGGAGCAATGACTGATGCCCTTCGCATGTTTGCAAGACAAGAACGAGATCAGTTCTGGAGTGGGACCTTGCTGGGCTTTCTACCTGACGGAAAACCCCTTCGTCGCGTGCAGAAATTACTGTCTAGGTTGTGATTTTGCAATTCAGGAGCTTTTATTCATAAATTGGGCAAAGAGGATGCGACAGTGCCGAATAGCGGCGCCACAGGGCGCGAGGGGACAGCCGTTCGCGCACCGTCGACAGGCGCTCCGGGGGCGGACTGCATCTGTAAGCCCATTTGGTGAGTATATTGCATTAGATGTACAGTTTTGTCGACTCATTTGCCCTATTCTCGAGGACTTTGCTGGCAGAGTGCCATCCTCAATGCCCACTTCAGTCGATACTTGGCTTTTGCAACACATGCTGAGAATCGGGGTTGCAAGATATTAAAACCATATGGAATTTAGCGCCAAAGCGGTGTCAGGAGCTCAGTCTCGTGGTCGAGTTGGCTGCGGGTTTGAGGCCAGATTTCGCCTATAACACACTGCTCCGCCTCTTAGGACCAACGCCTGCCAAAACACGCTTTAGCCATGCTAGGCCCTTGCTCTGCTGCTGCGCGCACCTCCCTGGCCGTCCAGTTGTTGTCTGGCTTCCTCCCCAACCCCTTTCCCCAACCCCGCATCCTCACCCCGACCACGTTCCATGCCGCAGCAGCAGCCGTCAGCGGGACCGGGAGCATGGGCGTTGCTGCAACCCACCAGCAGCAGCAGCAGCAGCAGCAACAGCAGCATTCACAACTCCCCATCTCGGATGAGTCCAAGGCCATCGGTTGCCTGCTAGGGGCCATGTGTGGCAATGTGTTGGGTGCACCGCACCAAGACGACCGGCACTTCCAAGTTGTACGGCAACGCCGCAACGGTGTAACGGACTTTTGGCGGTACGACATTGGACCTCATCCCGTACAGTACGGACACTACACAGGTAAGCTGCCGTACTTTCCGTCGTTAGGCTACCTGTGATGGGCTGATGGCCCGCGACGTGGCTTTTCTCCATCACACGCATGTCCAACCCCCCAACCCATTCCACAGGCGACTTCTCCAACTTGCTCGCCGTGGCAATATCTCTCGTCCAGTACGGCACCCTAGATTGCGGTGCCGTACTGACAAGCCTCGTACAGAGCTACGACCCAGATCGCCGGCGGTACAGCATGTACGACAAGATTGTCATGGATGCCGTACTGGCGGGTACGGAACCCCTGCAGGTACGGCACGTGGGCGCCCCCGTAAATACCTCTCGCGGTTACGAACCCCCATGCTTCCTCCACACCCTGCATGTGACACCGCTCCGTGCCGCCGCTACTGAGCAACAACCGGGTCTTCCTTACCCTACCGGTACCCACTTTGCTTTCTGTCTGCCACACCTCCAAACACACGCAAACACACACTCCGCAGCCACAGTACGTTCCGTCTCGCGGCCAGTTTTCCAAGCACTCCCCGCAAAACCCCCCAACACCGCCCTCCCCCCCGCAGATTCCCCAGCTGGCCGAGCGCTACCTGGCCGAGGCCACCCGGCGGCTGGCCAGCAGCAGCAGCGACCGACCCGAGCGGGAGCCACATGGGCCCTGCGACCTGGGCGCGGCGGCGCGGGCAGCGCCCATCGGCTTCGCGTACAGGTACTCGGACTGCTAGGGACCAGGGAGGGGCGGTAGGGTGCTGGAGAAGGTGAAGAAGGGTACACCATGCGAAGGAGGGAAGGGTGAGGAGGAGGCGTTGTTACCGGTATTTGTGCTTTTGCCGGTAGCGCCCCATGTTGCCTTCCAGCCCCAATCCTCCTTCCCCTCACCCTTCCTTCCCCTGTGTTACCCACCAACACCCTCCGGCTTGGCCACACGTGTCCGGTATCCTTTCCTCACCCCTCGCCCCTCACCACTGCTGTACTGCATTGTCACTGCACTGTTCTACACACGCTCTACTGCACTGTACTTCACCCGCAGGTCGGCTGGCCCCGCTGCGCTGCTGTCCGCTGTGCGCTCCTCTCTGGAGTTCTCGCACCCCACTCCGCTGGGGCTGGACGCGGCTCATGTGGTGGCGGCGGCGACTGCCTGGCTGGCGCGACAACAGGGGCAGCAGGCGGCAGGCGGGCAGCAGGGGCAGCGGTCCCCGCAGGCGGGAGTTGTGGCTGGCAGCAGCGGCAGTGGTGATGGACCTGGTGGTACCAGTACGGCAGGCAGCAGCAGCAGCAGCAGCAGCGGCGGCGGTCCAGAGGCCATGCTGTCGTACTTGATTGATGAGGTGGCGGTGACGTCAGACATGCTGGGGAAGCTGCGACTGCTGCGGGAGAGCCTGTTCCAGGTGGGGTTACAGACCGCACCGAACCATAGGAAACTCTTGTTGGCTTCAAGGTCGCAGCCTTGACTTGGCATGGTGGTGGTGCTGCTGCTGGTGTTGGGACTGGGGGCTCGCGTTCTTGCGCGCCGTGCATATGCTCGTATGCTCCCTGTCTTCCTCCTGCCCTTTCCCCGTCCCTCCCATCCGGTGGTGTCCCGTATTCGTGTTGCTCTTCCCCATCCCCACCCTCCCTGCAACAAGCTTGACTACGCGCAATCCTAGAATCCGGCCTAATGCGGATTTTCATCCCTATTAACCCTTAACCCCTCCCTGCCGCAGGTTGACGCAGTGACCGACTGGCGAGCCTTCTACGCGGGTCCCCAGTGGCACGCGCTCGCCTCCCTCATGACCCGACTCTGCTTCCACGGCTTTGCGACGGCAGGCAGTGAGTTTGCGGCGGTGGCGCTGCTGGCGCTCATCACCAACTGGAACCGGCCGGAGCAGGCAGTTATCGTGGCGGCGTCGTTTGGGGGCCACGCGCCCGCTACCGCGCAAGTGGTGGGGGCGTTGGCAGGGGCGCTGCATGGACGGGAGTGGGTGCCGGAGCGGTGGTGGAGTGAGGTGGAGAATGGCGAGGATGGCGGTCGGGATGTGGTGGTGGAAGTGGGGAAGGCGCTGGGCGCGTTGCGTGTTGATGAGGAGGGAGGAAAGCGTGGGGAGCAAGAGGAGGGGGAGGGTATGGAGGGAGAGGAGGCAGGGGCGAAGGTTGATGGCGAGGCGCGATGATGCGGTGATGGCGCGGCGGTGTTTTGGGCCGTTGGCAAAGGCAGTTTTATCACTGGTATAGAGGGTGTGAAGTATTTGCGTTGGCCGCATACTGAGAGGAACCCATGAATCCTATCCAGTCCAGGGATAGTACGGACGGGCAACGGGCAACTGCCAAAATGGCGCGGAGACATGTTAACAAGGACTGCTTGTAGAACCTGATCATCTACTTGTTCATACTGAAGTTCTATTGCTTTTCATTACGTAAACGTCATGGACAAAAAGCGCAGCCGAAAGTCAGTCGCTGCAGAGACCGAAGACAGCGTCGATGACGACGACGTTTTCCAGCCGTCCGAGGATGAGCAATCAGAGTCAGATGAAAGCGAGTATGAGCCTGAGGCCCGCCCAGCGAAGCGTTCGGCAAAGGAAGGCAAGGTGCCCGCCGAGGAAAAGTCAAGCAAGATACAACAGCAGGTTGCTGACCGACTACGCAAATCCCTGGCAACCAGCATCAAGGCGCAGATGGTTTTCAAGAAGTCACTCAAATGTAAGGACGGGTCAAGGTCAAGAGTCTCGACCAGGCTTACTTGCTTGTCATGGCATCGGGTTGCCTTAACTGCTGTCTTCAGGCTTACAGCTTACTTACAATGCTGCCTCTGCTCCATACAGACGGTAGCTCTCGCATCAACGTTGAGATTCCCAACTTGAAGTTGACCGACCTCGAAGGCATCCTGGGGCCGGGCTTGGTGGGTAAGGCCAGCAAGGGCCCCAAGCAAGTGACGGTCACCACCTCGGGCGACGACCTCCGCAATCTCTTCGGAGTTTCCCTGCGTAAGGTATGATCCATTGGTTACGCAACGTTCTACCGTTTCCTCAAACAAAGTTCCGGCATGGCCACCATGTCGGTGTGTAGTGTTCGGTCAACGCAAGTTCCACTTTGACCAACAGTAACCTGCTAATCATTTGCTTGTGGGGTGCTTGACCCTACTTTGCAGGGGCTCCGGTACGGCGCAGATCTGGTCATCAAGGACGAAGCCATGAAGTTCACCTACAACAAGGAGACCCAGATCTTGAAGGCGACGGCCGCCTGCGTGATGATAAAGTAGTAGGGGTTTCCTCCGACTCGCGTTGGTATGGGTGCGCCACCATAGCCGCAATGGCGCATGGTGGCGCACCGATACATGAAGGGGTGTTGGTGGTGGGTGATCCCGGTGATCCTGAGTGGTGGGGAGCTGCATGAGTGTACCCGCGTTTTGAATATTTTGGCTATTTGGTCTGGTACGGCAGAAACTTTATATAGCAACACACGGCAAGAGGTGTGGCACTTGAGGAGTTGTAGTAGTTAGGTAGCAATGCACAGCTCGTGATTACTACATGTGCAGCCCATGTGGCTAGCACACAAGCTGAGAGCTGTTTTAGGCAGTTGCCTCTCATTGAGGATTGAGGTATGACAGCAGGATGATCCCCCTGGCATGGATGGGGCGGCTTTCGCCATCAAAGAAGGGAAGATGGCATCTCGGGATTATTCCCCTTTAGGTTGGGTTATCCGCCAAGAAGGGAGGAATGCATTTCTTTCTTCACCTAGTGGTTGGGTTGTGAGTACACTGTGTTGGAGAGCCGTGATGAGCTGCTTGCCATGTCTGCAACTAGTGCACCGTGCAATGTGAACCTATGGCAGGGTTGTGCGAGCTATGGCGCGGCCACTCGTGCTCTTGCTCCTAATTAGCAACTTTTGCATCATTTGGCAGCAATGTTGGGAAGACCTTTTAAACCAAGGGGTCTTCAGTTGAGCAAAACTGTTGCACCATGCAATAAGGGACTTACTTTGGCAACCGTGGTGTGTAACGTTTGCTTTGCTCATCAGGCACAGCCACGGCGTGCTGCATCCTGCAACCCACTTGGCTCCTGTCTATTCGCATGCAGTAACCGATGACGGACCCCTGCTCAATGCAAGCAAACCCAAAGGCCGCTGCCCGCCTCTTCACCATACAGTTCCCCAATATGCCCGAAGGCATCCCCCGTACGTATCAGGGAGAACTACCTATAAAAACTTGCCTGTTTTGGCGCTCGAGGCCAAAACACACACATACAGACCGGTAGATCGGACACGCCAACACATACCTCCCACTAAAGATATGGCCATCAAGCCCATCCCGTCGACATTCGCCCTTCGTCCCACAACGCCCATGCAGCACGAAACCTATAGCTAGACATCCGAAGACCCACAAGTTGACCCCGGGCATTGCCGTCCAATCTCTGCCCTGGTGCCTATCTGGCAGAGTCAAGCGTCGTCCAAGTGCAGCCCCTTGTAGTACATTATCCTCAAGTAGCGCAGGAGGCGAATCCAGGGAAGTGATAAGTCCTGATACACACTGAATGCCCACTGAATAACTTGTACAACCCCTTCCCAAGTCCTCTGCTAAGGAGAGCACCGAAGACAGCCTCTCCCCCCGCCCTCTGCTTTGGAGGAAACCAAAACATGCCCAAGCGACAAAGCAACCCCTCAGCCGCATTCTAACCATTGCTAGGTGTTGCCTTCAACCAAGTCCTAAACCCCACGCTCTATCGCTCGGGCGCTGAAACGACCCACGGGTCAGGCGGTCACCCACAACGCGCACAGCTAGCCTACAAGAGAAAGCTGCTATGAGAACCCAACGTAGCTCTACACTAGGATAGGGCAGCACAAACCCAAACATACAATTGGCGTACATCGCATCCTGACAACGACGAAACCAAACACATGTAGTACAGCTGTTGGTCAAAACTACAAAGGATGTTAGATGTTGGATACACCAGTAACATGCCGCCAGTAACACAGACATACACACTTGCGGCCAGTTTTCTTAACACACACAAACACAAGTGTACTACAATGCATAGCAGAGCAGGCCGTGGGGTTCGGCCATCGCCTAGATATCCCCCGTCAAATCACACACATATGCGCCTGCGCACGCCATGCCACAAGCAAACCACGTCACATGCAGGTCACGCCACACACACACCCCGCGTGCATCGCACCGCACTGCGCCGCATACATGCAGAAAGCAGGAACCCAAGCCAAGCCCCCCATCCCAATCCACGACCCCTCCTCCTCAGCGCACCTCATCCCTTGACCTGCGCCTGCGCCTGCTCCCCAACTGCCAGTGTAAAGGTCATGGGTGCGGCCGCTGCAGCCACAGTGGGACCCGCAGCAGATACCGGGTCTACCATGAGTGGCGGCGACATGGGGCCCGCCAGCGCGGGGGGCGCCGCCACCACCATGTGGCCGCCGCTGAGTGCGAGCGCCCGCGCGATGATGGTCTTGGTGGAGACGTAGACCTGCTCCTTAATGGACATGAGCAGTGCGGCGGCGAGCACGGTCTGCAGCATCTTTAGCCGCATGCCCTGGGGGAGAGCGGGAGGCGAGGAGGAGGCGGGGATGTTGTAGCGGCGCCCTCTGATAATAAATAAAATAGTAAAGAGGGTTCCCTTGCATGCCTGCCGGCATGTCGCTACAACAGAGGAAGGAAGGGAAGGAAGGGAAGGAGAGGAGATGGATGGCAGATGGAAGCTTGAGGGCGACATGCGGGCCGGGGCCCCCTGCGGTCGAGACACAGGCACCCAAGCGCATTCCCGGATGACCGCACAGCAAAGGTTAAAGCCGACACCGCCCTGTTTCCAACGAAACCCCGCCAGCCGCCGCTCGACCACGCAACATGTGCGCGAATCCACACATGGGCTTCCGCGCACCCCGCGGGTAGGACAGCCCCATGCACCTCCCAGCTCCCACCCAGCTCCCACCCACACACGCCACCCTGCCCGTACACCCACCTTGAAGAACGCGCCCGGTCCCTCCCGCCGTACAATGGTGGCCACCGCATTCAACACGCCGGTGTAGCGCTCCTCGGGAGCCGTGTTCTTGTTGATGGCCTGCGGGAGGGGGGTTAGAATAATGGCGGGCGGGCGATGAAAAAGCGGTGCGGGAAACAGTTATGAAGTTGGGGATAGATAACGTGACGGGGCTGCAGAGTGTTGATGAGGAATAGAAGATACGAAACCCGTTGCTGGGTTACAAGGGGCAGGGTAGGATCGCGGGCAATGAGCGGCATGGACCGCAGCAACCCCTTCCGCAGCAACCAGGTAACCATACATACCAGCAGCACCCCGCAGCATGCAACCATCATTCCACTCCCTCCCTCCTCTGCCACTCCCCAGGAGCAGAGTCGTCTGGTTTGCATTCTCATTCAAACGCTGGGAATCCGTCTTTTCTCCCTCCTCTGCCCCTCCTCTGCTTCCCTCCTCCCCCACCTATATATTGTTCTTTCCCCCACCTGCAGCCTGTTCTTGATGAGCAGCATGGGGTAGGTCACCAGCGTGGCGCCCAGCTTGGCCAGCGCCGTCAGCAGGAACACGTCGCCGGTGCTCAGCCGGCCGGCCTTGCGGACGGAACTGCATGGGGGGAATATGTAGAGGGGAGGAAACAGGGGGGAAGGGAACAGGGGGAGGGAGCGAATGTAAGTCTTACCCTAGTTACCGTAACAGTTTGACAGCCCACCCACATGTGTAAGTTGTGTCCCTGGGGGAGTCCTAGGATCAGTCCTAGGAGCTCAAGTAGTGGAAAAGGTTGATTTGGGTCACATCTGCCACCCACCCTGCGGCGCTCGCTCCCCGCTGCCGGAACGCGATCAGCCGCGCCATGAGCCACTCGTACAGGATGTACTGCAGCGTGGGGTTGGACACCATCACCAGCGACGGCAGCACGCCCTGTGCGGAGCGAGGAGAGGTAACAGAGGCACAACATGGGGGGGGGGGTAAAAATAAGGAAAACTGACTAAGTGGATGGCAACATTGCAGCATGGGAGGGGGGCCACGACGCAGCAAGGGCAGGAGCAGGCGCGGGATAGCGTGAGGCGCGTGCCGGTGACCAGCAAAGCCAAGGACATGGCACGCGGTTGACTCCAGACTCATTTTCTTACCTACAGCCTAGGGCCTACAGCACTAGGCACCCGTGTGCTACTCCCCTCCCCTCTCGCCCATCCTCTCATCCCTTGACCACTGAAGCATCCCTTACCGCCGCCTCCCTCCCTCTTCCTCCTCCCCACTATCACTATCACACCACACTTTGGAATTTCTCCCCCCCCCGCCCCACCTTCCAAAACCCCATGATGCCCGCCTCCCTGTACAGCTCCACCGCCACCTGCCATGCCGACCTGGGCCGCTGGTCCGCACTCAGGTGCCGCTGCTGCGCCTGCAGCTGCGTGGCCACCACCCACACCGGCGAGGTTGCCAGCACGTTACCGCACCCCGCCAACCCCGCCACCACCAGCGACCCCACCACGCCGATGGCCTCGTTGCGGCTGCTGCCGCCGCCACTTGGGGGGCTGCTGCGGGGCGCTGCAGCGGAAGGGGAGGCGGCAGGGGAAGGAGAGGAGGAGGAGGAGGAGGGTGGGGCGGGCTGGGTTTGGAGGTGTTGCGCCTGGGCTGCTCGCCGGTGGGCCTGGGGGATGGGAAAGCGGGAGGGAGGGGGAAGGGGTGCGGAGGAGGAGGGGTGCGGAGCGGGGGACAGGGGTTGGTGGGGGGGAAGGGGGTTAAGTAGGTGCGCAGGAGCGCCGTGGTGTGTAGGCTGGCGGGTTGCTGCGTGGAAAATTGATGTGGGTCGAGGTTTGGGGGGGAGCTGTGCGGGTCAGGGAGGATAGAGAATGCATGGCCAAGTGGGTAACGCCCAGGTAACGCACGCATGCTGCGCAAAGATCAGGCCGATCCATGGAGTCCAGAGGCCAGTCCATGGCCCATTTTGGGCACTCACCACGATTGCTTGGCGCAGAGAGGAGTACAGGTAAAAGTAAACCGCCTGCGATATAGCTGTTGCTGCCAGGCAAGGCCTTAGTCCGGCAAACAGCGCGCGCAGACCCCTTGACTCAGCATACTGTGGCGGCAGGGGTGATCGGCGGTGGTTTGATTAGAGAGCAAGACGACGTGCATGGCTCGCGCATGAGCTGGCAAAACCGCCTGGCTGTCGTTTTTGCTAGAATCTCTAACCGCAGCAAGCTATGCCAACTATCACTACCGTAAACTGGTTAACAGTTTAAACTCACGATAAAGAGCTCTCGTATTGGCGATGGGAGGAAAGCGTATTTCCTTCGGAGTTCCGCAGATATTAGATCTAGCCGTTGCGAATGTTCTAGGGCCTGCCATGTTGATACAATGGCCAACGGGTAGGTCGCAGCGAGAGCGATGGATGCCCCCACTGCTCCTCCCGCTGCCTCTACTGCAGCCTCTGAAACCATGGTGCATCTACGTTTAAGAGGTATAGATCGCAAAACACAGCGTGTGAAGGCATCTTGCCATTGTATCGATGCGGACAGAACGAATCCGTACGATTCCTGTTGTTTGTCACGTCCATGCACGCTTGCTGCAAGCAGCCACTTTCCACTAACCGCTGGAGCTCCTTTTTTAAAAGTATACTTGTTATTGATTATTAAAAGCGAGCTCACGCAGCAAGAGCACCCTGGGTACTCCATCAATTACGAAGCCTGACCTTATACGCCTTTGCCTAGACAGTAATTAGCACCTGGAAATTAGGGCGGGGCGGCCCCGCTGTGGGGCCCCGCTCAGCCTGCAATGGACAACAGCCGGGCAGGCGCCTCGGCAGCTGAAGCCGCGCAGCCGCAGGATGTAGCTATTATCCACCAGCTGCTTCGGTCCATGGGCGTTGACGAGTTTGAGCCGCGTGTTGTTAACCAGCTCATGGACTTCATGTACAAGTACACCACGGACATCCTGCTGGACGCAGAAGTGTTCAGCGAGCACGCGGGGCGAGCTGCCGGACATGTAGACTTGAATGGCGTCACTCTCGCCATCCAATCACGGACAGCTGGCTACGCACAGCCGCCGCCCACGGAGCAGGTGGCGGAGCTCGCTAAGCTCTACAACGACGTGCCCCTGCCCGACATGGTCGTCAAGCCCGGCCTGCCAATACCCCCCGAGGGCAAGCTCGTTACAGCACCCAACTGGCAGTATGACCCGAACCACCAATACCAGCAGCGGTAGCTGTAGTGTTGCCTGGGTTGCCTGGGCCCTGCAGTTACCCAAGCCAGGCCTCGCAGTTACAGCTTGTCCAAGTATCCATGCCACGCCCTGGTGGCGTTGGGTGGGTCGGACTGCAGCTTGGCCGGGAGGCAATGCTCTGCAAGTCTACGGACATGGCGGTCTATGGGCACTCTGCGGCAGCCTTGCGTCGCTGAGGGAGGCTGTGAGGAGTGCAGGACGATCTGAACGGAGGAGCAGCTGCATGGGGTATAACACGCTGGCCCACATCCCCCGCACGTCTGCTGGCATTTGTTTCCATGGTGGCATTGGTTGGTGGACGGACAGCTCTGTGTCACCCAGGAACATGCCGCTTCGATGGAACCAGCGTGCGTTTAGCTACTGTCCAGGTAGTGCAGGAACAAGAAAGAGCCTTTCAGGGACTTCCAGGCTTGCCCTGATGTTTAGGATGGGTGGGTATGTCGTGCAGTGGCACGGTGCGGCTTGGAGTCGTGTTGGACAGCGTCGTGCGCCAGTGTCACTCGCACGTGGGGCTTACATGGCCGCCCTCCAAGCTGTAGTTGGGCGGGACTGCTATAGAGCATGATCTCGCCCTTTGTGCACGGCATTGTGTGTGTATGTTGCGGTGGCCTGCTGCGTGTTGGCGTCCGTTGGCAGGGCACTAAACTTGAGCCAGCGCGGCAAGGCGTTGGGAATGTGATTGTTACAGGCGAGTCAGGACGGCGCAAATGCGACACACGACCCTATGGGCATTGAGGAACCCAGTTTGGCGGTGGTGTGTGGTGGTGGTGCAGCCCTTGCATGTGGTTGGGGAGCTTGAGGCTCATGCTATGCTGCCAGTGGAGCCCAGTATGTACAAACGAACGTGGACAGAACTCAGCGGTAATTGCTGGTAGGACTTGGCTTACAGGGCTGAAGGGCTCCCTGCTTGTACTGAAACATGTGGATTGCGGTGAACAGAAGTGGAACAGAAATGGAGTTTTCATTGTGTGTGCGACGCCTGTGGAGTGGCTGGTGTAAAAGCAGGAACAGAGATGCACCCAGCCATTACTTCCCACTTAGCGACGGATGCTGCTGTCTCAGTCAAACAGTACCTTGCTCTACTTCATTAAGGTCCCAAATTCAGCACGTGTCAGTCCACTTTCGGACGGGGCCTAAGAAATGCGACTGAGGAAAACACTTGCCATGTTGCATTGGTGAGGACATTCGGGGATGAAAACGAATCAGCAGTTCCGTATTTTAGTGCAACTTGTAAACTCGAATTGTCCAGGGTTACGAATGATACTGTGCGGCTTGCGGAAAGTTGGGTGCTGCTCGTTGTCGTACGCAACATCCCCCGTATAATATTCTGTTTTAATAGCAATCTCTGTAGCGTTGACCTTTAATTACACCTTGGTTTATCTCCCGAAAACCAGGTCAGGCGACCTGCACACATTCGGCGACGCTATACTTGCATTTCGCGGACCATAACTTTTAGCTCCTCGCTTCTTTTGCTATTTAAAACATTAGCTGCGGCTATACAGCGCAACAAACCTTTGCAAGCCGAATTGTTTATGCGAAAATGATACCGGTAGACGGTGCTCTCCTCCATCATCTTCATCTCCACGATACGCTTCCGCATGAAGTGCTGCGCAAGATCCTAAAACACCTTAGCCCCAATGAAAGGGCTATAACTGGCCGATTGGTTAGCAAGGAATTTTCAACACTGAAGCCGCATCGTGTTTGCCTTCGCGAGCCTGTGGAGCCTCACGCCTTCGACGCTTGGTACTCCGAGAACGAAACTAAGCTCACACACGAGGAGCGTACAAACCTATTTGCGTTAATCTGCGCTTCGGGCTGCCTTCAAAACTTGCGCAACCTGTTGCGACGCCGATGCCCATGGAGCCCCCGCTGCTTCTTCGAAGCCGCCAACGCCAACCAGCCTCTAGTGCTTGAATGGCTGCTCCTTGAGGGTTGTCCTCTTGGTTCCGAGCGGGACTGCCAAAAGGTCTTGTTTGCGGCATCCCGCGAGGGCTCCATGGCAACATTGCGCTGGGTGGTGCGCGTCCTCCGCTGCGGCCTAACTCCTCAAGTGCTTCAAGAAGCGGCCTCCGGGCACCATCCGGAGTGGCGCGAGAAGGTCACTTGGCTCCTCCAGGAGGGCTGCCCATGGGATTCGGTAGGTCGGCTACGGTGTGCAAGCAGTGTATATACCCCGTCAACTCCCAACCTGTGACTTCTGAATGGATGACCGTCTGGTTGTTTTCCGTCTTCACACCTAAGCTTGGCAATACATGATCTTGTACGTTTGCTTCCTTTGTATCCAAACCTAATTCTGTTGCCGTCATCCCCCATGCAGCATGCGCCCTTGTCGGCAGCGCACAACGGCCACTTGGACGTCCTCGTCTTCCTCAAGGCTCATGGCCTGCAACCCGTAGCCGCCTGCCATCTAGCCGCACTAGAAATCGGACGTACGGACATTTGCCACTGGCTCGAAGAGCAGGGCGTACCATTGCCTGATGACGTCATCGCCCTAACCTCTGCCGTACGAGGTGGACATTTGGCGGCGCTGAGGTGGTTGTACGAGAAGCGGGGCTGCCGTGTCGCCGTAGCAACCGATTGCTCAGCGCTGTTGCGCGCCGCCGCGACGGGCGGCGACGTTGGCGTCTTGGCGTACGTGACGGAGCCTCGGATTGGCCGCGCGGGGCTGGCGGAAGAGCCGACGGAGGCGGCCCTGGCGGAGGCACTGCTAGCGGCGGCGGTGGCGGGAAAGTTTGCTGCTGTACGGCATTTGGTTGGCGTTTGCGGCGCGCCGCTGTGTGTTGAAGTGGCGATCGCGGTGGTGACGCAGGCGGCCACACCGGCGACCGCAGCGGCTTCCCCGCCGCCGCAGGCGCGGCGACGTCAGAGCGTGGCAGGTGGTGGTGGTGGTGCTGCTGCTGCTGCTGCCGGCAGCAGCAATGTGAGGCAGGATATGTGCTGTGCACAGATGCTACGGTGGTTGCTTGAGCGGGGATGCCCCGTGGATGGCAGGTGAGTGCTTTGGGGCGCGGAAGGTACGCTGCCTTAACGCTTGGAGAGCGGCTATACCCATTCCTTCCTACATTCTCTGCATGCCTCCCTTGCTCAACCCCCTTTCTGTACTCCCTTTGCATCCCGCACTCTCTTTATCTCAGCCTCCGCTACCTCCACCTTTACAGAGTGGTAGCCCACGCACTGCAGTCGGGTAATATCGAGGCGGCTGACGTGGCGTACGGCGCAGCGCCCATTGGGGCCTTCCGGGAGGCTGCTGTCGTACAGATGGCAGCCTCTGGTGGCCTGGAGGCGGTGCGATGGCTGGCGGCTCATGGGGCGCCGCTGGGCGGTACGGCAATCATGGCTGCGGCGGCGCGTACCGGCAGCCTTGCGAAAGTGCAGTGGCTGCATTCCATGGTGGGTGACACGGAGGTGACATGAGAGCTCAAGCTTGGGCCAAGTGCGCGCACAGGGTTCACTGGGGCAATGGTTGTGCCATTGTGCGCGCTTGCTCGTTCGAATAAACCTGCTTGACTGCAAACCTTGTGGCTTACCTTTTGGTGCCATTTTGGTCCCGCAGCGTTGCGATTGGGACGCCTCGGCGTTCGAAGCCGGCGCGGCCAGTGGCAATCGAGCTCTGCTGACGTGGCTCCGGAAGTGCTACTGTCCCATGGGTCACGCTGGCACGGCATACGTAGCAGCCGCCTCTCATGCCCAAGGACCAGACTGGGAAACATTGCAACACATCCGAAAGCTGGGCTGCAGCTTTGCCCAAGGTAAGGCATGCTGGCGCCGATAAACTCATAGTACTTAGAACTTGATGGCTTTAGGTTCACTCGACCGGACGCGCTGTGTTTCACAATTTCCGCACACACGGCTCAACCGGCAGCTAATCCGTTTGCATGACCTAGACTTTACTGTCAGCTGCCTTGCTCCTTCCATCTCGTTGCCTGCAACTTGACTTCCAAATACGGACTCCCCGCACCACGCATGCCACGTCCCTGCCATGTGCCGCCTTGCTAGGGCGGTAAAGTACCGGTGGTGATGGTGTCATGCTGCTGTTTGCACTCGCAGACACGCTCAAGGAGGTTGCGCAGCGCAACGCACACAAGCCCTGGCTCGTGGAGCTGCTCGTGTGGTTGGTCCACAACGGCTGCCCCTGCAGACCCGAGGTACGTGAAGGAGGCAAATGCTTGGCGAATGGCACGGGGGTACCGCTGCAGTTGCAGGCCTTGTAGGTCTGTCCCATACCTTTCAACCCAAGTGTTTTGTCCCCAGTCAGCGTCTACCGGTAGCATTACTAGCAACACGAATCCTCGTGCTGAAATCCCAGACCTTAAGGATGCGCCGAAACCAGGAAGCTAGTCCCTGTCATCTGACCCTGTACGTTTCCGGCTTGTCATTTTCCGTACGCAACGCAGGACGTCCATGAGATCGCCGTAGCCAACCACCGCCTCGACCTCGTTTCCCGCGTGCGTCATGCATCTGAGCTGAGGGAAACGTAGATGGAAGCTCCGCCCGTAGCTTCTGCAACTGGAGACGGCAGAATAGCCGACCTAGCCGCTGGAATGGCAGCGTGGGAACGCGTTGACGTCAGTGTGTGGACTTAACTGGCCGCGAGTCATTTTGCGTTGCATTTTGCGTATCTGTTGGCCTTGTTTGTGTTGTGGAGTCTTGAAAAGTGGGGCTCTGGCCATCTGGGTACGGCAGCTGATGTCTGTTCGTGCCGTACGCAGGTTGCTGTACAGTTGCAGTTGAACACTGGGTGGTTAATGGTGCATGTCTTATTCTGGTAACGGTGCATGTCTTGTTTGGGTAATGGTTATTGCAAATGCGCACAGTTGACTAGTTGTGTTGTTGTGGGTTCAGCAAGTTTGCTGTTGTATCTTGAGTAGGTGATCTGGATTACCTTGTCCACCTGCCTTTTGGCTAGAGAAACCAGCTGCGAATAGCTGGGGCTGCGGTGGGGATGAGCATATGTATCTTACTCTCAACTGTCGTATGTGCGACCTCTGTCATTCAAGTCTGGGCATATAGCGACCCTAACCATTCGCATAGTTCTTGGACTTTTTGACTCTGTGAAATTGACTTGCGTTTGTGTGGTGCTTACAGGTGCTTTCCCGTCCGTCCCGGTTCATCCCGGGTTACTTATGTCGTTAATAATTATGCGTAGCTGGAAGGGCGAGTTGTGCTACGGGTTCCAGAGGCGTCATACATCAACCATGCTATTGGAAGCAGACTCGGTGGAGGGGGCCGGACAGCTTCACAGTTCCATGTTCCATGCCATTTGAGTTTCAATTTCCTGTAAATTGAGTGTTACAGCTTTCAATGTTAATGCATTGTAACTTAAGCGCATGAGCACTCATGCCAAGCTTGCCATGCCAAAGCCTAGCTCAGCATTACCTAACTGTAATTCTTGCCCCTTAAATGTACTGCACATCGTCAGCTGAAAGTAAGTAAAAGTGGAGGTCTTAGTGACATGCGGCAAGGTGGGCTGCCGGATAACGCCCGACGAGCAGGTTGAACATGCAGGGCGTGCCCTTTGCGCCTAGAAACAGCAGCGAGGATTATAAGGATGATGCAGCCATACATGGACGTCGACCCTGGCTAAATATTTGATAGACAGCTGGCCGAATGCATGGTTCTTAACTGCGCAACTACGTATGCCGACGACATCCTCGGACCCATGATTCCAGTAACCTCTTAAGGAACCCAGAACCGAAATATTCGTGAAGCCCAAAGAACATCAAGCGAACTCTGTGTCAACTCAACCACACATCGTTTGCGCAGAAATAGAACTGGGACACCCGAAGACACGATGAGTGCTCACCAACACTCCCACCTTCCAGATTCTTTTGCTGCAATACATACGTACCCCTAATCCTACATAGACTCATGAAAGTAGCCCTCATGCCCGTACTTAGTTTCGCGCTGTGGAAAGTATTTCCTAGTAAGTTGTACCACCATAATAACTTTCGACTGCGCACAAATGTAAACCTCTAGCCAAAACCAACGAGTATATCATTATTAATGAGTGCCTTGGCCCTGCACATGTCTACTAAGACAGCGTAGTAATCCCGATTGATTTGTAATGCCTGGTTACGCAAAGCGGTTAGGGACGTTCTCAGCGCCTACCATAGCCACATGCTTCAGACTAAATGTCAGCTCCTAACAAGCCTATTATGAATGTACTTCACAAATTACCCTGTTGCGCTGCAGGTATACGTCAGCTCTGTCGGACTGCCGTACTGACTGACGCCCAGGATCTCCGGTTTGCATAAGAACCGAGCGTATTGTGAAGGATATTTCCGCCCCGGGAAGCTTCCTTAGTGACAGTCCTCATCGGCGGAAGTGCCGACTTGAGTTACGCAGGGGCGCACTAGACGCCTGCAGTCCCTTAACCACAGTATTACAAGTAGCCAGTAAACATGCAGCGCCTGGAGGTTCTCAGCCGCCAGCTGACGGCAGGTGCGCTGGCGCAGCGTCATGTGACAAGGCAGCACGCTGTTAGCAGCGCCTAAGGCGCCTTCTTTTAGCTCGGAATCGGCTTCGACACGATAGGTTGCATTGCGTTTGCTATTATGCATAAAATATTGCTCCTTTGTGGGTTTCCGAAAGATTGCAAGCGTAAAATTGCGCCGCTGCCATACTCGGCGCCCCGAGCAGCACCAACGTCAAAGTTGTTGGGTGTCTTTATTTTTTGCAGCATGCATCGGAGAGGACAGGACGCCGCTGCTGGCGACCAGGGAAATCTACGAGACCATGCACAAGCGGTCTCTGGAGGACCCTGAGGGCTTCTGGGGCGACATGGCGCAGGACTACTACTGGCAAGATAAGGTGTGTTTCCGCCCGACGCCCATGCCTCCATGCTGCTCTGCGGCGTAATAAATAAATTCCCAGTATCCTTGCGTTCGCCGCGTTGGCGCTTTGCCTTGCTCTTAATTCATGGTTGCATGTTCTGTAGTTCTAAACCGCGAAAATGGCGAAATCATTATAAAAGTATACTAACCTCTGTTTCTGCACCTCTTGCCGCCCACCCATCCTCGGTGCGCAGTTCCCTGCCCGCGGCCACATGAAGTATAACACCGACGTGCGCAAGGGCCCCGTGTCCATTGAGTTCTACCTCGGCGGCACCACCAACATCTCGTACAACTGCCTGGATCGTTGGGTGGCTGCTGGCCGTGGCGACGAGCCCTGTGTGTACTGGGAGGGCAACGATGAGGACGAGCGCCGCATTGTGACCTACAAGGAGATGCTTGATGAGGTTTGCCGCCTGGTAAGCTTGGGTGCCGAGGTGAAATTTAGGCAACTGTTCCGGGTCGTATCCAGCGTGCACACATCTCGAAATGGGGGATTTGGGTAGACTTCAACTTGACCAACACTGAATCGCTCTCCTTTTCGATCTCGCCGTGCAGTCCAACTGGATGCTGTCCCGCGGCGTCAAGAGGGGCGATGGTGAGTTGGGGTTCCTGTCGTAACTCCCTAGCCTGCTGCGCACTGACCCAGTTGCCCGGATCAGCCTTACCATGCTTGGCCGGGCATTTCTGATGTGGGTTTCTGCCATAAGCGAAACCATATGAGCTCACCGTCTTTGAACCTTACCCCTCCTCCTTTTCACGCTGTCCGCAGCCGTGACCATCTACCTGCCCATGGTTCCTGAGCTGCCCGCCGCCATGATGGCGTGCGCCCGCATCGGCGCCGTGCACAGCGTCGTGTTCGCCGGTTTCAGCGCCGAGTCCATGGCGCAGCGCATCATGGACTGCAAGTGAGTTGGTCACATGCCGTGCTGGTATGCATAACGCTGAACCCAGCATGGGTTTGGATAGACTGTTACGTTCCACACCCATGCAACGTGTGCGGTAAGGGTAGCGGTGCTTAACGTTTCGCTTGCGCACTGGAGAAGTACATGAAGATTTGTGTAATCAGTTTCAAAATTGTTGACGACCCTTTTCTCTCTCTGCCCTTGTGCTGTCCTTGTTGTGCTGCAGCGGCAAGATGGTCCTGACTGCCTCGGGCATCATGCGCGGCACCAAGCCCGTCCTGCTCAAGGAGATTGTGGAGGACGCTCTGACCATCTGCAAGAAGCAGAACCACCAGGTCACCTCGGTGCTGTGCCTGGAGGTTGCCAACGCCGTGCCCGCGTCGAAGACCCCCTTTGACAGCAGCCGCGACATCTGGTGGGCTGACGTCATCCCCAAGCAGTCGACCGTCTGCCCGCCCACGTGGCTCAACGCTGAGGACCGCTCCTTCCTGCTCTACACCTCGGGCTCCACCGGCAAGCCCAAGGGTGTGGTGCACACCGTTGGTGGCTACATGGTGGGCGCTGGCGTCAGCTGCCGCTACCTGTACGACATGCGCCCCGGCGATGTGGCCTTCACCACCGCTGACTGCGGCTGGATTACCGGCCACACCTACCTGGCTTACGGCCCGCTGCTGTGCGGTTGCGCCATTGTGATGATGGGCGGCATCCCCAACTACCCCGACGGCGGCCGCTGCTGGCGCATGTGCGAGCGCTACAAGGTGGGGGAGGGAGCTGGGTTGGACAGAGGCTGGGTACAGAAATATTCCATCAAAATGTGCAGGTTAGGGTCGTTGGCTCCCTCCGTTGACCTATGTTATCGCCTTTCTTTGGACCCGCAGGTTCGCCAGTTCTACACCGCCCCCACGGTGCTGCGCTCGCTGCTGCAGCTGGGCGACAAGTGGCCCAAGGCCAGCAACCTCAAGTCCGTCCGCATTCTGGCCTCGGCCGGCGAGCCCATGAACGAGCACGCCTGGCACTGGTTCAACGACGTGAGTTGCATGGACGTAGAATTGCCAAGGATCGGAAGGAAACACTGGTAGAGTTACTTACGCTGCTGCAATTATACCGCACATGTTGCAATCTCTAACGTTCCTCTGCTGTTTGCCCGTCCATGAACAGATGATTGGCGGCAAGAACGCCCCTATCATCGACACCTGGTGGCAGACGGAGACTGGCATGGCCGCCATCACCCCCCAGCCGGGCGCCTGGAACAACAACAAGCCGGGCTCTGCGGGCATTCCCTTCTTCGGCATCTGCCCCGTCGTGCTGGACCCCAACACTGGCAAGGAGATGCCTCGTGAGTCCATTGAGGAAGGGAGGGGCGTTGTGTGATGGCTGCAGTCAGAAGGAAGTTCAGCGTCCAACAAATGTATTGTGGTATCTCCTTACCTAGCCGCCCCTGTCCTGTCTTGCCGTTCTGCAGCGGGCCCTGCCGAGGGTGTGCTGGTGCTCAAGGGCGCCTGGCCCTCCATGATGCGCACCCTGCACGGCGACCACGACCGCTACGAGCAGGTGTACTTCGTGCCGTACAAGGTACGTAATCAGTGCTGGCAATGCCGGTTTGATGCGGCATGGCAGGCGGGATGGAGGCGGGCACACTGCTCGGACGTGTTATAGGACTAGGGCGTTGTTTATATTTCGCTGACTCGTGTCGCTATTCGCAGGGCTACTACTTCACCGGGGACGGCTGCCGCCGTGACGCCGACGGCCAGTACTGGATCACCGGCCGTGTGGATGACGTCATCAACGTCTCGGGCCACCGCATCGGCACTGCCGAGGTGGAGTCGGCGCTCACGGAGCACCCCGACTGCGCTGAGGCCGCCGTCATCGGGTGGGTTGCTGGGTGGCAGCTTGGATGCGGCGCTGTCGCTGGCAGACCACGTGCGCGTTGTGCCATTAAGCTTGAAGACACCTGGCCCCGTGCCCCTTACGACTCACACACAAGCCTGTCCCTTGTTCTCTTTTACTGTTCAGGGTGGACCACCCGCTCAAGGGCCAGGCGATCTACGCCTTCGTGACCGTGTGCAGCCCCGAGAAGCAGACCGCGGCGATGCGCAAGGTCCTCAACGACCACGTGCGCAAGTGAGAAGCGGGGCGCATATGTGGTTGGGTAAAGCAGGAGCAGGTTTCTGGTGGCTGACTTCTTGTAGCTTGAATTCCGCTGTTCATGATTAACATTCGCTGACACTGCCCTTTTCGTTTACTCCGCAGGGCCATCGGACCTTTCGCTGTGCCCGAGGTGATCCACTGGGCCCCCGGCCTGCCCAAGACCCGCAGTGGCAAGATCATGCGCCGCGTGCTGCGCAAGATCGCTTCTCGTGAGTTTTCGGCTTCCAGCGTTCTTGCGCTCATTTTCGGCTTCATGTCCAAACTGCCTTGTTGCAGCAGGGAATCCGAGTTAGATGTGTGGCGCCCTTTCTTTGTAAGCTGTCTCCTCTAAACGTGTGGCGCTTTTAATTCCCCCTTTGCAGACGAGGAGAAGGAGCTCGGCGACATCTCCACCCTGGCGGACCCTGGCGTCGTGGAGACGCTGATCAGCCTGCGCGGCAAGTAAGCGGCTGGGTGAGTGCTGGCCGGCTGGCTGGTTGGACTGGCCTCGCCATGTCGACTTCTGCGAAATCAAACCCAAGTTGACGCTCACTGGCCTCTTCAGGACGCAGTTGCGAATAGATTGTGATTTCGGGATACACAGTGAGCGGCCTTCCGGTCTCGTTGTATGCGTGCTTCGGGTTAGCGGTTCTGGCATGGAGTCCCTGCGCGCTTGGCAGCTAGCTGCTAAGCAAGTGGTTGCTCTGGTGCCTGAGCCAAGCTTATATAAAGTGGAGGAATTTTTTTGCTGTTCTCGGGTGTTTCTGTGCGGAGTCCTAACTGCCACGCCTATTTTGGAAGGTGATTTGTCTTGTGAACTTGGCTGGCAGCAGTCTTACCCCCGTTAATGTGTGGAAGACCCGCCTCTATGCGACCGCTCGAACAATTTTGCGCTGTTGGAAAGCCGCTGAGAGCCATGGAAGACGAGATGTGTTGATGATGCGGTGGGTAGACATGCCGGAACACCTTCGTGCTGGAGCGCGTGCGCCGGGCTGGATGGCGTACAGCGTGAATAGCACGATGTACAACATTTGTCTGTCCTAAAATTTGTGCTGTCACTGAATACCAATCACAGTCGTGGCCGTCAGCGTGGGCCGCAATTGGTCTTCCAGTGCGGCTACTCGTATACTAGCGTCTGGGGGCTAGTAACCCTAGTTGCATGAGGAGACGTTTAGTGGTTGTAGTTTCATGATAGTTCGATTTAAAAATATGTGGGTTCTCGTTGCTTTCTGCGTTCACGCAAGCCCCTCTTCGTGCTGCAATGCATACACAGATTGCAGTGCAAGGATGTGGGTCTCGAGACGAGCGTCGCCGTACTGTTTTAGTCGGGGCCATGGGCCTTTGCGGCGGCCTTCAACGCCTGCTGTTTGAGCGTCACGAGTGTGTGAAAATGCATTTGCAACAATTCGTACTCCAATCTAAGCCCGCGTTTCTCAACTCTCGACAGCAGCATCGATCTAGCTTCGTACGTCAACAAAGAAGAATCCTTTATAACTGGGAACAATCACCGACCTAGTTTCAGAGCGTTCTTAGCCTACACTCCCAAGTTCCGACACCGAACATGCGCGTACACGGACCACATGCAAATCCGTGCACATGGCCAGACAAAGTAACTAATGCACATAACTTAATCTAATCGCCCTCATTGCGCAGACGGCAACCACGCATGCACTACCCCTCTTTCATCGCCTCTTACGAGTACACCCCTAGCTGCATCCCATGCGGCAATTCGCGCCAGTGACCCGGTACTGCTGCGCCCAAGCACTACCGGCGGCGCAAACGACTCCCCTGCTCCTGAACCTGCAACTCCTGCCCCAGGCCCTAATGTTACCATAGCTGCAGCCGCTGCCGAGCGCTGAGGCCAGCCCCACAACGCCGCCGAGCCGTCCCCTGCACACGTCAGCAAACCCCCGGCCCCTCCAAAGCTGCCATCGCTGCGTGCAGCAACACCAGCTTCAACGTTGAAGTCGCCACCTCCACTCCCGCTTCCCCGAGGCATGTGTGGCACGACCAAGGTGACCGCACCGCCGTGGCCGGGCAGCAGCTGCCGTCGGCGTCCATCAGCGGACCAGATGCAGACGCTGCCGTCCTGCGCGCCCGAGATAATGGCGGCGCCGTGATCTGCGGCCTGTGGGCATCAGTAGCGCGCGGAAGGCAAAAGACTTAGGTATTTAAGGTACTGTCCGCATTGTAGTAGTGTACGCACTATTTCCGAGGCAATACCTTTCCAGCAATACAAAATGAAGACAGCAACTTTGCAACAAGTGACCGCTTACCTTGTCAACACACAGCGCTGTGACGGCGGACCCGTGGCCTATCATCACGGCACGCGGCCGATTGCAACGCAACGTTGCCTCGCCCACCTCCACTGCTGTTGCGCCTGCGACTCCCGTCACAGTAGCAGCAGCGCCATCACCACCAGCTGCACCGTCGTCGCCATCGCCGCTGTTGCCAGCCGCGTCAGCAGCGTTCCACAGCCGAACCGTCCAATCCGTGCTCGCAGTCACGAGGCTGGGCTCGTAGGAGGTGGCGAGGGCGGGGGCGGGCAGCGCACTGGGCTCCCAGGTGGTCTGGTAGCCCTGCAGTAGCCGGTACGAGTTGCCGCTCACAATGCTGCTGCTGCTCATCGTCATGCCACCACCGTAAGGCGCTGCGGCCGCTGTGTTGGTGGCGGGAGGCAGCAGGGCCATGGAGGTGACCCAGCCGCTGTGGCCGCCGTACAGCACCAGGGGACTGCTCGCCTGTCGTACATGCGGACCAAAGCAACAAGCGGGCCAGGTGGGAAAGGGCGCAGTGGGCAACGTCCTGCCACTCAGCATCATGGCAAAAGCAGCCAACTTGCTGACCTAGGCACGCGTGACCAATGCACTACCGCGCATGGTAACAGTAACAACAACACTATGGTCTGTAAATCGCAGTGATTCCAGGCATCTTCCATCCCACTCTAGCCCTCAACCTTACCTTCCGCAGGTCCCATTCCGCTGCGGTGCCGTCCCTGCCGCCCGTGTACAGTCTCAGCCTGCCGCTGTCCGACAGCAGCGCCGCCACGCCGCCCTGCCGAGTGGCCAGCGACACGGCGGGCGCGCAGCGGCTGCTGCCCTGCCGTACATCCCACAGCCGCGCCCACGATCCCGCGCAGCCGCTGGCCATGAGGTTGGAGGTAGGGCTGAGCAGCAGGGCGGTGATGCGGCTGCGGGAGGCTGGGGAGGTGTGGATGCATGCATGGGGGCCGGACGGGGAGATGGAGGCGGATTGGGGGAGGAGAGATACCGTCACAGGTGAAAGAAGTGGGGCGATGAAGGGGTAAGAGTCTAACAATTCCTTTTGTTGGAACCACACTGCTGCCCGTTCCCATACCCTCACAAATCCATTCTGCTCCTACCCACCAGGTCGCAGCTCCCGCGCAACGCGCCCTGTCGCCACGTCTATGAGCGCCAGCAGCCGCGGCCTGGAACCGCCGCCTCCGTCTGTAGCAGCACAACGTAGGTAGGGACCGAACACAATCATGCTGGAAAAAGAGCGGCATAGCAACGAGAGGTCAGGCGACGTCAGGGCTGACTGTTCTGCAGGGTCTGCAGCTGTCCTGAGAACGTCGCCAGCCAGATACTTACCCATACCCCTCTACGTTGCCGTGCTATACCGAAACCTACACGTGTGTGCAGCTAACCATACATGTACTCATTGCACACACCACCTCACCAGCAGCAGCAGCAGCACCACCACCACCACCGCCGCCGCCGCCAGCCGTTGTAGCCCCTGCTCCCGCCGCCCATGCCCCGGGTGGAGACCAGGCGGGTAGCGGTGCGATGGAGGCGGCCGCGGTGGCGCCGTCCGCCGTGAGGGCCACCAGGTCCGCATGCGCCGCGTCCAAGTGCAGCAGCGGCAGCCGGCAGAGGCCGCGCAGCCGCCCGTCCTGCGGGGCCAGGCGTGTGGGTACCGGTAGGCAGGCCGCAGGCGGACATATCGAGATGCACATGAGCGAATGGTTCATGACAATCATAAATGAGTGGCTGTTAGTCATACCGGTAGCTGCAACACACGGGTGGGTACATGCTGACTTGTCTTGCTCATTTGTTTCAAGCGCATGTGCCGCCTTCAAGTCAGCATGTACCCAACCGTGTGTTGCAGCTACCGGTATGATTAACAGCCACTCATTTATGATTGTCATGAACCATTCGCCCTGGGCTTTAGCTATGCAATGGACGAATACCGCATACAACCGACGCTCCGCCACACCGACAAACATAAGCAGACACAGCAGGTAGAGGCGCAAGGGGCTGCTCTGTGGGCTCCTCCGCTGCAGGAGGAAGAAGAGAAGGCGCCCAGGGCGCACCGATTGGATGGCGAGTATGTGGCAGGCGGGCTCCTGAGCAGCCGCCAGCACCACCCCTGAGGCAGCGGCGAGGGAGATAATGGGGCGGCCCCCGCCCACGGACACTGCCGGAGCTCCCTCCTCCTGTCGGAGTGCACGGATGCAAAACCGTACACGGGATTTATTTATTTGCCGTAGTTCACCACACCGGTATTTTATGAATAATAACAAGCGGCAAAGGTAAGGATATGGGCAGGTTTCTTCGTTCATACATGCCGTGATATGTCCACCTACAATTGGTCCATCGTCCAGACACGTAACGCTGCCTTACCTCAACTGCAGGAGGTGCAGCAGGCCCCGATGTGCTGCCTCCTCCCCTGAAGCTGCTCCCGTAACCACCACCACCACCACCACCGGCTCCGCGAAACTGCTGCGGCTCCTGTTGTTGTTGCTGTTGCTGTTGTTGCTGAGAGCCGTACCGGCTGCTGGTGTTACCCCTCGGCGTCGTCGCACTGTACGACAGCTGCCGTTCGTACTGCACCCTGTACGGCTTGCCGCCGCTCATCAAGCTCCTGCTGCTGTTGCTCCCACCGCCCCCGCCACCACCCGCTGGACTCCTCCATGTTGCTCCTCCTCCTCCTCTCGCACCTCCACCTCCACCGCCCCCTCCACGCGCACTCAGATTACCAGCACACGCCGCAATGCCGCCCGCCTCCTCGCCCTCGCAATGCGAGCTCCCCATACTGCTGCTACCACCCGTGCTGCCGCCGCCGCCACCACTTCCAGTAGCGTCCCATGCACGCCTAGACGCCGCCGGGCTGCTGAGGCTGCTGCCGTACCGCCCTGCCGAAATTCCGCTGGCAGCGGGCGAGGACTCCTGCCTTCGCATGGTGGCAACAGCCGCCGCCGCGCCCGCTGCCGTACCGCCACCCCTGCCGGCACCCGTACCCGCAGCGGGTGTTCGGGGGGAGGCCTTCCATGACAGGGTCCGGGCAGACAGGAAGCCCGTCTCGCGGCTTGGGAGGGAGGTCAGCTTTGGCGGGACAACTCTGCCGCCGCCGCCGCCATCGGTACGGGGTGAGGAGGACCGGAGGGACGCAATGGCGCCACCGCCACTGCTGTCGCTACCAGTTGCCGCTGTTGCTGCAGCTGCAGCTGCTGTTGCTGCCAGGGTGGTAGGGCGAGGGGTGGTGGCGGTGGTGGTTACCCCACTTGCGCCGCTTCCCGCCGAGGAAGTACGACTGCTGCTTCCAGCCCTTTGTTGCTGTTGGGGCAGCACTTGCAAGGACTGCTGTGACTGTCTTCGCTGTGACAATTGCTGCTGCTGCGACTGCTGCGGTTGTGGTTGCGCCTGGTGCAGGGTGGGGTCCTGCGCTGCGCCGGCTGCGGCTACCGGCGCCGCGGGGCCGCTGCGAGGCGGTGCAGCATGCGGGTGTACGGCATGCACGCGGCCTTCGGAGCCACACCCCGGGTCGGGCATGCGCCTGCGGTGCTGGGTTCGTGCGCCCGCCTGGCTGGCTAGTCGCAGGGCGGCACGTGCGTCCAGCAACAGCCGATGGAGCAGTCCGCCTGCGTGCATGCATGCGTGCATGCGGGTGAGAGGAGAGGGGGGGGGAAATTATGTAATAAATGCAGTTGGGGCCTTTTCATAGCGCTATCGGTACTGTCGGTGTTATTGCAAACTGCAAGCGGGGCAGGGATTTGGGTTGTGGGTGTAGTGTACAAGCTACGTGTGACGGGCAGACGGGTGGGCATGTGGTCGGAAACTGTGGCTAAGAGCATATCCGGGTTAGAGACACCGGTCCCGCGCACCTTGTGTTGCCGCCGGTAGGTCCGCCACGCCCGCCGCCGCCACCAGTCCCTGCAGCAGCTCCCACGCCGCCTCCTCCGCCACCCCCAGGTGCACCAGCCAGGCCGCCTGGGCCACCAGCGAGCAACCCAGCCGCTGAGGGAGCGGAGCAGGAGGAGGGACGGGAGGTTGAACAGGAGGTGGAACAGGAGGGAAGGGGCACATGAAGGCGCCACAGCAGGTTGCAGCAGGCATGGAGGAGCGCACTGTATTGCCTGGGGCCTGCAGGGCTGCCGAGTAATGCCGGTAGGTATGCGCTCGGTGGGGCCGAGGAGCACTACTAAGCAAATCGCACGGCACGTCAGGAGCGAGGAAAGCGGCATCACCCGCCACCCACCCACCTTGCCTACCTGATGTCTATGCTCAAAGCCCACCCTCCTCAAACCCACCTTCAGCAGCATGGTTTGCCGTCTCCGCGCCTCCGCAGGAGGCAGCAGCAGCCGCGAGGACCAACCTCCTCCGCTGCCGCTACCCCCGTCAGCGGCAGCCCCCACGTAATCCGCTGCCGCAGCCTCCTCCGCAGAAGCAGCACTGCTGCGCTGCTCATGCGGCCCCAGCCGATCCAACACCAGCCCCTCCGCCTCCGCCTCCGCCGCCACCTGCTCCGCCAGGCTGAGCAGCGTGGTCGCGAAGACTCCCTCCCACACGGTGCGCGTGTAGAGGTAGGGGTTGCCGCACAGCGCATGCAGCAGCGGCACACGGGAGCCCGTGCCTGCAACCACACCACCACCACCACCACCAGCGCCCAGGAGAAGCAGCGGCAACCGCGGCAGCAGCAGGAGGATGAGAGGGAGACATGTGGAAAGGTAAACTCCGGGGCAGTCCCAAACCCCAATCCCCTGCGCGTTCCGGGCCCTCTACATTCGCCAAACCCCAACCAGCGTTGAGCCTCTAACTGTCAACATTTATTTTACCCCAGCGTACGGGTTTACTCCCATGGTTTACTCCCTCCCTACCAGTGTACGTGTACAGCTCCATGGCGAGTTGCAGACTGTCCGCCAGCCCGCCCCAGTCACGCCGCTGTACGGCAGCGCTTACGAGGCGGTCCCACACCTCCGCCAGCACACCCCAGGCGGCGCGGTGCAGGCAGCGCTGGGGGAGGCGGCGGTGGGGTAGGTGGCGGTGGGGGAGGTGGCAGTGGGGGCAGCTTTCCTCGCCAGTGGGGGCGTCGGAGTGTGCAGCCTCGCTGGGGGTGGCACACCCGCTGGGGGCGCCGGAGTGGTCGCAGCAGCAGCAGCAGCGGTGGTGGTGGTGGTGGGGTGGCAGGAGGTGCGCCTGGAGGTGAGCGATCAGGATGGCTCCGTTGTTGCCCGTCTGGCTCCGGGGGGTGGTGGGTGGGGGGAGGGAGCAAGGCAAAATGGAGGGGTGTTCAAGGGGTGTTTGTGCTGACACCGCAGAGGGGAAAAGGGTATAAGGGGCATACATGGCTAGAAGAGGTAATAGGCATGGTGGGATGACTAGTGAGGCCGGTAGCGGCTAGGAAGGAGTGAAATCGCCATGCATACGGCCGATAGCCACATGCCCCGCCCTGGCACCACCTGCCTGCAGGCACAGCAGTGCTCGAATGCGCTCCACCTCGCCCTCTCCCGGCGTCTGCTGCTGTCCCGACCGCTCCGCCGCCCCATGTTGCGCCTCCTCCTCCGCCGCCCTCCTCCTGTCGGCTGCTGCTGCAGGCACCGCCGCCGCCCTCCCCGGCTCTTCCACGCAACCCCCGCCTCCTCCGCCGCCAGTAGATTGCAACCTCTGCCGTTGCCTTTGCCGCGGCTGCTGCTGCTGCCCTCCGCTATGCTCCTCCTCCTCCACCTGCTTTCCCTTCACCCCTTCCTCCTGCCTAGCCCCCCAGCTCAGCAGGTGCATCAGCGCCGCTAGCTGCCGCTGCACCAGCTCCGCCTCCTCCCCCTCCTCCTCGTACTGCTGCTGGCCCCTCCTTGCGCGCTGCACGCCGCCTCCCAGCCAGTAGTTGTCTCTGGGAGCGGCTCCCCCTCCCTCAGCAGTCCCCGGCCCAGCACCTGTTGCCGCACGCGCCGTCCTTGATGACAGTGGTGGTGTTGCCGCCGCTGCTTCTACTCTTGCCGATGGCCGCGCGGGTTTGGAGGTGAAGGGAGAAAGGGAGGGTTTGGCGGGTGCGACAAGGGAGCTGACGCCGCTGCTGCTGCTGCTGCTGCCGGCTGCTGCCAGCGTGATGGTGCTGCCGGCGGTTGCGGATGTCCCGGGGTTGGGGGTGGGCCCACTGCAGGAGGGGTTGCGCTGTCGGGTCTTGGCGGGCTCGGTGAGTGAGGAGGGGGTGAGCGCTGCGGCCTGCGGAGGACACACAGTGCGGGCGGGCGGGCGGGCGGGCGGGCGGGTGTGCAGAACACAGAGCAAAGTGCAGTAGAGTTAGGGCTCCAGAGCCCTGCTTGCTTACCCGCCCACCGCAGCTCCCGTTTACCGCCCCCTCAACCTCTACCCCTTCCCAACCCCAGCCCCTCCGGCCTCCCCCCCCGCCCGACCCACCAGCTCCTCTCCCACGCTGCCGCTCAGGGAGCGCACACCCGCAGTCAGCCGCCGCCATGCCGTACCGCCACCACCACCACCACCTTCGCCTCCGTTGTTGCTGCTGCTGCGAACATTTCTCTTGCTGCTGCTAACTGCACTGGGCCGGCCTTCTCCTTCACCGTCGCCAACACCCAGAGCGCCCGCTCCACCCCCTCCTACGGCCCCTGCTGCTACCACTGCTCCTCCTGCTCCTCCCTGTCCCTCCCCTTCCCCAGGGGCGGTGGCGCACGCCTCTCCCCCAGCACGGCCGCTGCTGCTGCTGCTCCGGCACAGCACGTACCACTGCCAGCCATGCGGGGTGCTGCTGCTGCTGCTGGCACCAGCGGTGGTGCTGCAGGTGCTGGCGGCGGCAGCGGTGGCAGCATTGGAGGGGCAGTGCGGGGGTGCAGCGCGGAGGAAAGGGCCGCCGTGGGGCCGCTGGTCACTCACATGCAGCGCGGGGAAGCTCTTATACACCGGCGGCTTCCTGTGTTGTTGTTGCTGCAGCAGCGACAGCAGCGGGCAGGGCCGCACGTAGAACACGCGAGAGGAGGAGGAGGAGGAGCATGGCAAGGCGATACTGGAAGCGGCGGTTGTGAGACCGACCCGCGTTGAGGACTCCCCTGCGGTTGTTGGGTCGAGCACGGCTGCGGCTGCGGGTGCGGGTTTGCCTATGATGATGACGGGGGTGGTGCTGGTGGTGGCAGGATGTGGCAGATCCCGAGGGTCTGCTTCCCCCTCCTCCCCTTCCTCCTCCTCCGCAGTACTAGCAGCAGCAGCAGTCGGGTCGACGGGCCGCTCCAGGCTCCCCACAGCAGCGGCGCCGTAACCTCCCGCGGGGTTCCGGTTGTTGTTGTTGGTGGTGGTGGTGGTGGTCAGTGGCTCCCCAGGCGCACCGGGAATAACACCGGCAGCAGCACCACCGCCAGCACTAGCACCCAACGCGATGAGATCAGACCTGCAGCAGGTGGGAGTGGGAGAGAGGAACCGTGCTTTACAGTGGCTTCAGTGGATCCAATGTGGGCTGGGTGCTCGAGGCACTCGGGATGGGAACGGGAGGGCAACCGGAGTGCGGAACGTGTGTGTGTGGTAAGGAAATTAGCCGCGAGTAGGAACGTATACTGGATTGTCGGAACATGATGTCCCCACCAAAACGACACACTGGGTGTGCATGTAGGGTATGCAGGGGCATGTAGGGTATGCAGGGGCACAGAGGATTCCTCCGGCATGTGGAGAGTGACACACCGCTGAGGCGGTTTCTTCCGTGTAACACAGGGGGTATGGTTGTATCCTAACCATACCCCAACAACGACACACCCTCTGTGCCTCCCTCATCCGATCATCAGCATCAGCATCGGAAAAAATGGGCCTACCTCAACGCTGAACATGCCGTACGATACCACTCGTACGGTGCCGTACTGCCGTACTCGTCCAACAGCACGAAGAAGCCCTGCGTCTGCAGCAGCTGCTCCAGTAGGGGCAGCGCCTTGGACCTGTGGGGCAGCAGCGGTGAGCACAGAGGGCATGGGTGGGGCATGGGTTATTACCGTAGCCTCCAAGGGAGAGGTGGGGCATGGGTGGGTTCTCGTGGGTACATACGGCTCGCGATACCTGAAGGTTGGGTCCTAAAGCCAGCAGCAGGGGCATGTGCGGTGACAGATGCAATCTAGCAGCAGCAGCAGCCGTAGCAGCAGCAGCAGCAGCAGAAGCGGCGCGCGCGCGGCGGCAGCTAAGCAACGAAACACCACCACACCCCATGTGAACACAACCCCTATGCATCTCCCTTCCTCCCACTGCTGTCCCCCCTTCCCCTCCCCCACCCCTTGCTCACCCGTTGCTAGCAACATGGGTCTGCAGAAAGGCCTCCGACTGGAAGGGTGGAGCTGCGGGGAGGGAGCAGCGCCCGTCAAGGGAGGTGCACTTGGACGCCTGCCCACCGCCACTCCTGGGTGCGGCCTTGGGACCCGCACCTGCACCACCACCCGCACCTGCACCACCCTCGTTCGCAGTGCCCGAGGAAGCGGCTGCGGCGGTGGCAGCGGTGCGGGATGCAGGTCCCGTGGGGGCACTAGGCAGGCACTCCTGGTAGCCCTGTCAGCCCCACGGGGTGGGGTGGAAAAGGAATTCCAAAGTGTGGGGTGGGGGGGAGGGGGAGACGTTACGTTAAGATAGGCTGCCACGTACCCACGCGCGCTGCTGTGTGGTCGGTAATGTTAGATTTGCTAGGTGGTCCAGTTCCTGTAAAACACACACGCACTGGCCGCTGTGCACGCCACACCGGCGACACACCGCATCACATCACATCGCATCACACCACGCCACCTCGCAGCACCGCACCCGCAGCAGCGAGGCGAAGAGGCGCAGGAACAGCCGCCGCACCAGCGCGTCGTGACCCGCACCCCAGCCTGCAGGGCAGGGCAGGGCAGGGCAGGGCAGGTGAAGGAGAAAAGAGGAGTTATAGCGTCGTTGCGGTGACCAGCGGCGAAGGCGGTGACCAGCGGCGAACAGACCACCGGCAACTATTGACGAAAAGGGCAAGAGAATGATCAGCGACGCCCCACTCTTACCGCTTGCCGCCGCTTGCCTTACGTACGGCATCCACGGGTCTCCGCCGGCCCCCCTCTGCTGCCCTTCTCCTGCTGCTCCTCTTACTCCCCTTCCTCCTCTGCTATTGTCGTCACCACCAAGCAGGTGTACCACCGCCCGGGCATCCTCCCCCGCTCCCGCCCCCTCGTCCAACCACCCGGCAGCCCTTCCGTACGTATACGGCGGAGCTCCAGCTGCTGCTGCTGCTGCTGCAAGCCCCGTCTTGGCTGACCCTCCCGCCCTCGCCGTCAGCGACTCCTCCCGCCGCTCCATGGAGCAGCCCCCCTCCCAGTCCCGGTTCCAGTCCCCCCACGCTGCATCCGCCTCCGCCGCCTCCTCCGCTGCCCCCGTGGCCGGCCGCAGCAGCGCGGTGAGGCAGGCCAGCAGCTGCACCAGCGCGGGGTGCTCCAGGCAGGGCAGCAGGTCGGAGCAGTGGTACACGGCGTCCCTGATGACGTGATGAGGACGAGCGCGCGTCGCAGTGCAGTGCGGCGTGGAGGATGGAGGAGGAATGCTGAGCGATTGGTTTGGAGCAGGTGGATGGTTTGCGGATGGATTAATTGCAGGTGGCTGCGAGTGAAGCTCAAATCACCATGTCCCCCCTCGCCTTGTCTCTCCCGCCCTCAACTCCGTCCCTCACCAGCTCACCTGTCCAAATCCACCACCACCAGCCCCTCCTGTACTCGCGCTGCCAGACCCTCACCCCCGCCCGCACCCTCACACAACCCCCCTCCTCCACCTCCCACCCCATCCCCCTTGGGCCCCGCAAAGCCTGCTGCTGCTGCCGCTGCCCCTCTGGAGGTCACCCTCTCCCTCCCCCACGCCCCCGCTCCCGCCCCTGCGCCCCCCGCCCCTGCCTCCCCCGCCAGTTCCGCGCCCAGTTGCGCCCCCGCCAGCCCCCCCAGTCCCATGAGGAAGGGCGTGGGCGCCTCCAACAGGTCCAGCAGCTCCAGGGGAACCAGCGGCACGTACACGTGCTGGTATCTGGGGGAGGAGGGAGGGGCAGAGGTCCTTTGAGGACTCGAGCGACGTCGCAAAGGACTTACACAGATGCGGTTTGGCTTGGTTGGCAAGCTGGTGGCCTAATAAGGATCTCGACACGAGCGCCGGGGTGAACAGCGATACGGCAGGGGGGGTCCTCACAAGTGCACCACCGGTCTGTGCTGATATGGCTGAACCCAGTGGAATGGCACGCATCCCCCGGCTGCCGGGCGACCCACGGGTCATCAGCCCCCATCCCACACCCACCTGATGGGCCACAGCAGGCGCATGAGCCCCTCCGCCGCCAGAGTGGGCAGCCGCAGCTGGCGGCTCACCAGCACCACCCGCCGCTCCAACAGCACTGCAGCGGCGGAGGTGCAGGTGCGAGGTGGGTAGGGGAAGAGGGGGAAGAGGAGCAGGAGCTGGTTGAGGATGCTGGCATGGAGACCGGCGGAAAGAGGGGCTGCGAAAGGGCACAGCGCACCCAACCCATCCATTATTCAACCCTCCACCTGCCGCACAGTCCACATCCTGTATTCCCCTCGCGGCTTTAGTTACATGCACCATGGCCTTAAGGCTGAAAAGCACCGGCCCCACCCAGGCCCCACCTGCCAGGAAAGCCAGCGCCAGGCAGGCGGGTCCCAGCGCCTCCAGCAGCGGCCGCAGGGACACTTCCCCCCCGCCCGGCAGCCCGGTGGGGTCGGCAGGCGGCAGCGAGAAGGGCCGCCCCTCCAACTCGAAGCGGAGCTGAGGTGAGGCGTAAGAGGACGAGGCACGGGTGGTGCGCGGGGAGAGGACGATAAGAAATTATAGTACTTCATGCGCCCCCTGTTTACCGGTCTCTCCAATCCCCCAGGAGGCCCATCATCCGCGCTCTCACCCGCCTCCCCAGCGCCGCGGGGCTGGGCAGCCGCAGCAGCCCCCCCACCAGGTCCGCCACGGGGGCGGAGGGTCCCAGGCAGAACACCGCCGCGTAGAGCCGCCGCAGGACCTGTGGGCAGGCGGGGAGGGAGGGAGGCAGGCAGGGATTAGGAAAGATGAGGAAGAAGAAGGCCGGGTGCAGAGGAGTGGGCGGGAGGAGGCTGGGGAAGGAGGGAGAGAAGCCACGAGGGTTGAAGGTTGGGGAGAGAGGGCAGGATGCCCAGCAACGATGCGGGTCAGTGGTAGAGGTGGGTGGCTCCCCTGCCGGTACGACACTTCTCCCGATCACTTCTCCTGTCGTACCTGCTCTGCGGATGCGAGGTACGGCAGCCTGCTGACCAGGCATAGCGCCCGAGTGGCCTGCGCGCCCAGGAGTGGGAGCCGCTGCTGCTTCTGCTCGTCATCGCCGTCGATGTTGTTGCTGGTGCTGTTAAAGTGGTGGCACGAGGCCAATTGTACGGCAGGAGGTACGGCATCCAGGTAGCTGAGACACGTGACGTACAGCCGCTTGCCGCCCTCGTCTGCAGGATGCAGGAACAGCATCGCAACGAGGCATGCATGCAACACACACGGTGCCGCAGGTGGTACGGTACCATGGTAACACAGGCTGGGTGTGCGCGAGGGAGGCGGGGTCAGGGGTAAGGAAAAGCCGGGTACGGCAAGGAGGCTGGCTGGCTGTACGCGTGTCTTGCTCTGCGGCGTTGCGATACACTGGAGCGGCACACTGGACACACCCCACCACCACCACCACCTGTCTACTACCAACACCGCCTGAGAGCAAACCAGCGAGTATGGCAGCTGGCAGCCGTCGAGTCAGCTGCTGCTACCGGTATTATTGGTCTGCTGGCCCCGCTGCTGGCCCCGCCACATGATGCCTGCGTTGCTGCCCCTGCACCATCCAGGGCGGTGCTCTCCCCTTTCCCACAGGTCTCAGCCCCCCTGACCTGTCAGTACCAGCGAGTAGAGCCGGGGGGCTAGGTCGGCGGACTTGACCCGGGCGCCCGCTGCTGACGCGGACACCAGCTCCACGCCATCGGGCATGCAGCACTGAGGCGGGCAGCGCCGGGCGGGCAGACCGGCAGGCAGGGAAGATACCGTACCCCGGCGAGGAGAGAGGAAGCGGGGATGGGAAAGGAAGGGAGGGTGGGTGGATGATCAATAGGAGGGAGTGTCAGGGCGAGATGAGTCACAGACATGACGGTGGGGAAGAAAGGGCATTCGGCTGTGTTTTTGGGGCCGTAATTCCTTGGAAACCCAGGGCGTGACATTCCGCAAGCATCTACGCACACTTCGAGACGGAGACATGGTGATAGCGTACCGCGGCAAGTTGTAACGGTAACGTCTTGCCATCCAGGAGCAGCTGGTCCAGGACAGCTGGCTTGTAGCGGAAAATAGGCCGCCCTTGAAGGCCAACGCCGTCGACATCGATGCTTGTCAGAGGTAAAGCGAGGCCACAGACCGCGAAGCCCTCAAACAGTGTGCCATCGGGGCCCACGGCAGACATTCGCCGCACCAAGAAGTTATACTAGCGCCAACAAGGTGCATCATCGATAAGGAATTTCATTTAGCCTTGGCTTAGCCTGGGCTTGTGACGAACTATGCAATAAGCATGTCCAGCTGTCGCAGTTGAAGCGGTATGCAACAGTCGACTTCTTGATAGGACAACCGCAAGCAAAGATGGGTGCACGAAGTACAGTTTATGATATATGTACATATACAATAGTTATACTGTGTAAGACTGTCTTAGACGAATCGTGTCTCTCTGAACAATGCGTTTGAACTCCTGGGATCCTGGTTAAGTTTCAAGCTCTGCTACCATTATGGCGCATAGGAGAGCATCCTCTTTTTTCTCTGCTACCTCAGAAAATTAAAGCGAGTTGGACGACGATGGTATCCGTACAGGCACAGCTTTACGTAAGACAGTCAACATTACAAGTTGAGCTGGCTATTATCCAGAAATAACATACGTCACAATATTGGTCTGCGACATCCATATGTTAACAAGACGTTTTATTGTGCCCCCCAGGAGGTGAGCTGACAAGGGCACGTTGGCAATGGCTACCATCCTCTGCATCTCCCCAAGCAAGTCTACCTTGTCAGAATCTTCTCTACCTGCCAAGACTCTATGGCGGCAAGCCGTGCACTGCAGAACCTGGGCAGCCAAACGGAGACATCCGCTCTCTATCTACTGACACACAGCACATTCAGACATCTTTAGAACACCTTGACCCAGAGTTCCCGACTTTCCGCCCTCGACATCCTGCTAACAAGGGCCGACATGGGAAAGCGAGTACCGGTACTCACTGGGGCGAACGTACCGGTAACATGAGCGGTTACCGGTTGGGATTTGTTCCACCTTGCTAGTCGTTGCGAACATTAAGTAACATGCCCTAGGCCACCTGCATACCGTGCATGATGCCAGACATCGCATTCAAGGCCGACAAGTTACGCGACGCAAGGCACAACTGGAACCGCCGACAACTGCAACTACGACGTCAACACCTCCTCGGCATGACCTACAGCGAATACGAAAACGCTTTCCTGACTAGGTAGCCCGTGTCCCCTGTCCAATAACAGCACAGCACAAGGGTGCACACATGGCCACACGTACCAGCAAGCACAGCTTGCACTCCTGCATGCATGAAAGCAGCCCTGCCCGCACACGGCCCACCTACCAAGAGGGCAAGTGGGCAACTATCCCTGCCCAATCACACCGTGCTGAGCTCCAACCTTGCGGAGGGCATCCAGCGTACCCACTCCTCCCTAGCCGGTGCAACGGCCGCTTCAATCCAATCCATGGCATCCTCGTAACACCCAATTTGTAAGAGCTTCAGCTGCGGTAGCAGGCCTCGCGCCCCAAGCTCTCCAGCTTCTCCTGCGGAGCCACTGCCGGCACTCACTGGCGCCGTGATGCTGAGGCACGCTGCCATGATGGCTTGCTGGTGGTGCTCGGACCACATGTCATCGCACAGCCAGTCGCCGCAGTGCATCCCCAGCTGCCGAAGCTGCTGCAGGCCGGCCAGCAGTGGCAGCGAGGAGACAGCGTAGGAGCAGCCGCTGAGATCCAGCTCCTGCGCAACAGACATGCAACACATGTGGAGGTGGCGGCAAGGAGCGTTCAGGCTGGGGCCACATACCAACATTTGGTACATCGCCCATGAGCGACCAACCTCATCATCGCCGCTCTCGACAAACGTGATACGGCGCTTCATGCGTATCATGGCAGATCATGGGCTACAGTAAACTACCAGAGGCAGGAGCCCTGGTAGCGTTACGCATGCCAAGTAGCCCGCGGCAATACCGTAAGCCAGCAACATAGCCAGGTCAGCGTCAGGCGTGTGGTCATGCTGGGCCATGTGCCCATACCGGTAACTCCGCTTCATCCAGCTCACCGTGATTCCCGCCATGCACCGCGCCAGCCCCAGCATATCACGCGGCGACACGACCAGTCCCTGCAGCGCCAAGGCCTCCAGTCGCAACGACGTCAGCTCCCCGAGCCATGCCGCACAGTGGCTGCCCTCTCCGCCGTCCGCCACTGCCGGCGGCAGTGCGGGCGTCACCCCTAGCCCCCGCACACGCACGCCACGCTCCCGGGCATCGTCCCGACAGAAGCCCTTCAGCTTACGAAACCCAAACCCACGAATTGCGGTTACGGCACGCCGCATGGCGTCCACTGCCCCCGCCGTCAGCCGCCCCTCATCGTCCAAGTCCCCGGATCGGAAGTCCAGGCACCAGTGGTTGGCTTCAAAGTCCCACAGCCTGCCTCCTGCCATCAGAGAGCAGGGCACATCACCCGGCTCCCGAGGCGGCGCCTGCAGCGCGGCTGCGACACGAACAGGCAGCGGGGCGTGCAGTTCGAAGCGCTGAAGCTGCGACGGCAGGACAAGCTTGAAGTCGCTGGCAGCAGCAGGTAGCTCTGTAGGCACTGCAATGGAGCCCATGCGCAGGCAAGTCAGCGTTGTCAACGCCGGCAGGTCCGCCGCGTGGAGCATTGCCGGCGTCCGCAGCTCCTTCAGATGGGGCATGCAGCGGATCGCTGCAGCCACCGCATGTGACTCCGCTGCCGCCGCGGCCTGCAGAGTTGCAGCCTCCGCATGCCTTCCCAGCTGTCGCAGTTCCTCCAACCGCTCATCCAAGCCCCGGGTGTCCGCAACATAGCTCGCATACTCGTAGTCCTCCTTGTTCGCGTAGTGGTGCAGGCGACCCAGATGCAGCTTGAGGCAGGTGAGGGCCGTCAGTCCGCTGAGGCATGACTCCAAGGAGGGGGTGCTGGCTAGCCGCTCGATTGGGGTGGGTAGCGGAACAGGCGGGTCGAACCGCATGGTGGTGTCTGCGAGCTGGAGTGACTTGAGTCCGGAAAGTGAGGCGATGGAGCGAAGCACCAGCAGATCGGCTGTCGGAAAGGGGCGAAAGCGGGGTGAGGTTGGAAGAGAAACCGTGGAGGGCTGCCTCTAAGGGGAGATGAAGCATACAAGCGATCTGGCATGAAGCTTAGGGTGAGGAGCTACGGTGGCAGCGCTACTTACCAGGAACGCCGTCGTGGGGCAGCAAGTCCTCAAAGCACGCCAGCTCCAGCTCCCGCAGCGCTGTACAGTGGGACAGGCCGCGGAACGCCCGCGTGGGCCAGACATACCGACAGCCATCTAGCATGCGGAACTCTAGCCTTCTCAAACGGGGCCCCAGCTGCCTCAACAGCTCTTCCGCAGCAGCTGCTGCCCCGTCTAAGTCCACGGGCTCCGCCGGCTGGTTTGTACCGTCTGGCGAGGAGCGCCCGCACAGCAGTACTATGCTGTTCAATTTTGGACTAAGGCCGGCGATGGCGGACACAACAGCCGGTGTAAGCGGATAACCAGTCTCCAACCGTAAGTCTGTAACTGATGCAGCCTCTCTCCACATGAACAGTAACGCCAACCTGCGAAAAGTTACAAAGAGTGTTAGCAGGCGTCGCAACGTAGTGGCATCGTGTTACTGTGGTTAACAAATATCTATAGCTGGACTTACAGTTTCCCATCGTGCAGTGCCGTGTCTTGCTCCTCGGGCATTTCAATGCTTAGGTGTGTGGGCCGGCAGCCCCTTGAAAGGAAGCCCCGAACAGCAGCAACAATCTCGCTTGTCGATACCGACGGAATATCGGAGGAACCCCGCAGGTAACGGTTGGTGTTGAAGCTAACATCGCTGGCCAACTGATCATGGAGATCGCGGGCTGCCTTGCTGACCTTACGAAATGCTAACCGGTCCTTAACATACAAATCGTAGCCCTCAAGGACAACTCGGAAAACTTCCATAGTCTTAGCCAAGTCTGGTTGAGAGAGATGACAGCTCTTCCCGAGTTCCTTAGGTTCAGCCATGTCTGGCATGCCGAGCATGGTCATAATGTGACGTGTTAACCGTTACCTAAAGTTGCTAAAAAGTACGCGTGAAGAGCTGGCAGCGCTAGTGCATACCGCGAATTAATGATGAGCGTTATAAAGGTTGATGATCCTTCCTGTATCTACAACGAAACCGAAGCAAGGCGCGCTTAGAGCGGGGTAGGAGGACTCCGGGGTACGAGAGATAGGAGTCGGGTTCTGGATCCATCCACCTTTGATCGACCTACGGAAAGGTGAGTAAGCAAAGGTTTTACAGGTTGGCTAGACGTACTTTGGATGGGCAGGAACCACTGAAGGCACAGATGTATAGCGCCTACTTGGGCGCAGTGAGTATGCGATTCTTACAGGGGAGTCCGAACGACTGTGAGGGGGTGCTTGTGCCATAACCGGGAAGCGGTACACCTAACACACATTTCGTGTACAACTTCACAGGGTATGCGAACCAGCCAGCCTTCAGTGGCCACTGGGTTGCGTCCCAGACCTAACAGTTCCATGCCTCGACAACCTGCTTTATGGACGGTGCGCAGTGCAGCCAGAAGCGGGCCGGCAGAGGAAGCGTGGTCCAGGCGTTCATCGACCCGTATCTTTCCAAGAGCTTCCGAGCCTCCGTCCTAGAAACATGCTCACGTTACCAGCATATCGATACCGGGCCCTTCAGAAGACGCAAGACCACGGGAGGAAATGCCTGGATGGATCAGGGTGACATTCAGGCACCTCCGTCCAAGAAGTAGACGGAACGACTGTGTGCCATGAAGCTCCGTCACTACCCTCAACCCTTCCCCGTCGTCATTTAGCTCTGTTGGTGAGCAACGGATATGCCCAGAGCACAAGATCTTCAAACAGCAGGAATGTCATAGCGTGCAAATGGGGTAACGGCAGGGTTTGCAGACGCTAACCTACGCCAGAAGACGTATGCCAAGAGCCTCTTAGGTTAAAGGTTATGGCTGCGGGTGTGATAAGTGCAACACAAGGCGCAGCACCCCAGGACCTGAAAGACAGCCCCAGGCGCAATGCAAGGTGGGGTCACCTAACTGATGCCAGAACGAGAGGTGTAGGGAGCCTCTGCTGCCCTGCCCTGCCAAGGAATACCAGTATGCGTAATCATATGACGTGCACGAGGGATAGCTGGCCAGCCTTAATCGACAACATTTTTCGTGTTCTACTGGTCTAGATACCCCTTTGGATGAGCTTGCGAGGTCTGTAATGAAATCTGTCGTGAGACGAGCTTCCACAGCCACAGATACATTGAGCAAGCAAATGGGGCGCATAGTGAAACTCGCAGTGCAAGGAACAAGGGGATCAGCAATCCAGAGCAATATAGGACAACACACCGTGCGGGATGGCCATCTGCAGTTTATTACCCGCTGGCCACGGCACGCTGTACGAGAACCATGAACTCGCGGCGGCCAACTCCTCGTCATGCACAAGCTGTATCTTAGCTGTTTCGACGACTGGACAAAACACCGTGCATCACACTATTCGAATTGCTGTTTGCCAGTGCGGAAGAATGCTGGCCCTTTCCTCGACTCGCTGCGCTGCATTCAGTGCCACAACTCGCGTGCAGCAGCCAGCGCGCCCGATTGGCTTTCCTGCTCCTAGCCGCACTGCCTTGGTAGTTGAGGCTGCAGTCCCTAAGAAGAAGACCAGCAAGATGAAGACTGCCATTCGCAAAGCTGCCTGGAAGAAGGAGGTCCTTCCCTATGTGGAGCTGGCTCTATTTAAGGTTCGGTTGTCTTCCGTTGTTCCCACAAGAAAAATCGCTGGTCTTGTTGCATTCCTGCAAGTGTCCGGACGGTTGTCCCTATCCTGCAGGCCAAGAGGGCGCTACAGGCGGGCAATCGTGACTCGACCGATAAGGATATGGTGATTGGCGGGCAAGCAGCTCAGCCAGAGGGGGCCAGCCCAGAGAGCTCGGAGACTCAGTAAGCGGAGGACCGCTTGAAAGGGGCCCATATCGCCATGGGTTGTAAGCATAGCGGAAATATTGTCAGGGGGCTTGTCTATGCTCGCGATTTTGAGTTCTTCCAGCGGCTTAGCAAGCGGAGGAATGTGGTCCCCGATGTCCGGCGTCACGACTAGGAGCTAGCGTGCTGCACTTGGCAGCAATTTTGGGACGTTACTCCAGTTTCCGGATGCGAAGGGGACTGCTGAGGCGACGGTCACCTGGGTCGGGGACGAGGGCTAGTAGGGTGTGGACTTCCATGGGGCCTCACAGTTTGACGCTAGCAGTGTAGCCCGCGGCTGGCCAGTGCAGATTGCACGTGTGCCCTAGCAAAGAGAGTGTATGGGGCAGTTGGCAGCATGGCGCTTAGGTGAGGTGCGAGATTGAGTCGCCTTAGCTGTAGGGTTGGATGTTTTGGCTGTACGGGTGTCATGCTGCTGTTGTTGTTGTCATGCCTGGCAGGACTGCTGGATACCCCAACAACACGCAGCATGTCGCAGACAGGTAGTTAAACATGTGTCAAGTGAGGAAGGGAGAGATATGTCAAGAGGTTTGCTGAGTGAGGCATCTTTCAAAGAGCTGCTGGACATGATGATACGTCTTTAAACGGTGGCTGATGCTTCAGGACACCCCGCCCCCGTCTGCACGTCTCTGCACACCCTTCTCCACATGGCGCATGCGAGCCAGCTGTCCGCTGCAGCTGCTGACGGTTTCACGGCCAACACCCTGTGCACACGCACAGTGTACGAGCCAGGGAGGCCCACAGGGGGACACTAGCAGGAACCAAGCCTGCCAGCCAGCTTGCGGTCGGCGGTGCGGTAAAAGACTCCACTCCAAGAGCCCCGAGAGCAGCCAACTGACACAGCGCCGACAACCCAGCCGACCCCCCACCCAACCTACCACAGTCCAAGACACAGTCCATGCAGCTGTTGGCGATGACGGTCGCCGCCTGCCCTGCACCCACACCACTGCTCGCTTCCCGCTATACCGGTCCTGCCACGCATGCAATCCCCCGACCAAAGCCCTCCTCCTCCCCTGCCCTCCTCCTGTGCTGTGTGGGCGACAGGGTTACACCAGCGTCCCCCGACTGCCGCCCCCACGCAGTGCGCAGCGACCAGCAACTCGAGGGGCCTCTCATGTGTCATGTCCACCCACCCCACAGGCCGTGTGTGCTAGCAGGGGTACCAACAGGGCTCCATACGATACCATACGTACACAACACAGCTGTCAACCTGGGAGGAACGGTACCGGTATGTGCCTTGGGGGGGGGGGCTAAACATGCGCGCTCCACACCTGTCACCTCCATGGGCTCCATCCCAACACCTCAAACACAAACACACTTCATCTTCCGACAATCACAGTACGTACGTTCCGCCCCGCGGCCAGTTTTCTTAACATACCCTCCATCACACCACCGGTGGCCGCTTGACCCCTTCTCCTGCTCCCCCCGCGCCCTCCTCCGCCCCCGCCACCACCGCCGTCACCACCCCGCTCAGCAGCAGCGGGCCCCCCGGCAGCGCCCGCCGCTCCACCCCCGCCTCCCCCGCAGCCAGCCGGGCAGGCAGCTGGTTGCTCTCAACCGCCGAGTGACCCCGCTCCACCTGTGCAGGTGGGTGGGTGGCAGGGCGGGAGCGGGGCGGGAGCGGGGCGGTGGGGAAGCAGCAGGATGAGACCATGTTATGTTTTGCTTTTTTCACGATACTGGGGTGACACGACGGGTTATGCAATACCCACTTCGGGAGCCCCCTTCCCCTCACACCCCCTCCGACGCATAGTTATGCTTCTTCTCCCCTTCCCCCACACGTCCTGCTTCGGTTTCTTCCCCCTTTCCACCCTACCATGAGTGTGATGTGGTGGTAGGGCTTGGCGGTGAGCGCCTCGTCGGAGCTCAGCAGCTGCACCTCCGCCGCGATCACCTGGGGCGGGAGGGAGGAGGGGGGCAGGAAGGAACCGGCCGGAGGGGGGAAGGAGAAGAAGAGGTCGGTAGCCGATGGTGACGACCCGTTTGGGGCTAGCTGGAGGATAGCGGAGTCATGAAAGGGAGAGGAAAACCACTATACTGGTATTGTCAATGCCCGGAATCCAACCAGCACTCCACGACACCACCACTCCGAACTGTCACTGGAGCAGCCCTTCCCCAAACTCCCCCTCCCCTCCCTCTCCCTCTCCTCCCTTGGGTATTGTCCTCCCCCCCTCCCCCCACCTCGGGGCTAACCGCCAGCGCCTCCACCCCCAGCTCCACCCGACTGCCCAGCAGCCCTAGCAGCGCCCGCCGCAGGTCGGTGCGGGGACCCAGCGAGGGGTCGTTCCTGGGGGAGAAGGGGGAAGAATAAATGAGAGGTGCAGCAACTGGAGTGGGGCAAATATCGGTGAAGCAACGGAAACGTGAAGCAACGGAGTCGGAGGGGCAAGGTGGGGGGGGAGGGAGGGAGGGGACAGGGAGGAGGGACAGCGAGGCACCAGGCGGCGGCAATCAACACCACATGCGGTGGAGAGGGTCCGGCGGTTGCACGGCAGGGGAGCGCCCCAAGGCCTGAGGGCGGCGTACGCTGGGGCCATGCCACCGCACAAAACACACCTCCCCCTCCCCCTCCCCACACCATTCGTGGTTTCCTATGTTTTGGTCTAATTAAATTTCTGTACCCCCCCCCCACACACACGCAAAAAACAAAACACGCCTTCCTCCGTCCCCCCCCACACACGCACCTGTGCCACAGTGTCACATGCATCTCCCCCCGCCGCAGCCGCCCATGCAGCTCCGCCGGCAGCACAGCCCAAGCAGCCGCACGGAGGGCCTCCTCGTCAAATCCGGATACGGCAAAGTACGACACGCGCTCCTCATCCGGAAGTACGGCAGCAGCAGCAGCTGTAGCAGCACCCGCCGCGTCAGCCACCATGCTAACGCCCGCTGCGTCGATGCTACAGCCTGCTACAGCCGAGGAGATTGCAGCTGAGTCCGTCAAGGGAAGGATGCTACCAGCTGCAGTAGCAGTAGAGTCAGTGGCAGCTGCTGCTGCTGCCGCTCTTGCTGCCTCCACCGCCGCCGCCACCTCCCGTTGCAGCGACTGCCGTACCTCCTCCATGGGCAGCTGCAGAGCCTGGGGGAGGGAGGGAGGTGCGGGGTGGATTTATTAGGGAGACATGTTCCACACTTGACTGGATTATAGAATGGGGTGAGAGGTGCGGGGTGGTGGGAGTTGCCGTATCAGCTGCTCCGTGGTCTACGGCGGAGGCGCCGAGTGGACCACACAAGTGAAAAGCCACAACAAGAACGGCGGAAGACAGTTGCCAGGCGAGCACCCTTCCTCCCTCCCCACTTTCCTCCCTTCTCCCCTCCACCAGCCCGCCCCCCCTCACCTCCAGCGCCGCCACCACATCCGGCCTCAGCAGCAGCTCCCGCGCCCTCGCCTCCCACTCCGCAGGCAGCTGCGGCTTGCTCCGCTCGTTCACCGCCCGCACGCCCTCACCCACATGGCGCAACACCTCAACCGGAATCAAACCCCCTCCTCCACCTCCCCCTCCTGTCCCCGCCCCCGCCTCCGCCCCCGCCGCTCCTCCATCCACCTCCATAGCTGCCTCCCCTCCCCCTCCCCCTCCTGCCTGCACCCCCACCCCGTCCCCCCGCATCACCGGCAGCAGCGCCACCCGCCCGAACTGCCCCCGCAGCGCCTCCACCAGCTCCGACAGGGTCTTGTGGCGGAAGAAACCCGCAAACATGGCGACCACGGTGGCGGCGGAGGGGGAGGCGGCGCCGTCTAGACCCCCCTCGTGGTTCTGTAGATGGGGTGGGAGGTGGCCAGGCGGGGGGGGGATAGGGTTGGGGTGCTATACTACAGGGTCACAACCAGGACTGCATCATGCTCAATTCACCTACCATTACCCCCCTCTCCCCCTCCTGCACCCCATCTTCCCCTTATAACCCCCCTCCCTCACTCCCCCCCTCTCACCCTCCTCCTCAGCGCCCGGCTCATGCACAGCGCCAGCAGCTCCAGCGGCAGCGGCAGGTCGGGCAGCTGCGCGTACAGGTCGGCGTGCGCGGGGGCGGGGGAGGAGGCGGAGCTGGGGCCCGCCACCACCGGCACTAGAGCCAAGCTGGTGATGCCTGGGGGGAGGGAGCGGGCGGGGGGGGAAATTAAATAAGTGAAACAACGAGTCCCGGAGGGGAGGGGAGTACACCGGTATTGAGAGGAAACTTACGAGAGCTGTATGACGAGGCAGGTGGAGGTGGAGGGAAGGGGGGGGAGGTGGGGGGGGCAGCGTTATAAGAGGCAACCGAGACTAGCTCGAACCCCTGGCTGAAACACAGTGCCTCAACCAACGCTTGACCCTCTCCGCATGGCCCCTCCTGCCCCCACCTGTCACACCCCATCCTCCAGCCCCAACCCCCCCCCAACCCCACCTGTCCCCCGCAGCGGCTCCAGCGCCCGAGCAATGTTGCCCGGCGGTGCGGGCACCAGGTTCTTGTCCGCCACCGCCACCACCGCATGGCCGCCCCCGCAGCAGCTGTCAGCCGCACCCGCCACCTCGTACCAGTAGCTGGGGGGGAGGGAGGGGGGGAGGGGGGGGAGAGGAGGGGAGGGTAAGGAGGTCAGCGGGGGGTGACGGATGGATTGAGGGACGCCGCGAGACAAGGAGGGAGTGGGAGGTGGGAGTGGTGCGGGCACATGCGTGTGGAGCAAGCATGCAAGCATGCATGCATGCATGGGGGGTGGCGGTTGGTGCCCCCCACGGTGCTGTGTGGTGGTTGGCAGCAGAAACAGTTGGGTGGGTGGCGGGTTGCGGGACGTCTCCCATGCGTCCCGCATACATACCGGTTGGGGTTGAAGTTCTTGACGGTCTTCTTCAGCGTGTCACTGTTGAGGACCTGGGCAAGGGGGGGGGAGACAAGACGGGGGGGCATGGGAAGGGACAAGAAGGGGGTGGGGGAGGGAGGGCGGGAGGCAGCGAGGGGTTCATGGTGACACGAGGGGCCTCGCCACCCAGGCGCCTACTACACTCCTCCTCTCCCTTTCCACACCGCTGCTGTTGCCTCTGCTGCAGCTCCTGCTCCCCGCCTCCATCAACACCCCACCCCCCGCCGCTTCACTCTCACCCCCCTCCCTCTTTACCCTCCTCCTCCTTCCCATCCCCCCTGCCCGCTCACCTTGACCGTCACCTTTCCGCCGCCGCCCGCCTCCCGCCCCGCCTCCCCCTCCTCCTCCCCCTGCAGCTGCAGCCCCCGCACCAGCGCGCTCTTGCCCACCCCCGGGATGCTCACAAAGTACACAGCGACCCCCGGGTCGGCGGGCGGCAGCGGGCTGCCGCGACCCAGCCATGCAGCCGCCTCCGCCGCCAGTCGGGCGGTGGCGGCGCCGTCGGCATCGTCCTCCGGCGGCGGCAGGGTGAGGTGGCGGAGGCGGCTGGCGGCACCGCCGGGACCCAGGGCGGCAGCGACGGAGTTGATCTGGGGGGGGGGGGTAAGGGTGTGGAGGGGGTGGAGAGGGGTAGAAGTAAATCAGTGGAGAGGGATACAAGTGTAGAGGCGTAGGGAGGGTGGGGGGTGGTGGAATGGGGCCATGTGCAATGTGGAGGTGCATGGCAGTTGGCAGCGCCCGTCCCCCTTCCAGCACACACTCTCCTTTATCGCCCTCCCTCCCTCCTCCTCGGGGGATATGGGATTGGGATTCGTTGTTTCACTTTTATATAATTTTTCCCTCCTCCTCGCACCCCACACCCCTCCCCTCCACCCCCACCCCCGCCTACCTTGGCCTGCGCCAGCCCCTTCCTCCTCTTCGCCTCCGGCCCCCCCTCCCCCCCCGCCGCCCCCCCCGCCGCCCCCCCCGCTGCCCGGCTGGCTGCAGGTGCGGCCGCCAGCACCCAGGTGAAGGGCGCCGCGCCCCCGGACAGGAACTCGCGCAGCCGCTTGGGCACCTCACTGCCGGGCTGAAGGGGGGGGAGGGGGAAGGGGGAAGCAGGGAGCAGGCACAAGGGGGGACAAGGGGGGTTTCAGGGGGTCTGCATGTGACTGTCTGTTGAGGTCTTGAGAAGCCTACATACACCCCTCCCCCCTACTCCTCACCTGCAGCCATATCAACGCCCCCCCCGGCACCATGCCCCGGCTGAAGGGCGTGTCGCCCAGCTTGGCGGGGCTCAGCTCCAGGGCGGGGGCCAGCCGGGTGCGCAGCGCGGCGGTGAGGGGGGCGGGCGTGTCAACGCAGATCAGGATGCCCTGCAGCAGGGGGGGAAGAGAAGAGGGGGGAGGGGGGTAGGAAGGGGAGAAGCAGCTGGACGAATGGGTACGGCAGTTTCACATGGTGGGGAGGCGGGGAGGGTGCGAGGGGGGTGTGTTAGAAGGAGCTGCTGGCCGCAACTGTGGTGTGTGTGCGGTTGAGGATCCGGTGGTGTCCATGTCCTCATCGGCTGCTGGCTCCCCCCCCCCCACACTGCATGAGTCGGGATTCGGGATTGGGACTGTGTTGTTGCACTTATTAATAATTCCCCCCCCCCCTACCTGGAACGCCTCCTCGCCCCGCCCGCTCAACGCCATGCGCCCCCTCCGCGCCAGGAACTCCGCCGCGAAGGGCTCCGCCACCCCCAGGTACCGGCTCTCCAGGGCGGGAGGCAACAGGGCGGCCGCACCGCCCCGCGCAGCCACCCAGGCGGCCCAGCAGCGGGCAAAGTGCTGGACCTGCAGGAGGGGTGGGAAGGGAAGGGGAGAGGGGAAGGGGAGAGGGGAAGGGGAGAGGGGAAGGGGAGAGGGGAAGGGGAGAGGGGAAGGGGAGAGGGGAAGGGGAGAGGGGAAGGGGAGAGGGGAGGCGAGCGGGTGGCATAAGAAGAAGAAGAAACAACCCATGCAGTGAATGGTAGAGTGGCAGGAGGGTATACCACCACCTTATCACCCCTTCTCCTGCCCCCTCCCCCCCTCCCCTCCCCGAATGCGCTCACTGCATGAGTCGGGATATGGGATCGGGACTCGTTGTTTCACTTGTATAATTCCCCCCCCCTCCCCTCCCCCCCTCCCCCCCCCCACCTGCGCCACCAGCCCCGGCGGCAGCCCCCAGCTCCTCCTAGCCAGGTTGTCCACGTAGGCCGCGTAGGTGGTCTCCCCCTGCCGCAGGGCGCCCAACCCGTTGCGGATCACAAACGTCATCAGGCTGTACCCCACAACACCCCCTCCTGCAGCGCTGGTGCTGCTGCCGCTGCTGGTGCTGCTGGTGCTGCCGCTGCTGGCCCCTCCTGCAGCGCTGCTGGGGGTGGTGGTGCCGGCGCCGCTAGTGCCGTTGCAGGGTACTACTTGTTGTTGCTGCTGCTGTTGTTGCCCAGAAGAAGGAGGAGCAGCAGCAGGAGGTGGTGGTGGAGGTGGTGGGGGTGCATGGGGCTCCGGGAAGCTCCACAGCATCATCTTCTTCTTGTAGCGGAGGGTGGAGGCGGGCTGCGGCCAGCCGGACAGAGCGCGGGCGGCGCGGACCTGGGCAGGAGGGGGCGGGCGGGGAACGGGTGGGGGGGCAAGGGGGGGGGTCAGAGACCCTCATACCAGAGCATAGGAAGCCACTGCAGGTTGGAGCAAAGCAGTGGGGACCGGGTGAACCCATGGGCACCTCTCCCCGCCTCCTCCATCCCTCCCTGCCCCCCTCCCTGCTCGCACCATGAGCATTGCGGGAAGCGGCGCCTCCGCCCCCGCCGCCCCCAGCCCCGCCGCCTCCGCCGCCACCTCCCGAAGGGCCGCTGCCCGGGCGGCTCCCTCCGCCGACCCGGGCCCTGCCGCCGCCTCCGCCAGCACCTCCGACAGCAGCGCCTGGGAGGGAGAGGGGTGAGGGACCGAACCGAATGAAATGAGGGAGGGAGGAGAGGTGGGAGGGCGGGTCGGGTACTGTCGAGTAGTGACAGGGACGGAGAGCCCCAGGGAAGGGGCAGGTAGGGCGGCAAGCCCTCTCTTGCGGGCTGACAGTTGACATTCCTCTCCCCCCATGCAGCCACCACCACCACCCTCCCAAAACAGTTAATGCATGCATGGGCTAGGTTGTTGTGTCCCGCACAAAGTGTCGCACAAAACATCGCACAACTTATCACCATCGGACCTCCCACCCCTCAGCCTCCCCCCCTCTCTCTTGTGTCTCCGAATGCACTCACTGCACGAGTCGGGATACGGGATTGGGACTCTAGTTGTTTGCATTTATTATATATCTTTCCCCTCCTCACCGCCCCCTCACCCTCAGCTGCTCCGCACTCAATCGAGCCAGTGCCAGCCGACTGTAGATCCGACCCTGCCCCCGCCCCTCCTCCGGGCGACCACCCTCCTCCGGGTGATGCTCGTACGGCAACTCAACGTACGGCAACAGCTGCCCCCCGGATCCCGACTCCTCCTCCGGCAGTAGCGGCAGCAGCAGCTGCTGCGACTCCAGCACCGCAACCAGCTTCTTCTGCTCCTCCGAACTAACCGGACTGTACGACACACCCGCTTGCGGAGTCCACTCCGCCTCAGCCGCCTGCAAGCGCTGCCGTACGGCATCATCCTGTGCTGACGCTGCTGCCGTACTACCGTTGGAAGTGGCTGCCGTACCGTTACCGTTAGCAGCAGCAGTGGCATTACCGCCTGCTGCCGCTTGCTCCGCCATTTCGGTTAGGATTTTGTTAAGTTGATTCTGGTAAGGTTTCCGCAGGTGGGGTGGTACGGCAGCTAGGGGCAGGCGGCCCGCCGCCAGCCTCTCCCGCAGCCCCCGCAGCCCGCTCAGCTCCCGCGCCCCCAGCGGCTCCCCCGCTGACACCACGAAACCCTCCAACCGCTCCCCCTGCCACTCATCATGCGGGTACGAACCCGGCAGGTGCAAACACACACACCCTCCCTCCCCTCCCCCCTCCCCTCCCTCCTCGCCATTGCCCTCCGCCACCAGTCGACCCAGCTCCGCCAGCGCATGACCCGTGGGTCCGCCCCGTAACGCCAAGGCATCCAGGGTTTGCCGTACCGCCGCCGCCACGGCCCCCGCCGCCGGCCCCCCGCCCGCGCCCAGGATCCAGGTGTCATTGGTGGGCAGTCGCAGTTCGGCGCATAGCTCCAGGAAGGGCAGGGGCGGCAGGAAGGTGGGTGCTCCGGTGTGTGGGTGGAGGGAGTGCGCGGCGGTGGTGACCAGGTACTCGGCTGTGGGGAGCTGCCCGTGGTGGCCGTGACTGGCGGTGACCTGGGGGGGGGGAGGAGGGGGGGAAGGGCCCCCAGGACACGAGGTGGGTTGATCAGGAACGAGCAAACGGCCCCATCCCATCCCCTCCCATCCCTCCAGCCTTCCACCCTCTCCATCCCTCCCTCCCCTCCCCTCTCCCTCCCTCCCCTCCCCTCCCGCCCCCCCCCCCACCATCTCAAACGCCAGGCTGATCCTCCGCTCCCGCTGCACCGCGAACAGCCGCTGCAGGGCCGCGGCGGCTGCGGGCGGGTTGCCGGGGTGCAGACGCGCGTAGTGCGCGGACAGCAGCGCGGCACCGCCTGGGGGGGGGGCAGGGGGGGGGAAGGGGAGAAGAATACCCAAGGTATTGAATGGTGACAGCAAGCAAGAGGGAGGGAGGGAGGGAGGGAGTGATACCGGCAACCTAAGACCCAAGCCCGCCGGAATACACCGTGGCCTCCTATGGTATGGTATAGTACCATACCATACCATCTTTGACCCCCGCCCCCAGATGCGGCAAGTCCGGCTGGCTTGACTGACTCGGTTCCCTTCACCAGCAGCAGCAGCAGCAGCAGCAGCAGCAGCTTGCCCGGCTGGTTTGCCAGCACCTCATTCAGCACATTGTTGGGGGTTCTTCTTTCCCCCCTCCCCCCTCCCCTCCTCGTACAGCTCGTCAGTTGCATCGTCAGTGTCTCGTTCTTTAGTTTCCCTCCCCCCTGCCCTCCCCTGCCCTCACCCGCCGTGTACTCGTTCCCAACGGAGTTCTTTGCCGCCCAGCCGCCCTCGGGCGACAGCGTGACCAGGCTGCCGCTGTGCTTCAGGGTGACCACGGTGGGGCGGGACAGGGGGGGCGGCAGGCAGGCGGACGACACCACCGCGTCGGCAACGGCGGCGTCCTGGAAGGGGGAGAGAGGGGAGGGGAGGGGAGGGGAGGGGAGGGGTGGTGAAAGATGTAGAGAAATGCATCAACGGAGTCCCAATCCCGAATCCCGACTCATGCAGTGAGCGCATTCGGGAGGGGAAAAAAGAAATTCCAATGTGTGGTGTGATAATGGTACAAATTGGTGACAAGCCCTGGAGTGTGTAGTTGAGTAGGACAAGAGCAAGCAATTGGGAGAGGTTCGCATGTGAACCGCGAGTACAGGCAAAACAGACACAACAGAGGTGACCGAACCTGAACCATAATTCAAGAAACTGCTTAAATGGCTGTTGCTGGATGTAAGAAGAGTGTAAGCCCTGGAGTGTGTTAAGAAAACTGGCCGCGAGTAGGAACATACTGTGATTGTCGGAAGATGAAGTGTGTGTGTGGGAGGGGGAGGATTTTATTTTTTTCCGCTAGATAGGCTGGATAGTTGGGCTAGCATGGCGGTGGTGGAGGGGAGGAGGTGTGGTGGAGGGGAGGCGAGGACATGCCTTGACATGCGCGGTCCAGCACCCTCCTATACCCGGCCCCCACCCTGCCTGCCGCGCACCGCCCCCTCACGGCTATGCACCGCCCCCCTTCCAAACCCCCCGTTCCCGCCGTTCCCCACCTGCCCCTCGTTTTCAAACTTGGGCAGGAAGGCCTGCTGCACCCGCGCCGAGTGCACCCGCCGCAGGTCGGCGCTGGCCTCCACCTGGGGGGGAATGGGGGGGGGGAGGAGGGAGGGGGTGGGAGGGAAACGAGCCATGTGGGTGGGGGGTCAAAGCTATTCCAGAACCACCCATGTGGGCAGGTGGGAGGAGCTCGGGAGAGGAGGGGCGGGGTTATTTTAATTGAAGGAGGGGGCTGGTAATAAGCCAGAGACATGCCACTAAGCGTCCGGACGGCCCATCCCCAAAGGTACCCGAAACCCCCACACAACCAGCACCAGCACCACCATTCCCTGCCCCCCACTGCCCACTCAGCCCCCCCCCCCACTCAGCCCCCCCTGTCTCACATGCAGCAGCAGCCCCCGGTAGAGCAGCAGGTCGGAGGAGCTGCAGGGAGGGGGAGGGAGGGAGGGGAGGGAGGGAGGTGTCCGACTGGGGAACCGAAGGCAGGGGGAGGGTCGAGGCGGCGCATGGGGCAGGGAGGGGCACACCAACGCCCGGGGTAAAGCTCGATGGGACAGGCGGCAATGCCCCTGCCAAGTGGAAATCACCACTGCTCCACAAGCACCCGGGTAGCCGCTACCGGGTTGTTTCCTCTTTACCCCCCCCCCCCCGCTCTCCCTCCACCCCCCACCCCTCCACCTGCAGTTCTGGAGGTACTTCTTGAAGGCATGGTCGCCGTGCACATGCACCACCACACTGAATGCACGGCGGGGGGGGCTGCTGCGGGGGGGGCTGTTGCTGGCAGCGGCGTCCGGCTGCTGCGGGGGGGGCTGCTTCCCGGCTGCTGCTGGTGGTGGTGGCGGTTGAGGCCACTCCAGCACCTGGAAGGGTGAGGGTGAGGATGAGGGTGGGGGTGAGGATGTGAGGTGGGGAGGGAGGGAGGAAGGGATACAAGTTCCGGGCGCGCACACAGAAATACGGTACCTTGTACGACAGGGGAAGGCGCAGCTGTCGGCAGAGCACCATCATATTTTGAATGAGCAGCAGGGACGCCTGGCTGGTTGATGGATCCATGGCTGGTAAGGGACGGGAGAAACGCCGCGAGGGTGGATGCTGCTGGGTAGGGTGGTTCTGGTCACGGCGATTGCTGCTTCCACCGGGATGGGAACTTGGGCCAGGTCCTCGCTTTGGAGGTGGCGGCGGTCGGTTGGGTGGTTTAGGTTTTTGGAATTGGCGTCGCCCCGATGCAAGAACAGAGAGCGACGAGCGCGAGGTGCTAAGGAAGAGGGCAGCCGGCGATGCGATACGATGGAGGTAGCTGTGTCGATGAACAGAAGCGAGCGATGGAAAGCGAGATATTAGCATTCCTTCAAGTGTGTTACAAAAAGAGTATCCCCATGGTTGCGGTGATTCACCTTTATAAGGAATGTGCAGTATAGGTGCCGTTGCCTACCCATGGGCCATGCTGCATGGGGGCGCACAATCCCTTCCACAGCTTTGATCGGAATAACGAGGTGGCTGTGAAAGGTATTCAAACCCACGCTTGTGCCAGGAGCGCATGCACAAGCGGAGGCGTTTGCCTCCGAAGCCGTTCAAGCATCTATTGTAACTGGGATCAATCAATCGTGCACCATATATGTAGTTAAAGCATTGCTTTTACCTTTTACATAACGCTTCACTTGACGATTGTAACTAGAAGCAATGTAGTCGACGGCTTGGACTATTCGCGTTGGGCCAAGCGCAGACGAGGCTTGCAGTTTAGGACACGTCTTACTTTGTCTCGCCTTACGATTGGACCAACGTTACAACAAGAAAACGCCAGACACCTGTAAGCAACAGTTTAAGCAGGCTTGACTGTATAGAGCCGCTGACAGCCAGCTACATATTAGGAACCACATCCCGAAGTACGCTCTGCACTCTCTTCCGGGCCTCCTCAGCGCAGCATAAGCATGTCCACCTCGGGGCATGGCCGACGAGGACGCAACGGAGGCGGCGTCCGCTTCGCATCAGATGCAGACGATGGTGCATCCGTGGCCATCACCCTTGGCGACGTCGGCGCCGCGCCGCTAGACCAGCTCCTGGCCGGCAATGCCGATGTCGTCCGCACCCCAACCCGGGATGCGTCCCGAACACCCGAAGTTGACACCGACGCGGAGGCCTGCTGCGGCGATGAGGGTGTGCACATGGGCGGCCTGAGGCTGCTAAACCGCGGCATCTCACAGGACGAACCCTACGAAAATTCCCGTGCGGACTCCGACGGAGATGGCCCGATGGACGGCCCCGGCTGCAGTACCGACGCGGATACGGCAGCAGGCGTTGCACGGCACTCTGGGGACGAGAGCCGTACGGAAACGGAGTCCGCTCCAAACGGGGGTGCTGCTGGCGGGGGTGGCCGGAGACATCATCACCACCGCGGCAAGTCGGGTGGCAAGCCCGGGAAGCAGGCGGCCATGAGGACCTGGCTGCGGATCAACAGCGACGGGGAAACGTTCATTTTGCAGGTGTGAGGGGGGCCGAGCGTGTGTGTTTGTGTGTTTGCGCAGTGTGTATGTGTCGCAAGCTGGGTTGGTAGGATGGTGGGTGGTAGACTTGTGCAGCCTACACCCCTCCCGTCCCTCTCCTTCCCTCTCCTTCCCTCTCCTTCCCTCCCCCCTACCCTAATTTCTTTTCTTTCCCTACCCTCCCCCCATTCAACACATTGGCTATCCATCTTTCCCCATTTCGGTCGGGGCCACTAACCCTCCGTCTGTTTTATCCATCCCTGCCGCCCCATTCCCGGGTAGTTCTGCCCCTTCTGTAGTTTCATACGGTGGGTCTGATATGTACCCCCCCTCCCTCCCTCCCCCTCCCCGCCCTCCCTCCCTCCCTCCCCCTCCCCCTCCCCCCCCCAGGCTGACAAGTGGCGCATCACGCACAAGCTGGGCATCCAGACCCGCGACCTACGCCTGCTGGACCCCAACCTGTCCACCACCTACCCCTCCGCCATCCTGTGTCGCGACAAGGCCATCGTGGTGAACCTGGAGTACCTGAAAGCCATCATCACCACCACCTTCGTGCTGGTGGTCAACCCGGGTGGGGTGGGGGGGTCAAAGACCTTACCGAGGGGAGGGGAGGGGGGAGGGGCGTGGTCAACCCGGGTGGGGGGGGGGAGGGAGGGAGGGACGATGAGATAAACTGAGCCGCGGAGGGGGGGGGGGGTTGGGGGGGGGGGTAAAAATAAGGAAAACTGACGAACTGGCTGACGAGGCTTCTCCATGGGTTGCTAATTGAACCCGGCCTGGGGGGGGAGAATAAGGGAACGGGCGAGGCAACTAGCTGACCGCGTGACAAGGGAGGAGGGAGGGGAGGGGTGCGCTGTTTGGTGGGGGTGCTGCCTGGGACTGGTACTTGGTACCTGTGGTGCGTGTGTTTTTGGTACATGCAGGGATCGTACCTGGTGGTGTGGTGGTGTGTGGGGGGCTGTGGGGGTGGGGGTGTGGTGGTGTGTCTGTTGTTCCCCCTAGTGCTAGCGGAGTGGTGGGTTGGGGGTCGCTTTGTCTGACCCGCTTCCCCCTCCCTGCCCCTCCCTCCCTGCCCCCTCCTCCTCCTCCCCCACCCCCCAGAGGACGAGAAGGTGTTGCGGTTCATCAGTGAGATCAAGAGGAGGCTGGCGGCGGCAGGGGGGGCGCCCAGCAAAACATTCCGGGTAGGGGGGGAGGGTGAGGGGAGTGGGGGGGTGAGTGGGGCGGGGGGGAGGAAAGGGAGGGGGGAGAGGGAAAGGGTGAAAGGGCCAGGCTAGGCAACAAGCACAGGGTAGGGTAGGGTAGGGTAAAGAGGAAACAACTAACTGACTGAGGGATAAGGCGTCAACATGGGTTGCATGGGTAGGGTAGGGTAGGGTAGGGTTGGATGACGCGGCACCAATGCTCGCAGCATGGGGCTGACCCACATGGCGACGAGGATAATATTGGTGGTGCGGTGGTGCGGGTTGGTGGGGTTGCTGGCTCAGCTGCCGCCCTTTGCAAGCCCTCCACCCCTCGAGGTCACAGCCCTCTCCCCAGCCCCTCACGCTGCCCCCTCTCCCCCCCCCCCCCTCTCCCCCCCCCCCTCTTCCCCCCCCCCCAGGCCCTGTCCGACTCCGAGCGGCTCAAGCTGGCCCCCGGCCCATCCACGCTGGGCCTCAACATGCCCTTCGAGCTGCGGGTGCTGGAGGTGTGCCTGGATGAGGTGAGGGGGGAGAGGGAGGGGAGGGGAGGGGAGGAGCCCTGGAGAGGTGGGGAATAAAGGGGGGGAGCAGCCCAGGTGCGGTATGGGGCAGCACCGCTACCCCGCTTCCGCAGGGCCCCCGGAGCTCCAACCTGCCCCCTCCCCCCTGCCTCAGACCCCCTCCTCCTCCCCCTGCTCCTCCCCCCTCCTCCCCCTGCTCCTCCCCCCTCCTCCCCAGGTCGCGGGCCACCTGGACTTCCTGACTCAGGAGCTGGAGGCGTCCGCCTACCCCGCACTGGACTCGCTGGCGAACAAGGTGGGGGAGGGGCTGGGGGATTTAACTGACAAGTGCAGCAACGGGATTGCAATCCCAGATCCCGAATCTTGCAGTGAGGGGGAGGGGCGGGGGGTGGGGGTGACAAGAGGAAACTGACGAGCTGTATGACGAGGGAGGGGTGTGGGGGTGTGGGTGTGAGTGGGGCGCAGGAAGGGAGGCGGCTGGGCACATGGTGCTGTGTGATGCTGGGTGGTGCTGTGTGCTCCTCCTCCTCCGCCCCTCGCTTCACCATTACCCCCCCTGGGTCTGTGCTCCCCTCCCCCCCCCCCCATGCAGGTCAGCTCGCCACACCTGGAGCGCGTGCGGCGCATCAAGAACAACCTGGTGCGCCTCACCACGCGGGTGGAGACGGTGCGGGAGGTGAGGGGGGGAGGGGGGGGCTGTTGAAGCACTGGAGGGTGGGGTGGACGAAGCGTGGAGGAGGTCGAGTGGAGGCGGGATTGCGGGAGACGCGCCCTCGCCCCCTTTTCAGGTGCCCTCCGCTCTCTGTATTGGTATCGTGCACATCAGACGCCCCCCCTCCCCCCCCCCCCTTGCAGGTCCTTGAAAAGTTCCTGGACGACGACTCCGACATGCACGACCTCAACCTGACTGCCAAGGAGCTGCACGAGCAGGAGGAGCGGAGGCAGCTGGAGCAGGCGGCGGATGTGAGGGGGGGCGACGCGGGGAGGGGGGGAGGGGGAGGGGCGTGAAGAGGGGAGCGAGGGGGAGCTGGTGGCCAGTATCGGTACCTCGGCGCTGCGGCCAGGAAGGGGCGGCGCATGAATCCTAGCGACTGTGGGCTACGTGCCTTGTTAGTCCTGGCGAGTTGTGAACTTCACGTGTCGCATACCCCCCCTTCCCCCCTTTCTTCCCCCCCTCCCCCCCCCCCCTCCCCAGCTGGACGCGCGCAGCACTGTGAGCACCACGGGCAGCCGCTCCTCGGGCTCCTCCTCCTCCGCCTCCTCCGACAGCAGCGTGGAGGAGGCGGAGACGGCGGTGGTGGAGATGCTTCTGGAAACCTATTTCATGCATGTGGATAACACGTACAACAAACTGCAGGTGGGGGGGAGGAAGGGGGGAGGGAGGGCACACAGGGCCGTGTCGTACCCATACCGCGACGGCATTGTCCTGCCGTACAGACCAGTAGTACACGCCAGTTCCCTCGGCCGTCCCTCATGCTCGGAAACCACTTCCCCTAAAACCCTGATACCGCTCTACCCTCGTGCCCAACCCCCATGCTGAATTACCATGCCCTCCCCCTCCCTCCCTTTCCCTCCTCTCTTCCCCTCCACCTCATCAGTTTCCTTATGTTTACCCTCCCCCTCCCCCCCCCCCCAGACCCTTCACGAGTACGTGGGCGACACGGAGGACCTGGTGAACATCAAGCTGGACCAGCACCGCAATCAGCTCATCACCATAGACCTGCTGCTCACCGCGCTCACCACCGTGCTGGCCATGATGACGGTGGTGGGCGCGTGGTTCGGAATGAACCTGGACAGCGGGCTGCAGGAGGCGCCGGGGGTGTTCAATGACGTGAGGGAGCGGGGGGGAAGGGGAGCGGGACGGGAGGGGGGAGAGGGGAGGGGAGAGGGGGGAGGGGGGAAAAGAATACCGGTACCCAATGTGTTTAACCAGGATAAGGGGAGGGGGAGGGGTAAGAGGAAGGGGGAGCAGCCTGCAGTGCATCTCTCTTGGCACTCCTCTGTCGGCCGCTAATCACTAAGAGGCGGTTCAGTGGGGTGCGGAACACCCAGCACCCATGCATGCCCTGCCCACCGACCCTCCCCCCCCTGCCCACCGGATGGGCCGGCCACCATGTTTGCACCCCATGGTGAAGCCTTGTCATACAGCTCGTCAGTTGCTTCGTCAGTGTCTCATTATCTATTTTTTACCCCCTTTTCCCCCTCCCGCAGGTCGCGGTGGGCTCCAGTGTGATCGGCATCGGGCTGTTCTTTGCGTTCGTGTACTGGCTTTGGAGGGCCAAATTGATCATCTACTGAGCAGGGCTGAGGCGGGTGGTAGGGGAGGGGAGGGAGAGGGGGTGGATGACGAGCTGAATGAGGGGGAGGGGGAACATTATAGATAGGTGCAGCAACGCAGTCCCCCAAGGGGGAGGGGGAGGGGGAGGGGGAGGGGGAGCAGGTCATGGAGTTGGTATCCGGCGACAGCGTAGATAGGAGGCGGGAGGCCGTTGAACGAACCCCCAAAGGCAGGCAGGCAGCTGGGCAGGCAGTGGGCTAGGGGCACATGTAGACTGCGGGTTCCCTGTAGACTTGGGTGGGTGTAGGGTTGGGGGAGCTTGTGGGTGTGGGTGTATGCAGGAGGGGGAAACACCACGGGACACGCTGTGAGCCGTTGTTGGAGTGGGGGCAGCATGTAGGGGGGGTGTACGGCGGTCGACCGCATGAGGAGCAAATGCATGAGGCGGCGGACGGAAGCGGAACTTTGGCGTGTGTGGCGTACTCGTCCCCAGCAAGGCGCTAGAAAGGAATGACGTCATGCGGAACGGGATGAGGTGCTACGACATGCGGGAAAGGGGCGTGATGTGGTGTGGTGTGGTGTGATGTGGCAGCAGCCGCAAGCAGGGGGTTCCGTCGAGGTATACCGACAGCACCCGGGGCGGAGGTGGGGGGTGGGGGTGGTGGGGCGGATATCTGCATTGCCGCCTCGTGCAGACCGCGCAGTGCCGGCTGTCACGAGTCATGGTTCTGTTGCTCCTGTTGCCGACTCCGTTGCTGTGGGTGTGGCTGTGACAAGGGTGTGTGTGTGTGACAACAATGGACCTACAAAAGACATGCATGCACTCGTATTTACTACATGGGGGGGGGCAGCGTCGCCTCAGCTTTGCGGTGGGCTGCCGGTAGGTGCCGGAGGTCAACAGCGGTCCGTTCGAGGCTGGAAACTGGGAGGAGAAATGCGTGAGCGGGAAAATCTGATGTCTACCTGTATTCGCCGTTTTTTCCGGGGCTTGAGCCTGCTTTCTTGCTTGAAAAGGCTCGTTTGCCTTGGATGTGGGTGCGGTGGTATCTTGGATGTGGGTGCGGTGGTATCTTGGATGTGGGTGCGGTGGTATTGTGGATGTGGGTGCGGTGGTATCTTGGATGTGGGTGCGGTGGTATCTTGGATGTGGGTGCGGTGGTATTGTGGATGTGGGTGCGGTGGTATCTTGGATGTGGGTGCGGTGGTATCTTGGATGTGGGTGCGGTGGTATTGTGGATGTGGGTGCGGTGGTATCTTGGATGTGGTGGTTGACCCCTCCAGCAGAAGAGACCACGACAGACCCGCAGGCTCCTCACGCCGCCACCGCCGCCTCCTCCTCCTTACATCCGTGCACCACCCTAACCGCATGCCTGTACGGCACTTTCGACCGTCCTCTCTGTACGGGGGGGAGTCCTGCCACTCCTGCCCCCCAGCATCTCCTGTGCTCCTCTCAACACCCAGCGCAAACCCAGTGTGTGGCTCGCAAGACGCGGCAGTCGTGGCAAGAGGCGGACACGTCGATGCGGTCCGTTTACCACAGGGGGCTGCCCCCTAGGGCCGCTCCGCCCTCTACCTACCTAGGTCCCTGCTCCTTCTCCTCCTCCTCTTCCTCCTCCAAATGCGAAGCGCCCCTCCTTGCCAGCCCAAAGACACACCGCCTAACAGCCCTCCTGTGGACCCCTGCATACCCCTGCAGCCCGACTCTCCACAACCCCTCCACAAACCATATGCCGTATTGTCCCCATCCATTTCCCGCCCTCCTTCCCACCCATGCACCCCCCCCCAAATCAGCTCCTCTTTACCCCCCTTCCCCTTCCCCTAACATTACTCTTGTTTCCGCAACAGCTTTGTGTCTTTATCCAACCACGCCCTCCCCCTTTCCCCCCTCCACCCCCCTCCCCTAGTACGAGTACCGCTCCACCTCCTTCTTGTACCAGTCCGGCAGGTCCTTGGACAGGCTGTACGGCATGTTCCAGTGCCAGCCGTACACGAAGCTGCCGTCCGGGTTGCGCGGCGCGTCCTTGTCCGTGCCCGCGAACCAGGTCTTGGCATGGGCGCCGGCGAGGACGGGTGGGGACTTCTGGGGCTTGTCGGCTGAGGGTTGCTGCTGTGGGGAGGAGGAGGAGGAGTCGGGCTTGAAGGGGTACTTGAGGCTGCCTGCGGGGTGAGGGTGGGGGTGGTGGGGGGAGAGGAGGAGTGGGGCAAGGTGGGGTGGGGAGATAAGGAGTGTTGGGGCGGGGAGGATACGAGGGAAGGGGGAAGAGCAGTGCAGATTCCCCCAGACGCCATGCATTCCGCCCCCTCCTGCCAGTCCCACAGCCCCAGCCCCAATCCAGCACCGCCCCCCTCCTACCATCCGGGTCCCAACCGAAGCCTGTCAGGTTGGGGTCGGGGAAGTGGATGACGCCATTGGACTCCAGGATGTACGACACCTCCTTGCCCTGGGGGGGGGGAGGAGGGGGAAGGGAGGGGAGGGAGTGGGGGAGGAGTGGGGGAGCGCATGAGTTGCAATGCTGTTTTGATGGCAAGGGAAACCCACGCGGCACTGCGGCCTCCTCACTCGAGACTAGCTTAACCCCCACGCACCAAGATTACCTCATTTTCTCCTTCTTTCCCTCCCTTACATTCCTTGGTAAGTCCATTACACGTACTGGCTTAGCTACGGTAATTCGGGCTGGGCGGGTCGGGCTGGCTCACATGTTGCAACCCACCCATGTTGACGCCTTATCCCTCAGTCAGTATTAGTTGTTTCCTCTTTACCCCCCTCTTCCTCCCCCCCTCTCCCCCCCCTCCACCGTGAGTGTCCCCCTGTCCAGCAGCGCCTGTGTGAGCGCCTCCAGCGGCCCCCAGTTGACCGCCAGCCCGTACATGGCCTTGGCCTCCGCCGCGTCCAGCAGCTCCACCACCTCCGACAGCGCCACACGGGCCTGATGGGGGGGGAGGGGGGAGAGGTGGCGGGGGCAGGCAGAGGGGGCAGGGGGTTTAGTAGGGTGAAGGGAGGGGGAAAGGACCAGCAAGCTTGTACCCATGATACATACCGCAAGTGGCAAACCGTGATGGTCCCCCGCTCCTCCCCTCCCCCCCCACACACCTGTTCCGTGCTCATGTCAGTGGACTGGTAGTAGAACGGGTCCTCGTCCACCTCCGCCCCACCCGCCCGCAGCTCATGGCTGGCCGCGTTGCCCTCGCTGGTGCCCACCACCCGCAGCAGGTCGAGCGGGCCGGTGCGGCGACCCATGCCGAACGACATGACCATCTCGCGAGCGATCAGGTTGGCATGGAAGAGGTCGGGGGAGCCCTGGCCCGTCATGGCCCCCTCCCCGCACACCAGCTTCTCCGCGCAGCGCCCTGCCAGGTGTACCACCATGCGCGCCTCCAGCTCGGAGCGCGTCAGGATGGCGTTCACGCAGCGGTCCTCGTCCTCCACGAACAGCGTGTAGCCGCTCAGCACGTTGAGCGGACACACGGACACCTGCAGGGGGGGGAGAGGGGGGGAGGGGGGAGGGAGGGGGGGAGGGAGGGAAGGGGGGGGAGGGGGGGGAGGGAGGGGGGGGTGATGGAAAGGGCATGTGGCCGGCATGAGTGCTGCAGCATCCTCGCATTCGCCCTCCTCGCTGCCTCCTCATAACCCCGCGCGTACAAGGTGTACCGTAGCTGGCCTCCACGCCTGACCGCCCCCCGACACGCAAAACACACGCACGCATACACACACTCCATCTTTCGGCAATCACAGTACGTTTCGCCTCGCGGCCAGTTATTTTAACACACACATACACATCTTCCGACAATTCAGTAATTCCTACTCGCGGCCATTAATCTTATCACACGTAACCCCCCTCCCTTTCCCCTCCCTCACTCCTGCACTTCTCACATATTTTCCCCCTCCCTCCGGCTGCTTTCCTTCTTACTCACTTTTCTCCTTCCCCCTCCCCTCGTCATACACCCCCCCTGCCCCTCCTCAATATGGGATTGGGACTTAGTTGTTGCATTTCTTATATAATTTTTCCCCCCTGCCCCTCCCCCCTCCTCCCCCGCCCCTCACCCTCGCAATCTCCTCATACTCGGGTGTGATGTACGCCGCCAGCGCCTTTCCCGCCTCGTACACCGCAATGGCGCGGCGCAGCTGCGGGGGAATGGGGTCGGGCGAGCCCTCGCTGCCCTCCCCCGCCACCAGCCCGCCGCCCCCGCCGCTGCTGGTGGCCTCCACCACCGCCTCCATGCTCTTGTTCTCCATGGCGGCGTAGATGTCGTCCTCCGTGATGGCCTCGCGACCCTGGGGGGGTGGGGAGGCGGGGGGCCGGGGGGGTTAGGAAAACTAAGTACTTGACACGTGCAGCAACTGGAGCCCCAAGCCCATATCCCGAAACATGCAGTGAGCGTATTTGGAGGGGTGGGGAAAGAAGAATACCCAATTGGGGGGGTTGGGGGTGGGGGTATAGGTAGGAAGGAGGAAAGAAATACCTTTGGCCGCGCGAAAGGGCTTCACATGGCAAGAGGGGGACACGCTTCCTGTTCGTCACAACCCAGCCGCCAGCTACATCCACCGCCCCTCCCTCTCCACCCCCCTCACCCACATCCTCCCTCTACTACCCTAACCCCCACAACCCCGCCCCCCCTCGTCTTCAACCACCCCTCCCCCCACCTCCCCCCTTACGCCCCACCATCAAGCAATATCCGGGCAACTACGGTCAGGGTCAGTGTTTCCGCGGCTCAGCTTACCTAACCCCCCCCCTCCCCCCCCCCGCCCACCCCCCCCTTCTCCCCACCTGCCTCCCCCCCCCCCCACCCCCCCACCCCACCCCCCCCTTCTCCCCACCTGCCTCCCCCCCCCACCCCACCCCCCCCTTCTCCCCAACTGCCTCCCCCCCCCACCCCCCCCACCCCACCCCACCCTTCTCCCCACCTGCCTCCCAGCCATACGCGCCGCCCGGGCCATGAGCCCCATCACATCCGCGCCCGTGAATCCCGCCATGGCCCGAGCCACCTCGTACCAGTTGATGGAGGGGTCCACCGACTTATTGCGCGCGTGGACCTGAGGGAGGAAGCAGATGGAAAAGGGGGGGGGAGGGTAGGGTAGGGGAAGCAGATGGAAGGGACAGGCCTGGGGGACATGGGGTGCGGCATAACATGACACGACACCACAAAGGCGGCACCCCACACCGGCAATCCAGTACGTTCCTTCTCGAGGCAGGTTTTTTACGATCCCACCCACCCCACCTTATCCTGCATGTTGCCCCCACCTGCATGATCTTGGCCGCGGCGGCACCCCACACAATCCCCCATTGCCCAGCCCAACCTCGCAGCACACACAAGCACCCCCCTCACCACCCCACCCCTCACCACCCCCACCTGCATGATCTTGGCCCGCCTCCCCCCTCACCACCCCACCCTCACCACCCACCCTCACCACCCCACCCCTCACCACCCCACCCCTCA